CTAAGAACGGCCATGCACCACCAACCACAAATCGATAAAGAGCTCTCAATCTGTCCTTCCATATTGTGTCTGGACCTAGTAAGTTAAAATTGAGCCTCAGGCTCTACTCCTGGTGGTGCACCCGGCGGTTTCTGATCATCTTCGATCTGTTCTTCATTAATAATAAAAACGTGCTTGGTAAATGGTAGTTAATCCTCAGTAAATCCAAGAATTTCACCTCTCACAATTGAATACTGATACCCCGTCCAAGGCCTTCTTTGAACACTCAAATTTTTTCAAAATAAAGTACTGGTATGCTTGAGCTCCCACGAAGGAAAACAAGGAAAGGCAATTAAAAGCAAACGGTTAAAATGAATAGGATATCACTCGACTTTCAGTTCGAGCAAGCATACCCAAAAGATTGAAGGTAAAAAATTATAGATTAGCAATACTTTATTCCTCATACAGCTCTAAAAGCGCAAAAATTAATTAATTTGTCTAGGAAATGTGGCCACAAATTTATTTGAATGCTTCTGGTGCAGACCCTGAATCAAGAGCATAATCTTGTCTAGGAGTAGACATAGATAAGGAAATGTTCATGAACCGAGGAGATTATATCAGAAATATTGCTAAGGGTCCAAGTGGATTTGGGAATGTCTAATAGAGGAATGTATGTAAACAGATGCGAGAACCAGTTACCAAATTTCTACAGTAAAAGCAATCTGTAGGCATTCTAATTCTATAAAAGAAAATGTATTGAATGGAAAAATTATGATGAGCTTTTTCAATTACTGTTACTAACCCGCGATATTGAAAGGAGTCATTTTTCATGGCTGACCTATCTGATCACCTTTCGTCGAATTTAACATTCAAATGCACTGAAGGTGTTACATGGTTTTTGTCTACTAAAATTGTCATTCCGGTTTTATTCCAAAATGCTCTTTATGCGATACAGACAGCTTATTCATTAAAACATCAAGCATAAATTACGAAAAATTCAAAAAATTATGTGGACAAGAACTAGGAAACTTAGACGATACATTAGAAAATTGTAAACATGTTTAATAAATAAAATGATAATAGGAGGACCAAAAATGTATGGTTACGAATTTATAGATAATAAATACGAAAAAGAAGCAAAACTATAGTAAAGGAGTACCAAAATATATGCTAAATATGCAACAAATAGAATATTTATTGGAAGAAAAAATCAGAATAATTGCATACCAATTCAAAATATTGAGAAGAAAACTTGTAGGAGTAGACACATTGAATATAATAAAAGAAATTAATGAAACATAAAAATAATCTCTCAGAGTATATGGTGCACAATTATATATCTTCGATCCAAAACTAAATATTTAATACTGATGAATATGCTATAACAAATTGCTTAAATCATATGATAATACGAGTACTTAAACTATATTAACATAGGGATTCATTTCGAACATCTCTATATCTTATGTAGTCCAAGTAAGTGCAAACGAATTGTGCAGCAGGACTATAATATTATAATAATACACATGAATTTGTATAAAGAAGAGCATTGGATGCTGAATTTGTAGAACATCAAGTAAATTATATTCTTGGCTTTCAATGTGGGAGATGAGATTGTACACTCTAATTTGAAATTCTTTGTGACTAATTTAGTATTCGCTCATGCAGAAAGTTATTAGATCTTGTTGATACTCATTTCATGTCAACAGAATAGAGCCATTGGGTCTTTTGGTAGTGTCGCATGTAAATTTATATAATAAGTAGAATCATTAAGTGTTATTCAATAAGTTAGTAGTAGATGTAAGTTTGTTTCGTTAAAACCCAAAGCTGGCAATATCCCTTTTTTTATGTGGGAGTTTTCAGTAGTAAGTTTTTAAAGAGCACTCATTCTCAATTTAAATTTAGCTAATAACAATCTGTTGATACTTTTCAAAGATAGATATAGATTTATGTTTCAAACAGCAAGTTTGATTTCCATCGAGCATGTGCAAATTCTGTTTTTACTCCACCGAAATGATTATAGTAGTTGATTGAAGCATTTCCTGTTTGTTAGATTTATAAAATTGGATAGGCAAGAGTAGAGCATCGGAAGAACACTGTTTAACAAGGAGCTATTGATAAGAATACGGGTATATACATGCAATCAATATGACTTACAAATCCCTATTGTTGTCTATTCTCAAATTAATCAGATGCTCATTCTACCATTTGATTCTTTTTCTACATTTTCATACAAGCATATGTTTATAATAGTATTTCGAGATGTGAGAATAGTAGAATCTATTACTGAAGTATATAACAAACTTAAATTAAACTTCTGTGAGGGATATGTGTTGAAATAGAATATTCATTAGCAGTGAAAGTATGGCGTACTTCTTGAATTTTTTTTCAGTTAGCTTTTACTTGTTATGGTTTGTTGAGGATCGACGTAGAGTCAAAGTGAGTAGTGACCCTTTCGTCTATAGCTTTTCTGGGGTTGACTTTTAAGTAAGGACTTTTTGTATTTATTTATGTTCGATCCTAGATCAAATAATTATAGAAAAGATGCTTTGAGATGTTAGTGCTGGGTGATTATAAGTAATCATGTCTATAAGTTGAGTCAAGAAGGATATGCCGTTGATGGAGACTCGACTTTTAAATGGGAGTAACTGTTGGATAACAGGAAAGGAATAATATTTAATGAAGGATTACATACTTATTATTACTATGTGGCTTATTTTTCAGCCAAGTATTCTAATAATATTGTATTTTAGTTCAATTCTATATAGATTCTCATTATGGAGCATATCAATTTGGAAGTGTGGGGTATATATCACGTGATTGTTTATGGCCATTTTGTTGTGGTTAGTTTATACAAAAAATTTGCTGACCATAAACCACGGAAATCAAGGGTGGAGCGATGGAGTTCATCTCATGTTATTATTCATAGGATATTCTTTCCAAGTGATTTGTTTGTGTCCCATTTTAAAGAGATGAAGAGGCAATTTAGCAGTTTGATTATGGAAGACTTGCATGGATCCTACAACATAACTTTCACTGAAACAGATGCTTTGTATGGATCCTCAGTTAAGCTTAATCATACTAGACCAAATACTCCGAATTACTTAACACCATTGACCAAGTCTAATAGCCTCCCTGGAATTGCAGTTTCTGTAATTCAAGATCTCAAGCTTGAGTTTTTCAATGCATTTACATACACCTCCTCTCTATCAGGGCTGGAAGTATGTATTGCTCCCAGTCTTGAATTCAGTAGGGCTCAAAATGACACGCAGCTTTTGGATCCATTCACATTTATATTTTTCTTAGGCTCTGATGGTAAGGAGTACATTGATTTAATAAGAAACAAGATGTCATTTGCTTCTATTCTTATTGTTACGTCTAATTGTGAACTAAAATCATTTCGCTGTGGTCCTCCTTTCATGATCACGGATAATATACAGTGTCACCGCATAAGTTCAGCCTTGAATGTTTTAGACCCATTGGGTGGTGGATGTTATCCATTGAATTATCTTATGATCGCTGATCTAAAGATGAAAATAAGATTCAAGGTGCCTATTCTCACTCGTGTCCACACAAGTTCGCACAGAATTCGAGGCAAGAGTTTTATGTTGGAAGGAGGATCAACATATGCCAGATTTGGTCTCCAAATCGGCCAGTTAGATAGTTTTATTGAGGATTTCATGATCTGTTTAATGAATGGAGCAAGGTGATAAATTATACAATCTTTGAAATAGAATATGTAATTAAAAGATTAAATCACTGAAGTAGTGCTAACTTTTCTTGTTCTAAGTCCTTGTACCCATTATGTTGATGTTCGATTTCGTCTTTAATCTTCTTAATGTAAACTTCTAACCGCGCTAATTCATCAGTCTCATCAGTTCGTATAAACTCCTGGTCTCTATTATTTGGGTTTGATAAAGAATAAGGCAATAGATTAACAGGTTTTCTTGTCAACATTTCAAATACCTTTTCGGTTGGCTCCTGGAATACAAGCTCGTCATAAAGTATTGAATTGACCTCTCCATTCTCCTTTAACGGTTGCTGGGGGTTGAATGGATGCAATTTAAGCCCATGAAATATCTGGAAGTTCTTTTCGCTTATTCCCAACTCCAGGCCCGTGTGAAAATGAATCTTGATAATAATCTCAAATTCACCCCATCCGGTTTCTGTTACTTGATAGGGAGGCTTTTCCACTGATCGTACTGCATTCTCATACGTCTCATGCAATTTAAAGGTGACTTTCTTTATCAAAGGTGTCAAATCGATGTTGTTGAGAACAGGCTTGAAAAATACTGTCCATTCGTGAGTGTGATCTGGTGGGGTATTAGGCTTTCTTTTCTCGGGACTCAAACGAACTGCATTGTTACCATAGATTACCGGAACGGATATCGAGACAAACTTTATTCTTTTAGTATTACTACTCATCGTTAAGTTACGGTAAGAGTGATGTTGTTCTCAAACGGTTGATATAAACCTTATTAGACATTGCACGACTTCTAATTTGTTTTTCAATGCACTGTCTATCCCCACGAATGGATACATATCTCTCAATTAAGAGCAATATTTGATATATACAGCTATGTAATACATTACTTTGGAATCAATGGCTTCCAGTCGGATAAGGAGCCGAAATTCGGTTTATGAGTTTCTTCGTTTACATTTGCCCCATTTGCCCCATTTTCCCCGTGCAATGTTCCAGTAGGTGTTGAGACATTGGTAGTTCTATGCGATTCTGATTCGAAACTGTTTTGACTCAATACATCGCTCGTTCGTGATTTATTCCCGGCAAGATTGGTGGGTTTCGTTGGTATCATTGGTTTGACGGACTCCGAATGCGTAGTGTTGCCTGAGGTAGAGGATATTTCCTTGGATGGGGTGGTGGAGTTTGATCTGCTCGGAATTAAAGGTGCTGAGGAAAATCCAAATGGCACCTTGATAGACTCTGAGGATGCAGTCATTAAGTTAGCAATTGTTTTTCTTGCTGGAGGGGGTGTTGGGGGGTTCTGGTTTTGGCCCAAATCAAAAGGGGGTGGTAACTTTCTAGGAATTGGCTTCTGAGGAAAACTAGAACTGTCAGGAACTTGAGATCTAGAACTTGGGGTTGGGGGTAGCCTTCTTGGTAATTTGCTTGCTTTGGTTGCGCCTAATTGACTTGGACTGGAGTTATCTTCAAGTATGTTCATTTCGGAGAGCGTATCTATAGTAAAGGTACTGCTAGCCGAAGAGTTCGATGCCCTGGAAGTAGAACTAGAGTCTATGTCCAATAAAGAAATATCTGAATTGCCATGCTCTGACTTATAGGAATCATACAAACTTTTGAACAATTTTGTCTTCTTCTCTCGATCAATACACTCAACTTTGCCTGCTAAAGTAGAAAAAACAGGCTTGTGATCACTGAGTGTAATACTCATCACAGAATTGTAGTTCAATTGCTTCAAATCATTGATACCCCTTGCGCTTTTGAAAAGAATTCTATCCGTCCACGAAGGAACTCTCTGTTTCTCAGAAGAATCATAATTCGATGTCCCTTTATCAAATTTATAAGTTGGATAGAATTTGATCCTTCCCTCTTTAAATCCATAGAAGGCTCCCTTCTGTGTCATCTCCTGATTTAATTGATCTACTGCCAACAATTCATCAAAAGCCCCATGTTCAATTAATGATCGACATTGATCATTTGTCATTGATATCCTGTAATTCAAGTCACCAAACCAAATAATCTGATCATGGTCTGCAATTGTATAGTTTCTTGTAAATGTCAATCCTTGCATAATAGTCGAATAATCATTAAACCTCTCTGTGACAGCTGCAGTTCCTGCTGCCAAATGAGAAGTAATCAATGCAAATGAGGTCAGTCCATAATCAAATCGAACGGCACATGCACCTTTATTTGCAGTCATTCCACCCATCCCTGTCTTTTTAGAAGATCCAGCCACTTGAGTAACGTTATGAACCTGTGATTGTTTGACGAATAAGAACAATGACATAGATGACATTGACTCAGTTCTCAATAATAAGTATTGTTCACCATTAGAATTCAATTGGTCTGTTAAAATGTTTGCCCACTTCGTGGGCTTTGATGCATCTGCATTTAAAATGGATCCAGCATTTAGCTCAATTATTTCTTGCAAACCTATTGCATAGACATCTGGAAGTCCCAGATCTAAGTTTTCGGGTGGAAAAAGCCAGGAAGACAAATCAATTGAACTGAACGATGGATCTAGTGCATTAACATTGTATGTACCAGCAAAAATAATGATATCTTTCCATGTAGTATAAATGCCGGCTTTGCTCTTCAATTTTCCTGCAACATGTTCATTAATTGGATCATAGATCTGGACTGGAATGGAATTTTTCGAGTCATACCCGAGTAACAAGTCCATCGTTGATTGTTTCTTCCCATCTACGAATGTGTTCTGATACATTCTTGAAACAGACTTGGTAACATCTGAAAGAGCACCAGCGAAGTTCATCTTCCCGGATCTTGAAAATGATGATTTCAATGCGTTTGTACCAGTATAAATTTGTGATATAGCATCACCGTTGTCAGCCCACAAAGAGTTGTGTCTATTGATTGTGTCCTCTATCCGTGCCCTATCTCTTGAACTATTACCGTGATTGAGTGATTGATTTCTCAATATATGTTCCAAAATGTACTGACTAATAACTTGTTGGATCAAATTGGTTCTATCAAGGCAGTCTAGACAATTAGTTCTGAAAACACCATCTTGACGGGTACAAACTTCTCCCTGTTCCGTGTCATAATAAAACCAGCCAAATTGTTCTAATGACTGGTGGAGTAATGCCAAAATCTTCGAAGCACCAGCAAATCCTCCACTCGCAGGTTTTGTTTCATGGTGAAAATCGAATTCACTGAAGGTTGTCTCCTCCCGGTGATCAGATTGGGTGTAGAGTTCTTTATAGCGACGCAGGACAGCAACTTCGGCGGATTTCGTTTTCGAAAGCAAATTCACGATATGACAAACGCCGTACTTATTGCAAATGTCACTAAAATGCTTATTAAAAACAGGTTGGGTTGCACCCAACGATCTTGTTAGAGTGATTTTTGGATTTATTAACGTTGAGTCTTGCTCCCAAAATGTAGGAACTGAGCCTCTTATTTGCACAAATGCAAAAATGGAAGATTGGGAAGGACAATTGAAAATGAACTCAGTCTCCACAAAGTTGGCAACGTATCCATTATCATCAATTCCCCTTGCATTAAATCTTGTTCCAGCTCTTCTCCAAGATTGTTTTGATATGACGGAAATAGAGTCACCCGAGGAATTCAAGCGAATAGTCTTCGCAAATCCACGAATAACGGTCGTTAAGAAGTGATTATCATCCAATATAGATTGGACATAGGGTTCTAAGTTTGATCTGAAGTTTATAAGCTCCTCCATCATAAATGAGTTCCACATGTAGTCTTGTTGGTAATGTTCCACTGCTAATTTACGAACGGAAGCACCATCGCCATTCTTGATTCTGTCACCAATAATTCCTCTATTTTGTAAAAGTGATGTTAGATCAAAGTTGTTTGAATAATAGAACGTACTGTTTGACAATAACTTCTTCAATTCCTGACAAGGATGGACCGATCTTGCATAGTCAGATGTCTCTTCTTCCTGAGTTCCATTTGCAGCTGTCACTATTGGAAACCCATTAGAATCTAAATTAACGAAGTCCCATTCATCTGAAACTAGAGATATGAATTCAACAGAATAGATCCTATCGACCGATTCATACTCAACGGGACTCGCCACATCTTGAACAGCCCTGGTAATGACAACCAAGAACACTTGATCCTCCACATTAATCAAACCGAGACAACCAGAAATTTCCCTTTGGACAAGAATCCTAAAACCTTTTTCTCTGGTGACCTGTTCATTAGGAATCAACTCCACAGCAACAGAATTGTTCAGGCCCTTCAACAGTTGGAATACCAATGAGTGAGACTCGGAGTATATGGCTATTGTCCTCGGCTTTTCCTTGTACAATACCTTCATTATGGGATGCACTTAACTTAATGTATAATGGGTATTCCCTTGAATACCCAACTTGACAACTCAGATGTATAATTTCTGCAGTGTGCGTGTTTTATCTACTGGGCTCTGGTATAACTTAACCTGTAAAAATAGGTTCGTTGCAGTTTATGTTAACTGAATAATCTGCTTAGATATGGACTGAGTCTATCTTGGATATGAGAATACAGTACAAGGGCTGGCGACAAAGAAATCTATTCAAGAATAGAACCAATTTCAGTCAGTCTTTTTAACACCTTCCATAAGTATTAGCTAATAGCATTTGGGAGCGAAAATGCCTCTTCAAGATAATGTCCACCAAAGGATCGAGTCATTTAAGTTCATTCTAGGATCCACTTCACCTAGAAGGTTGGAGATAGTGCAAAAAAATCTTGGAATTGATGAGGTAACTGTGATTCCATCAGATTACCCAGAAGACTTAAGTAAAGAGGGTATCTCAAACGAGGAATATGTAATGGAGACATGTCGTAAAAAGGGAGAACACATCTTGAATAAGATAAATCTTGAAGGCAAAATGTTGATCTTGACTTCGGACACTGTAATCAGCTGTGGTGGTGAGATCTTTGAGAAACCAACTACCAAGGAAAGGCAAATTCAGATGTTCCAACTATACAAGAGGAATCCAATTATCAAAGCCATCACCGCGGTCAACTTGATAAAAGTAGAGGACTCCGTAATAGAGCAGTACCATGACATTACAACAACAGTCTTACATTTCAAGCAATCGGACGATTTGATAAATCTGTATATCAACTCAGAAGAAGGTCTAAACGTCGCAGGAGGCTTCAAGTATCAAGAGATGGGAAGCCTCTTGTTCCTGGAAATACATGGTGACTATTTCAATATTGTGGGACTCCCAGTGCATACCACATGGGCTTTGTTGAATCAGGCTATGTCTTGAAATGCCTTCACATATATCATCCTGCATATATAGTTATCCATTAATGAGAAAACTCTCATCCCATCGCAGAAAAACTTCATTCTCTATATTCAAAAGGAATCAAGTACTTCAATAATGGCTAAGTCTACCCAGAGAAAAGGAGCATCTACTGTAACCAAAGATAGCACTGAAAAGCCTGCTGATAAATCAGTTGATCAGATCGAGCAAGATTTGCAGTTACCTAATTCGAGCGATGAGCTGGATGAATCTGAAGAGAATTTGTCTGACGAAAGCTCCGATGAACTTGAAGGGCTCTCAGATAATGAGAACGATGAAGAAACAAGAACTACCACTAAGGAAGGGCATATAGTGAACAAAAAGATAAGTAAACAAGTTGGTAAAGCCCTGAGTACCTCTGAACAACGTGGAGTGATTTACATCGGAAGAATTCCTCACGGTTTCTATGAAAACGAGATGAAAAGATATTTCAATCAATTTGGGAATATCATAAACTTAAGAATATCAAGAAACAAGAAGACTGGTAAGTCAAAGCACTATGGTTTTCTAGAATTTGAAAATTTAGCTACCGCTAAGATAGCTGCTGAAACCATGAACAACTACTTACTTTTTGGTCACTTATTGAAATGTGAGGTAGTTGAAAACTTCCATGAGGATTTATTCAAAAATGCAAACAGAAGATTTACTCCAGCAGCTGGTCATAAGATTAGTAAAGAAAAGAATGATAAGCCAAAGACCAAAGAACAATGGGAAGAATTGATAAAGAAACATGAAAACAAGAAATCCTCAAAACAAGCAGAGTTGAAGGACAAAGGAATCAACTTCGACTTAAATAGCATATAAATAAATCAATATCTTGTCACCTTCTCGGTTGGCCAGGAGCAAAAAGGCATTGAAATCTGAACTTATGTAATCCTTCTCATTTTACATCTCCGAAAGAGCATAATCAACCGCAGAATACTTTTTGATACTTAAACCCCGGGCATCGCCTGAGATTGTGCGTAGGCTCAACTTACTCAAAATGGATAATTTTTCCCAATCCACGATTCCGACATATCCAGGTTTTTTTCTGTTGGATAAGTGGGTTATCACATGCTGCAAGATATATATCCATCTCCATCTCCACATACGTAGATTTCATGTGACAGATTGATCTACACTCCAAGTACATATACTTATAAGTAGTCTCAAATTGATTATATCGCGAAAGTAGTGGTCAAAAGTATAACGCGAGTTTTTGGTTCGACTTTTTTCAATCGATCAAAAATCAGGAAACACACCCTATCTTTTCCTATTAGATAAGTACAACAACATGTCTGACTTGAAAGTTTTCACATCCGATGAAGTTGCTAAGCACAATACTGTCGATGACTTATGGATAGTCTACAACGGTAAGGTGTACGATATCACTAAGTACATAGACGAGCATCCAGGTGGAGAAGAAGTCGTTGTCGATGTTGCTGGAACTGATGCAACTGAGGCCTTTGACGACATTGGTCACTCTGACGAAGCCCACGAAGTCTTATCAGGATTGTTGATAGGAAAGGTTGAAGGAGGTGTCATTAAGGAAACAAAGAGTACTAGTGTCACTCAAGAGGGTGGTGTTTCATCCTCTCTTCTTGCTATAGTCGTAATCTTGTTGGCATTTGGAGCTTACTTTTACTTTCAAAACCAATGAACTTAAGACACTATAGAGAAGGATAGAAGTCTATAAGTTACCTATAATACATTTTTATCAAGCATGATGTAAGTTTGGCACAGAGATGGCATAAACCCCTATCACTGGTATAGTTACCACGTAGATGTTTTTCTGTATAAAACAACACCTCGGAAGACGAGGAAAGCTGAACCCAACATTCCTGAGAACATCAAATCTGCAGATTTTTTTGACATTCAGAGTAAAGGAGAATCAGAATGTACAGTTTGGCCTACTCAATAGAGCTGTGAACTATATCCTTCTGGTAATCAATATTTAGTGTAATTCTATTGGAGGAAAACCACACGTGACTCGGTATAATGTTATCTCATTTGGTACCACACAAATTACATCAAATTGCCACTAAAGATTACTATGCAAAGTACAAAATTTATCTAGTACAGTGGTAGAACTGGTCAAACTATAGTGCTCCTTAATGTATTCATGTCGAGTCTCCATAAGGACCGTCTAGTAAAACGGTTTCGCTCCGTTTTGAGAGCCCTATCCTTCTCTTGCTTCTAGACACCTAGTCGTGTGCTTCTCGCTAATTCCATCAGAACAAACTCCTAGATTGCACTACTACTTCCTAAGGAGGGAAATAGACTTCTGGAGATAAGTTGTACGTAGCGTGGAATACCTAGTTTATCCATAAGATTTGTCAATTTATCTAACCTCCTCTATTCCCTGTTACCTACCTCGTGCACAAGCGAAATTGAGCGTAAAACAAGAGTCAAAAGGTAGATAAACCCACTAAAAGTATCATTAAATTGATGTCGATATTTGAAAAGTGGAGAAATTATGGCGCACCCGATTAGATCATAGGATCAATTGCTTTGGGCCAAGCATGCTAGCTCTATTCTTAATAATTTGTCTTTTTAATGACTAGGGAATTTGTAGTCGCTATTCTAGTTGTTATAGATGAATAATCTATACTGCCCAAAGATGCATCAATAAGTTGTTGGTCCAAAAATAAAGAAAGCTTTACCTTGAAGTTGCAAATTTTGTCAGTTTTGCAAGTTCTAGTAAAAATTATTCGAAAATGTTTTCTATTACACATCGATTTAAAATTCGGATACATGAGGTGTAAAATACCAGAGTTAGTTGTATACATTCAGTTTAAAGAACTTCTTTGACGGTTTAACTGTCTAGGCGTGCAAAACATATTGATGTCAAGTGCACTTTGAGCTCTAGTATGGTCCAAATGATTGTAAATGTGCTCAAGGACCTAGTTGACGGGTGATTCAGGTTGGTAGCACCCTACTAGGCTTTTACTTGATCCAAAGTTCTGTGTTGCATAGTACTACGTAATGATCCATGGTCACTCTCCACTGCTCCTCGGAAACCTGCACAAATCGCTTCCGAACTTCCAGGGATCAAAAAATGTTCGAGGATACGCGAAATACGACAGTGAAGTTGACATTTGGGATAGACAATATTGAGCTAGTCAATGATAAATAAATAGTAAAGAAAAAGAGGAGAAAGGCGGAGAAGGTATCGTCATGAGTATTGGCAACCGTCGAAACAATTTCTTCTCGAACCAGAGAATCGATAATAAGCAGAAGGTCAAAAATTAAAGATTCGCGGTGGAGTATAATCACAAATTAGTGAAATGTGGCGCAACCATATCCACCAATTATGGTATATATACACGGTAAATTGATGTGATTTATGGGTGTGCTCAAGTCTACTGGACAAGATACTACATATATATTGTTTCAATAAAACAAAAATCTTATACTCTGCTAGTTTCGCCTGCACACAAGGTTCTGTCAAACTAACAAAAAGTGGGGTCAGCTTATTCATAAATAGCGGCGGTTTGGATTGCAAGTTTACGTACAAGAATGTCTAAATACGGGGTATCCACTAAATTCTGTCAATTGTTGGGATTAAAAGTGCCGTTGATTCAGTCCCCAATGGCTGGAGCTTCTACGCCTAGAATGGCTTCTGAGGTTAACAAAAACGGGGGCTTAGGATCCATCCCATTGGGATCGATTGATCTTAGGAAGGGAATCGACGAGATGAGAAAAGAAGTCTCTGAATTTATAAACTTGACTCCAAATGATCCAACTTTGGTGAATCTTAACTTTTTTTGTCACGAAATTGTCAATGAAGCCTCAGCAACCCAACAAAACAATTGGTGGGAGTTGTATTCTGAAGCTGTTCCCTCAATTAGGGAATTAAGAGAGAATTCTACTTCTAAAGTTTCATTTGAAAATGGAAGCTGCTCTTTCAGGGAAATTGAACAAAAATATCCAAGTATTCTTCTGGATGTTTTCGGATACTTGAAGGAAGTACAACCTAAAGTTGTGAGCTTTCATTTTGGAATCCCTTCAAAAGAGACCATAATACGACTTCAAAAGATGGGTATTCTTGTTTTTCTAAGCGTTACTTCAGTTGATGAAGCAAGAGCTGCAGCGCAAGCTAATATTGATGGGCTCGTATGTCAAGGGTACGAGGCAGGGGGCCATAGAGGGAACTTTTTAAGCACAGAAAATCTGGATAAAAAATTGTCTACTCTTTCGTTATTTACCCAAATTCAATCAATTGGTTTGAAACACGAAGACAGAGAAGTGTTTGTCATCCCAGCAGGTGGGATAACTGACGGGAAAACCATTGATAATTATTTGAAGTTAGGTGCAGCGGCAGTCCAGATGGGAACCTTGTTTTTAGCAACTCCCGAATCAAAGACAAATCAATTTTACCGAGATGAATTGGAACGAGATGCACAGCTGGATACAGTAATGACTTCGTTAGTCTCAGGAAAACGCGCCAGGGCAATTAAAACGCCGTTTTTGAGCAAATTGATTGATACTCAAAGAGTGAAGGTGTATCAATTACCACCCTATGGCCTGATGTACAACGCCTTCAAGGATTTGAAGGGATTAGTGAAGGATCAGGATTTAGGCGTATACTTCGCTAGTGACAAGTACCCTTCGATAAAGTCCGGTTTAACCACTTGTGAAGTTGTTAGAGAGTTGAGCAAAGACCTCTAAATAAAAATAAGTAATATGAATCCTTATGCGGTGGCCATTAACGAAACTATACAAAATTGCAGAATATACCATATTTATGACATCGTTATTATCATGATTTTCATCAGATCTGTGCTCTCGAGCAGCAACTAGGATCATAATTTGTAGTATATGGGAGTACAAGTTAAAAAAGGGAAAAGGACATCATCTCATTTTTTGCTACACTAGATTGATGTTATGATGAAGTGCTTCCAACTCAAATTAGTTGACCTTATCCCTAAATAGGTTTAGTGATTATTATGTTAGGACACAGCTTACATAACCAAGTTACGCACTATTAGATAATCCACCCATAAAAATTTTCAACACAAGTTGAACGGTTGCGATCACGTAAGGTACACCAAGAACACATCATTAGCTATTATGCCTGCCTCAAACACTTCATCAAACAATATTCAGTTCACCTTATCAGATGAATCGAAGGAAAGAATCATTAAGGTTTTGGACTACTCAAAGACTGTTGCTCACTACGGTTTCATTCCTTTCGTTTTGTATTTAGGATGGTCCACCAGCCCAACTAAGCCATCTTTATTCGGTTTGTTAAGTCCTTTCCCAACAGCTTAAATGAATTAACGTTACTTATCCCTCGTTTGATTTGGCTGGAATCGCAGGAAGTGTTCCCACTGATACTCGAGAGTCTGTTTTTAATGAAATTTGGAATGTGAAACAGGAAAATGGTTTATTATTTGCTATGGTACGTTCAAATAGTGAATTTATCAACAACAAATTCCTTCCCGACTGTCCACTGTCCATAATAATTCCAAAGTAAATCTACTTTATTGTCTATTTTAACTAATGGGAATTAGCGCCCCTTGTATATATGTGCAGTTAAATGAAAAGAAGCCTTAGTGTATACTTGTAGAGTTTCTCAAAATATCTTGGGAGTCATAGACTTCCATCGGTTACATTTGCTCTTCTCATAGGTACTTCAGGCTCATTTTTTTTAAGTGAGATGAAATCGATTAGATCACACAACCACAGTCCCGTGTCACAAGCAACTCCCATAGATAATATCGAGAATTTGAAAGGCCGTTATATGATGGATGGCGATGCACCAAAGTCAAAGGTATCTTTAAGCAACAGGCAAATTGAGTTGATATCCGGATTAAGTGCAGGGTTCTCAACAACCATAATTACTCATCCTTTGGATCTTATTAAAGTGAGGTTACAACTTTCTACAAATCAACCAGGAAAACCATTTGAGGCTCTCACCAATGTATTCCGAAAGATTCATAGAGATGGGTTCATATCCTCTTCTCTCATACGGCATGATCAATCATTCACGTATCTTCGACCAAGCCATTACAAGTTATTCCACATCATGAAACAATATTATAGAGGCATCACACCCAATTTGATAGGTAATATATCCGCTTGGGGCTTGTACTTTGCGCTTTATGCAGAATTTAAGACTCACTTGAGGATGTCAAATGAAACAACTAATTATTTTGGATCTTCGATGCTTGCTGGGATATCTACAAGTATATTGACAAACCCCATTTGGGTACTTAAGACTAGAATATTGGGAACTTCTCGAAGTCAGGGCGCAGCATATAAATCAACTGTTGATGGGATAAGGCAAATATTGAGAGATGAAGGAGCCAGGAGTTTTTGGAAAGGTACGATTCCCAGCATGTTTCTGGTACTTCAAGGAAGTCTTCAATTCACTTTCTATGATCACCTCAAGGACTTTTTTGACAAGAGGAGAGGACGAGCAGACAGAAAGAGGCAGATTTCTACGCAAGAGTATCTTTATTCGTCAGCCATTTCGAAGATTCTTAGCATGGTGATTATGTATCCATCACAAATTGTTAGATCTAGATTACAATTTCATACTAAACTGGGAGTAAAGGTAACCATCAGCTCTACAATGAGACAGCTATGGGAAAATGAAGGTCGGATTAAAGCTTTCTACAAGGGGTTGAGTGCAAATGTTTTACGGGTTGTTCCTGCAACTTGTATTACATTCTTGGTGTATGAGACTGTCAAAGACTTGTTGCACTCAGAGAACGAGGAACAATAAGAAGAAGAAGCACTCTTAAACAGGCTTGCAAAAATTTACATCAGCATTTAATAGATTTAGAACCGGATACTGGCATATCAAGGATGTATTTTCTTGTCCTTTATTAGTGCATTTGTAGCTCTAGTAAGTAATTTCGCACTGATATCAATCAACAAAACAGAACGCGTCTCAGGCTTCCATAGACACTTTAGGGCTGAAAATTCACAGATGGAACCAGAAGTTAAGAGGAGACGAACAACCAAGGGGTCAAAAGCAGAGCCATTAGTGGATAATGCGGAGTATAATGCGATTGGTCTAGTGGAAAAGAGCAATTCCATTCCAAATCAACCGTTGGAAGACCATTTGCCTGAAGGAAAGCAGTGGCAACCACAATCTGTTAAAGGATCAGCATTAATTGGTTCAACTACTTGTCATTCAGAAATTCCAGATAAGATAAAACAAGACATGTCACTTCCTGTTATCTTGGGAGTTGATGAGGCTGGTCGTGGTCCAGTACTTGGGCCAATGGTGTATGGGATTGCGTATTCTTTGAAGGATCAGGCATTACCTGGATTTGATGACTCGAAAGTGCTTAAAGATCTGAAACGGAAAGAGTTGTTTGAAGCTATTGATTCATTTAATCTTGGATGGGCGACCCGTACAATGACTGCGAGAGACATCCTGTCTGGTATGCTTCGCTCATCTCTTGGTGATGGGGCATACAATTTAAATGCACAAGCACACGATACCACAATACAGCTCATTAAAGAGGTGTTGGCCATGGGTGTGAATGTCACAGAAATATTCGTTGATACTGTTGGCCCCCCTGTTACCTATCAAGCCAAGCTCAAGAGTCATTTTCCAAGTATTGATATTACAGTTGCAAAGAAAGCCGATAGTATCTATCCAATCGTGAGTGCAGCTTCAGTGGTGGCTAAAGTGACGAGAGATCTTAACCTTGAGCTCTACACTTCTACATACCTCAAGGGCCATTCCATCGGTTCTGGTTATCCATCTGATCCCAACACATCTAAGTGGTTGCATGCGAACGTGGATCCTGTCTTTGGGTGGTTGGGATTGGTTCGTTTCCTGTGGCAGACTGCCAAAGATTCTTTGAAGAATCACCAGGGAGTCGAGGTGATATACGAAGAGGAGATGCATAATGCTCAAATGGATGTAAGTTCATATTTTGGAGCACGGTCCACAGCTAATGATGGAAAAAAACCCGCTCTATCTGGAAACAACCTGGGACAAAATCTGCCTTCATCTAAGATAAAAAGCTACAGTAGATCGTTTTATATAGATGAAGTATCGTTATAGACATCGTACACATATCTGCCACCTCCAACTAGATCTTGTCTATATGCCGGCCCGAGAAATAGTCCGTAATTGTGCACGCACTCTATGTCTCCCGGGCGGAAGTTTAGCTCCGCGCCGGGAGACACTGATGCGATCGATGAATTAAAGCAAACTTTAAGCTGTTTTCTTTTTAATTTTGAATCAACGCTCTCAAAGACTAGTAAACATCATCATCAACTATGTCCGCCTTGCTTAGATGTGCTCGTTCGGTGCCACGGATGGTCCGTTTCTACTCCAAGTTCCCTCCACACACTGTGATTAACATGCCAGCATTATCACCTACGATGACCCAAGGTGGAATTGGCCTGTGGTCTAAGAAAGTTGGTGATGAATTGCAGCCAGGTGAAGCTATTGCTGAAATTGAGACTGACAAGGCCCTGATGGACTTCGAATTCCAGGAAGAAGGTTTCTTAGCCAAGATTTTGGTCGAAGAAGGAGCCAAGGATGTTCCAGTCGGTAAGCCAATTGCCGTGTACGTTGAAGAATCTGGTGATGTTGCTGCATTTGAGAACTTCACTGCTTCCGATGCCGGTTCTGGTGAAACTCCAAAACCACAAGAATCTGAAGCTGAAAAGACTGAACAACCAGAGGAAAAGAAGACCGATGACGCCCCAAAGAAGACCGCTGAGCCAAAGAAATCTAGCTCTGCCGCTCCATCTACCCGTATCTTTGCTTCTCCATTGGCCAAGACTATTGCTTTAGAAAAGGGTCTCTCCTTGAAGAATGTCAAGGGTTCCGGCCCAAGCGGTAGAATCCTTGCCAAGGACGTTGAGAACCTTAAGGCTCCAGCTGCTGCTCCAGCTGCCCAAGCTGCTCCAGCTGTTTCTGGTGCCACTTACGAGGATGTCCCAATCTCTGGTATGAGAAAGACCATCGCTTCCAGATTACTCCAATCTACCCAACAATCCCCATCTTATATTGTCCAATCTCAAATTACTGTCTCTAAGTTGTTGAAGTTGCGTCAATCTTTGAATGCATCCGCCGAAGACAGATACAAGTTGTCCGTCAATGACTTATTGATTAAGGCCATTGCCTTAGCTGCCTTAAGAGTCCCAGAAGTCAACTCTGCTTGGTTAGGCGACGAAGGTATCATCAGAACCTACAAGAACGTGGATGTTTCTGTTGCTGTTGCCACTCCAACTGGTTTGATCACTCCAATCGTCAAGAACGCTCACACTAAGGGCTTGTCATCTATTTCTAAGGAAGTTAAGGACTTGGGCAAGAGAGCCAAGATTGGTAAGTTGAACCCTGAAGAATACCAAGGTGGAACCATCTGTATCTCCAACTTAGGTATGAACCATGCTGTGAACAGCTTCACCTCCATTATCAACCCACCTCAATCTGCCATTCTTGCCATCGGTACTGTTGACAAGAAGGCCGTCCCATCTACCGTCAACGAACAAGGCTTCGTTTTCGAAGATACCATTACTATCACTGGTACTTTCGACCACAGAACCGTCGATGGTGCCGTTGGTGGTGAATACATAAGGGAATTGAAGAAGATTGTTGAAAACCCATTGGAAATGTTGATCTAAGCAAATAGAAGTAAACACTGCTCAATTATCTAGTTGGCTAGCGTTAATATTACAAGTTAATAATTCAAAATACACTGACAATTGCTTCTTCGTGCAAAAGAATTCAGACTTTGTAGTTTTTCTGTAGAGACTCCACAGTTCTGACCATGTGCAACTTTATTAGGATTCTCGCTCAGAAAAACGTTCCTTTAAAAACAAATTACAATTGAAGGTGTAAGTGCTGCGAGTATACCACAATGGCCTTAAAGAGAATATACATATCTAGACACGGATATCGTGCCAACTGGTTACCCGAGCCACATCCACCAAACCCAACTGGCATTGATAGCGATCCCCCCTTGGCACCACATGGAGTTGATCAGGCAAAGCAATTGGCAGCGTACTTAACCTCCTTGCCTGACAATGAAAAACCCCAATTTATATTGTCGTCTCCATTCTACAGATGTGTTGAAACAGGCCGCCCAATAGCCGAGATGTTGTCGTTGTCGATTGCTTTGGAGAGAGGTGTTGGTGAATGGTACAAAAAGAATAGAAAGATCATTCCTGAGCCGGCTGACTACAATAGATTAAGGTCGTTCTTCAACAATGTTTTGGTGGAAGAATCCTTTTGGCCAAGAGACGATACGGTAGGAGTTATCCCCAATCTCTCCGGTGAATCTGAAGAAGAAATCTTTCAAAGGGCAGAAGAATTTTGGGTTAAATTTATTCCCGTGTTTGAGAGCAGATTTCCAGAATTTGAGAATGTGTTGATTATCACACATGCAGCTACCAAAATAGCATTGGGACTGTCTCTTTTAAAGTTGAAAGGTGTACGTGATTACCTCGATGACAACAAAACAACTTTAAGAGCGGGTGCATGCTCCTTGGATTTGTATAGAAGAGCAGGTCTGAATTGGGAGTTGAAGATGAATGGAAACTGTGATTTTTTGACAGAAGGAGAGGAGATGAATTGGAACTTCCATTCAGGCTTTGAAGCTGGTTCTGATGAGGATATAAAGGCAAGAAAAGAAGAAGAGAGGAAGAAGAAATTGAAGAAACAAGAATTGGCAGAAAAGGCCGAAGATGAGAGTGTCAGAGAGACAACACCAGTGACTGAACTTGCTAGTGGAGATATAGACATTCCAGAAGAAGAATACAAGGTACGTTTATAGATAAATTTCGATAGACCCAATTAGATACAATACTAACGCACTCAGGACTTCTATATTACCATAGACATACCAATGATTGGAAAAACTCAGGATTTTGAAGAGTCAAACAGTTTGGAAACACCCCGTTCCAAGAACAATATAATCAAACCATCTGCCCATTTTCAATTAACAGAGCTTGATAACGACAATCCGCTTATAAAGTTGTCAAACAACTCAAACATTGGGGGCAGTAACGAGCTTGGTGGTAATAACGACTCATTAAACAACTTGAGCGTGATCGATGGAAAGATTTATCAAACAGACTGGAAGAAACTAGTGGGCACGGATCTTATTTTTGATGACTATGGCGCCTTGATTGGGCAGGTAAATGAACACTTACTGTGTAATGAACATGTCAAAATCGTACCGCGGGAATCGAACAAAGTGAAAGAAGAAGCTGAAGATGATGAAGATCTTCTTGAAAGAGATGATGAAAGTAAGACACAGCATGAAACTCAAACTCAATTTCTTAAAAAGGCAATTAAAACTGCCAAAAAGAAATCTACAGCGTAGTACAGACGAATTCCTAGTCTAAAATTATCTCTCTTCTTTGGTACATAGTCAATTTACTGGTTTAATGGGACTATCTGATGTCAAATTTACTTTTTTGCAATAACTATTCTCTGAACATGATTCATAAACAGTTGCAAATTGGTATCATCGGTCAAAATGTCCAGTCCACCTACAAAAGGTTGGTTTGGATTTGTAGTGTAGCTGGTTGAAGGATTCAATTTTGCCATGAGGAACCTAGCTTGTGATCCACCTTCGTCACAGTCAATGAAACGAGGCAAAGGAAACCTATCCATTAGAATTTCAATTGCTTCCTTTTTGGGGGCTTCCAAGAAGGTCTTAAAGTGAGCATACTCCTCTTGTTCATGATACTTCGCCTTTCTCCACTCTGCAACCTTTGAACCATGGAAAATCAAGATGTGGAAAAATGTATCTAATAGTAACACCTTGGTATGTCCTAAGGACATCGAATCAAGCAAAACTGGTTCGGGTTCATTGTTTGGCTCTCCAGTTACATCACTAATCGCGCCGAACGTATCAACATCGTATGATAGCAATGTTGGTTGTACCATGATCAATGAGTTTGTGACGTCTTCATGCATAAAAATGTGTCTCACAAAACTTGTTTCATCCGGTGAATTGTTAAAAACGTTGATGAAGGGTGATCTTCTCAAGTGATATAAGAACTGTGGAAACATTGCGTACGTTGATGATAATCTAAATGAGTCCAAATCACCTGGACGGTAAACCGCAAATCTTGCACAGTAGTCTATCAACTGCTTGTCTAAGTATTTAATGACTGCCCCTTGTGTCATCGTAGATGCATTTGAGTTGTTAGACTTATTCGGTTGTAACTTAATGATAGCTGCTCTAGCAACTAATACTAATGCTGCTTCTTGATCAAAACCTAATTCAAGATTACTTATGTCTGAATCTGCTATGATTGGAATGGGAATGGTAGTCACTCTTAGTCTCAATTCTCCACTAGGGTGCTGGTAATGAAACAAAAATTGAACGAAGGTATATGGGTTGTTTGAGTCCATCTTTTCATAGTAGAGCGCATATGTAGATTGTGGGTTGACGTTGCATAGCTTCCACGATGTTGTACTTCCCTCACCTATAATCGAGTTTGAAATGCATTTCTCAATGTATTGATTATCCTTTTTGACAGGTAATGCTGTTGCATTACCGATTAAGCCTTGAATCTTCAAATCAGAAGAAGTTTTACATTCTAAAGTTGAGTTGAAGCCCATATCCAAATAATCCGAATTCTCGTCATCTTGTTTGTTGAAGAACTTCACAAAACTTTGCTTGAAAATTGCAGTGCTAAATGAATCACTCATGACAATTACTCCACCGCTCTTGTAGCATACTTCATCCATTTCGTACAATCCAATCTGATCGTAGCTTCCAATAAAGTAATTGCAACTTAAGCCCATTGATACAATATTCTTAGTAACTTGCGCATAAAACTTCCTTGCTTCTTTGAACAAGGTCATGTCCACTTTTGTTTTCGTAGAAGTATTCGGAGCCAGGGGCAATGTGGAGTGTATAGATTTTTCGATATCATGATGAGATCTCAACGGTTCCTTCAAAGGCTTATGCACTATTTTGCCCGGTCCATAGGTACAAGCACCTCCAATAAAGCACATTATGTGCCCGCCAGTAGTTGTAACATTATCTCCCAATATTGATTGTAATAAAAGGGATGCAACATTTAATGCACAGCCGGTTGATCGATCTGGCCTTTCTTGAAAATTATTTCTAGGAAATGTATTAGTTACCAAACTTTCAAGGATGTTAGTTAATTGATATTCAACAATACTGATAGGCTGAAGAAATCTTCTACCTGAAGATCCTAATATTCTATCAATAGGTGAGTCGTTGTTATTGACGTTCTTCAATCCATGGCCCAAGAAGCCCAATGATTTTTGGAGTTCATCCAAGGTATAATTTTTATTACCGTTGAAGGTGTATGCTGTTTTGTCTTGGGAAAGTAAATCAAATATTTGAACATGTTTTCCAAAACTAATCAATCCCACGAGGGCATTATCAGGAAGAAGACTCAAAGAAAGCACCAATGACTCTTTGAGAGCTTGGTATGCATCCTCAATATCTTCGGTATCGAAGCATGTGTCAACAACGTAGAAAAATATGGGGGGTAATGCACTGGTACGACCACTTAAATACTCCACAGTTGAACAATCTTGGCCCAAGCTAGCAGGCAAGATTGGTTGGCCGTTACCATCGATCCTATTACCCAACCTGTTTGAAAATCCACAAAAATGACATGACCAGAGCTCATTATTTACTTGGACGTAAGGATTCAACACAGCACGGCACTGACGACACATAAACAATTCATTATTGGGAAGAACTGGAATTAAAGTCTTGTTGTTCAAGGGAGTATACAAACTTCCAAAGGGAATGACATTGCGATGATGTTGGAGCTTTGATTTAGGTAAACTATTCCACGAAAGTCTGACTCCATCTTGGACTTCTCTAGCGTCGAAATCCATATTGAAATTGAATGGCCGTGTATAGATTAAAAGTCACCCGAGAAGGTTAATGACAGATTATTTCTTTGACAAATCAGCCTAACTAGTTATAATATTCCAAGCAATAACTATATTGACCAATAGAAACCACACACCTTGTCTTAAACGCTCAATGGATTCTGAACCAAAATAGTTAGAATTTTTATCAAAGATTCATGAGATCATTCTCGAGACTCTGACACAAAAGTGATTTTCCCCAAGACTTAAGCCCGCCGGACATTAATGCTTGAATAAGTCATCACACACCATTCAGGCAAGGGTACTTCACTCTGAAATCAACGTTAAGCATCAAGAAGATTCTACTGCTTTTTCGTTCATAAGAATTAAAAACATACTACAACACCCTTAAGTTTGCATACAGTTCTCAGTGTCTGAACTTTTCAGTCCTTAGTTTAGTGGGGATAAATGATGTTACGACTTCATATATGGAGGCATAATGGGTCCTTGGGAGTGGCTAGAACTCGCACGCCTATACACAACAGTTATAGCAGATCTCGTTCTCTATTCAAACGTTTTGCATCCTCGGTTTCAGAAGAAGAAGAGTCATTGGACTATTCTACAAGAAAAGGGACCATTAGTGCAAGTCCCGAGAAGTATTATCCACCCATTTACAGTGCAAGGAACTCAATCAGTGGTGGATTAGGTGAATTGATAAGAATAGAAGATTTCCGGGTGAAGTTTGACAGCCATGACTTCAGTCAGTACCCCCAAAAGAGGCATCCCGATACCTTTATTGTCGAAGGAAAGATAAAGTCTATCAGAAAGTCTGGAAAAGCGATGTATTTTATTGACTTAATACAGGACGATAAGAAGCTTCAGGTGATGGCAAGTAACAAACTCATGAATATGAGCAAGGACGAATTCGATGAAATCCACCAGTTCTTTAAGAAAGGAGATTTTATAATTTGTACCGGGGCAGCATCTACTACCAATGTGGGAGAACTTACCATTAAGTTGAACAAACCAGTGAGTTTACTCTCCCCAAGATTAACCATGGTCCCTAATCGATTGGTGGATAGGGGACTTATCAATTCGAACAGAGTCTTGAACTATTTAGCAAACGAGGAGTCGCGTAACCCAATCTTGATAAAATCATGGATAACACAGTCAATCAGAGCATATCTATTGGAAAATAACTTTTTGGAAGTTCAAACTCCCTTATTGGCAGGGGCAGGTACAGGTGCGAATGCTCAACCTTTTATCACTAGAGCCAAAGCAATCTCATCAGTCGCCGAAAACGAGTTACAGTTGCGTGTTGCTCCTGAGTTATGGCTCAAAAGATTGGTTGTTTCTGGTTTCGATAAAATTTTTGAGATAGGGACGAACTTCAGGAATGAAGGGGTTGACGCTACTCATAATCCAGAGTTCACTACATGTGAATTTTACAAATCCTATACTGGATTGTTAGAATTGATGAAAATGACAGAGGAGTTATTTAGATACATCCACCATGATTTGTCGAAGAAAGATGCTCTGAACTTAAAACACACATTGCCCAAACTTAACTTTCCTCAGGAGTTCCCCAAATACGAATTTGTCCCAACATTGGAAGCAAAAACAGGTCAGAAGCTTCCTACCGAACTCACTTCTTCCAACTTAGTTGAATATTACACGAGAATAGGCTTAGCGGTTCCAGAAAATTTGTCGCCGCATAGCTTATTGGATAATTTGTCAGGAGTTTACTTGGAGGCAATATCTAACGAAACCCCAAATACCCCTATAATTATTTACAATCAACCTGCTGTACTTTCGCCACTTGCAAAGTCTGCTAAGATTTCCTATGGAGTAGGGATGGAAAGCAAAGAGTATGAAATTTCATTGAGATTCGAATTATTTATCAATGGAAAAGAGTATGTCAATTCATACGAAGAGGAAAATTCTCCTTATGAACAGCTCGCCAAATTTAAACTTCAACAGCATGCAAAATCAGAATTCAATGATGCGGACCTGTTGATTCCTGATTGGGAATTTATAAAGGCGATCGAATTGGGTCTACCACCTACGGGGGGTTGGGGTTGTGGAATAGATAGAATTGCTATGCTATTCAGTGGAGTGGAAAGAATTGACTCGGTGCTTCCTTTTGGAAACGTCAGAGACGTCAAAAAACAGTAATAGAGTTGTACATGTAAATAGAAATCATACCAAACATATCATGTAATTTTTCGTTAACGTGATTGAAATAGTGAGACAAGATTATAGTTTTACCAATTTTCTGCAATTTCATATCAAAAATTCTGAGTACCATAAAAATTACCTGTAACATTCTACAGAGTACACAAGTTGGCTTTGGGTCTATGGTAATCATCCTGCTCAACTTCGGTCTGATACAGGCTTGGAATCAGGCTATTATTTCTGGGTGGTTTCCCGGTGTACACACGACTATGCGTTGGCAACATTCCATGCAACACGAGTGATCCGCCTATATTTTCCAGTTTACCCGTGATCAAGACTAACGAGCACAACACAACTGTAATCTAAATAGACAATAACGAGTTTAACGTGATTACATAAGCGGAGTTCCAGCTGATGTTTCAGATGCCCCAATTGCTACAGAACCATACCAAGCGGCTATTCAAACACCATACATTTCGGCTACTGGTTATGCGTTTTGGTGAGCCAAAGAATGTTGTTGAAGGTGAACTTGCAATATTACAATAGTCGTCAATCATTCCCTGGGCAAACCAGAAAATGCGAAACGACAGTGGGGCATTTTCGGAGCCAGGTATTGCAGCAAAAACCAAAATTAGAACTGCCGGAGAAAATAGAAGAGTGGGGGAGTGGGAGAATGAAGGGCTCTACAATTCACCATTCCTGTCCAATACAGCCCCAAAATGTCATGTACAGGAGTTTGGTAACACAGCACGCGTAATGCCGCCCCCATCCCCTGCAAGATTCCGTAAACGTCGCTAGTGGGCGCAAGGTACAGGATTAGACTGCACCAAATTTCAACCTCAGAACCGGTTTCATTTGGCGTGAGTCGAGGATACGCCTCGATACCCGTTCTTCAGGGACCAACTTGTACCATTGTGGGCCGCGTAGTGTATGTAGCGTTGCCTGTCTGGGGCAGCCCTGCACTCAGTAAGGCGAGAAAATTCCCGTAGCACCTCTCGTACATGGAGGAGTCCGTCTCATTAACCGAAAGGAGAAAAATCACAAACGCCCAATTGTGATCCGTTGACTGTTAGACGAGGACTTGGAGAAAGAAACAACTGAAGACCATAGACTCTACTTCTACAGCGAATACGCCTAGGAATACGACATACCTGCCTTGGAACATAAGGGTCAATACACCACACGGTTGATAGACTTCCTTCCTGAACACGTACCCGTTGATACATCCAGATTCGGTCTCCGTCAGTTTTTCGGTCAAAGGATAAACAGCCACCTCAAAATTACGGAAGAAGTACAACTTCTTACTGAACTGATCTACCCATAGCTCAAAGGCTTAACGGATTTCACACCCAATCGGCTTGCTTTCTGAACACTCATCCTACTTATCTCTTCATCGGTCAACTCAGTTGTCTTTTTTAGTCGATCTTTAATCTTAATTCATCATGAGAAAGATTTGGTCCCTGAGAAAAGAGAGAGACAAGAGAAAGAGCTTGTCTAGCACCCAACAGCTTTACACACAATCTGAGATCAATCAGCAGCAAAACCTTACTCAGCACCATAATGCACCACATCAAACAGCCCAACAGATCCCCGATTACGATGCCTCTAATCAAACCATCACTGAGGATTTCAATGACGATTACTCCACGTTAGCAAATTCCACAATAACTTCTATAAATGAAACTAGCTCATTGCTGAATTATCCGGCTTCAAGTGGAAAGCACTCTCATGGACACAACCACTCGCCTTCAGTCAATTCTACATTGAATTCTTCTGCTGCTTCTATCCACAAGGGCAGCTATGGAGCAAGATCAGTGTCTGCATTGGCTAAATCCGACTATGACTCCAAATCAATCAAACTGTCTTGGCTAAACGTGATGGTCAATGCCGCTTCAGCGGATGAGATCAGTGAACGCACATTGAAGCTTTTTAGAGCAGAATTGAAAGGTTCCCACTTGTATTTGTTTAAGCCACATCCAAATTTGAATATCAAAAGTTTCAGACTCAGTGAAAACCAGGATCAGAACACCTTAAATCCCTTAGCTAGCGCTAGCGCAGCTTCGGGTGCTACTGCTCCCACAGCCCCAGGACAATCCTCAGAGTTAAATCCTCCTTCTTTGCCAGGCAACCAGCAAGCATCTAATTCAACCACTTCGCTTACCTCCACCCCAACCACTGAGTTCTTCAAGCACGGAAATAGCTCAAACATAACAGTTCAAGATATCGGTCCTCCAACCACCATAACAGCAAACACTTCAGACTCAACAACATCCGTCCCTAATTTAGTTTCTGCGGACCCATTGGCATCAGTTGATTATGCGATTACTTATTTCGATACAACGGTTCCTCATCCAGATCTCAGTTACGATTTTGAAGCACATCATTTCACAGCGTCTACTGCATCAATTCAATTAGCATTTTCTTCTTCAGCAAAGTCCAATTCTATCGAGTCCTTGATTCACTTTATTTTGTTTAATGTGGATGAGCGTGATAACAATTCGGTGAAGTCAATTATCAACACAATGCCGATCTTGCCAACATTTGGAAAGATATTAAAGTTGATTTGTTCATTTTTGACGGCAATCTTTGGTAAGAAATTCAACGGAGCATACAACCTGAATGTTATAATCGAAAGAATTTTGGATCTTCTTTACAACATTGAAGAGAATTTCAATGGCTTCCTCTTGAAATCAGATGTTGCTCCTTACATTTTGAGAATATTAGAAATGTTATCAGAGCATTTAGAATCACTCAAGGAAAGGAATGATCATCTCTCGGAAGCGAATGCACAGATCTCATTGGAAACTGCATTGGGAGAGAAGGACGAAGTCAAAGACCAAGGGAATAAAGATGAGATAAAACAGGTCAAAAAACCACAAAACCCAAGTTATGAAAGTGAAATTTCAAAAATTCTGGAGTTTAAGAGAGTAATGCTTTCGAAGCAGCAAGGGTTGATTAATCTAGTTTCCAACGATAATCTCATGATTGCAGATATAAACCCAATTCAGGAATTAAGTTCATTAGTTTTCATGAACGAATTAAACTTGATTGACTTTGCTACTACGATCAGTGCCATAGATCTTAATTTCTTTAAGAAGTGGAATTCCAATATTGATAAATCATTGTTGTTGTACTCTTCAATTAATAGTGGACTTGATACCAGTTCTAATCCAGCAGCAGTTGCTTTTGATTTCTTTTACAAGAAGAACCCCTTGATTTTTAATAACGATCATCACATTCATTATTTGTCTAGACTATTGATCAACCATTTGTTCATTGAAAATTCTCTGGTCAATACGCCATCTACAAATTCATCTGGGCTCAGTTCATCTGTCTTGGAACGTAAGGCTCGTCTTTTGGAAAAGTGGATTGATTTGGGATGTTTGCTTGATAAATCAGGGAATATGTCTTCATGGCTAGGTATTTCTTCCATAATTTTATCTCAACCAGTTTTAAGGTTAACTAAGATATGGTCTCTAGTTTCCCCTGATTACATCAAATTATTGAAGAACGATTGGTCACCTGTCCTTTTCGAATTAGATAGAAGATACTTGGCAAATGGCTCACTAAATTCTGATAAGTTGAACTCAGCTACATCCCCTAATACCCCCAACCCTGCTTCTAATAACGATGAAGATACAAGCCCTAAAGATTCGTATCATATCATGGCTCCTAGAGGACTCGGTAAGATCTATCCAAAGGAGAAAGTGATTCCTTATTTTGGTGACTTATTGATTAACAATTCAGTTGGCTCCACCAGTAATATCTTGGAGTTAGAATCAATTTGGAAGAGGATCAATTACTCCTTCAACAGGTGGAATGAGTATTTATCTAATTTGGTCAATTACAATGAGATTATCAAGTACAATGATGATGTGTTGAGACGTTATGATAGCATGGGTTTTATATTTTCTAACGAGAGCTTGAATCAAGTGTTATATTTGGGAGTCAATAGTGATGACGCTAAGTCTTTACCTTCAAACTATGACGCAGAGTCAAAAGACAGCGACAGCTCTTTCCAGGAAGTAAAGGAAAATCACGAATTGCGGAACAAATTGATTAGATTGATAGAAGTGAATTGTGATTCTATCAATTTGGAGAGCATTATGAGATTATCTTTGATTTTAGAGCCCGAATTACCCGAGGCATACTTGAAGTGCCCATCAGCACAAGGTCCAGATGTTAGTTTCATGAGACACAGAAACCTAAGCTCTTCGAATATATCTTTGCACTCCAATGATTCTACAACTTCCTTGAACGCTCCGTCTATTTCAAACTTTAATGGGAACGATGGACCTTCAGTGTCCGATACTCCGGCTTCAAGAATACCCACGTTTAACAATAATTATTTCAAGATCAACTTATCCAAATATGATGAATTGGTAAATGTGAGCACCAACAGCTCCAGCGTGAAGGACTCCAAACTTCAACAACTTCTCGATCCTTCAGCGAATAAGCAAAACTTGGTCATTGATAGTGAATTGACATTTAGAGTCGACGATTTTGTGAGTGGTATTGATATGGCAAACTCAACAGCCTTGAATGCGTTGGATGATGTGGACAATGATGACGATGAAGATGATGTTCCTGGTTTAGGCATTGATGTGGATGATATTTTGAATTCCGAAAAATTCAATAACTTCACGATGTCACCTAATCCGAACGCAAGTAACTCTGAAGTTGAAAATCCAGCTACCTCAACCGCACCTAATGTGGGGACAAAGAAGCCCAATAATTACAGTGTTATCTCATCTGAATCATCGAATGGAATTGGCGCTCCCCAAACATACAGGTATATCCCAAAGTATGCCAGCATTGACAAGTTGATTGATCTACTTTTGATAGATTCTAAGTACTTTGATGAAAATGTCTCGATGGATTTGACTGAATACAGATTTGTGTTTTTGCTCAATTACAATTCATTCATCACTACCAAGGAATTGTTAGACAAATTAGCTCACAGGTTCATCAATTCAGGAAATGCCGTGATTTCAGTTATGAAGAAATTGTACATTCTTAGAAGTATGGATGGAAGTAATGGTGAACCATTGTCCTACTCTCAGCCAAAGATTAATATGGAATTTCCAAACTGGTCTTTGGATACTGAGGTAGACTTGAATGAATTAGGTGATGTCGACTATGAATTGCTTCTCAAGATTCAAATTAACATTTTGAAGGTCTTGATAGTTTTGATAAACAACTTCTACTCTAATTTTTCATTAGACTTGGTGAACAAGAAGATCTTAATTAAATTATTAAAATTATTCAGCAATGAAATCTTGCAATGGTACAACTCGAACAAGATTGATCCTACACTTGAAAAGTCATTTGAAAGCTTGGTCAATTACTACAAGAAATTGAAGAAACTCTTCGTGAAGAAAACTTATAGGCCAATTGAAATTCTGAAATTTGATGAATATCTCATTAATGAATTCAGATTCAGTAACTCGTTGCACGAAGTTCCAATGAACAGGAATTTACCTGGACACAAAAATGTTATCAAGATTGAGAAGTTTTTATTGAAGTTTAACAAGTTATTAGCTGTGTTCTACAGGGGGATTAGAGCTGAAGATTGGGACAAGGTGTTTAAGATATTGGAAAATTCATTTGAGAACAACGCCCTTCTTGAGTTCAATTTACAGAAGAATAGTGTTAATGATGAAAATCTTTTGATTTCCAATATTTTTAATTATTTTGAGTCATTAATTGATCCTAATGAGAAGCAGCTAGTATTGAAAAAGTTCCCACTTGTTTTCAGAAAGTTGTTTAAACTCTATTATAAGTTTAGAAGCTACTTGTTAATTCAACTCACAGATTTGAACATAACAGTGGATGAAAGATTGGACCGCATGAAGACTTTATTGCTTATGGTGAAGATTTCAAAACTCAAAATGGGAGATAATCAGTTTGTTTTTGAAGGTGGAAAAGATAGCATACCTTCGTGTATTGAAACAGCGGTCACTAATGTGATCTATTCTCCGGAAAGTAGACTCTTCACTAATTTGTGGATAAAGGCTTCTAACTTCTTGAACAATGAAGACACAAGCCCTAATACTATTTATGATGACTTAAACCTGTTACTTCCAACTAATTTGACACTTGGTGATTTACAAAGTTCAGAACCCTTACTTCCATGTTTCTGTTGGATTATTGAAAATTTGATCCTGATCAATACGTGTCCAAGTTTCTACAAACAGACAATCAATTTTAACAAAAGGTATTTGATTTTTAAGTTGATCAAGGAATTGAGCATTGAGGATGACAATTCTGTTGAAGCGCATGAGAATAATTATCATGAAACCCGAGAGTTTGATTTCTTGCTAAAGTTAGATGAGAGTTTGATTAATAATCAAAATCTTAAAGAATTTACACTCTTGGAGAAGGATAAGACCAAACTTTTTAGAGCAGTCTTACATGACCAACATAAGCTTTTGATCCTTGAAAACAAGAAGAAGGTAATACGCGACGCCAAGGGATCGCTGGCTAATTCAAATTCAGGACCAGGTCTGAACCTTGTTGCAGGCACCAGTTTAGCTAGTGTCTCAAGCATATCATCCAATCAAACTTCAGGACCCAATCAATCATTGACTAAAAAACCATCCACCTCCTCGTTAAGAAGACAATCATTATCGTACAAATCTAGCTCAACATCAAGATTCAAGATTAGTGGGTTGTTCAGTAAATCAAGACCATTTTCTTTGAATGTTTCAGGTTTGTCCAATTCCGCCGCCGAGAAAATTGTCTCTTCAAAAGACTTACCACCAGTTGAGCCATATATTGACCCCAAACAAAAGCCATCATTGGTGATTCCTTTGCGTAACATTAAGTTGTTCCCAGCATATTTGTTGCCATTATGTTTCATCATCGACGCAGAAAATACTAATGTTGATTACTTCTTTCAAGCTCCTAATGAAAGCGAATGGAATGACTGGTTGGTCAAATTGAATTATGCAAATAGACACTGGTTTTACTCGAGAGCTCTCAATCTTAAGGCAAACCATACTTTCACAACTTTTGGGATTCCAATTGGTGTGATATGTAACCGTGAACAATCGATTGCTCCTAGGATATTGACAATAATTTTTGAAGAAATCGAGAAAGAGGGGTTGAAGGATGTCGGTATTTACAGAATTAGCTCTTCTATTAGCGAGTTAAATAATGTGAAGTCTATCATTGACAAGACAGGAACACTTAACTTGCAAGAGAAAACTTACGATGTGCACACACTTACCAGTGTGGTGAAGTCATATTTCAGAGAATTGCCTGACGCTTTGTTTACTGATAAAGTCATTGGTGCATTTTTTGCGTTGAAGCAACATAATTTGGATGAACAGACTGAAGAATCGAAGATAATTGATCAATACAAGGAAACTCTTAAAATGTTACCATTGGTCAACTTTCACACATTACGTTTGTTGTTAAAGCACTTGAAGAAAATCAGTCAATATAGCGATGTTAACAAAATGACACCATCCAACTTGGCTACCGTTATTGGCCCAGCATTTACGGAAGCTAGTAGTTTGGATTCCTTGATCAACAATTTTGGATTTATGAATTCAATATTGGAAAAGTTGATCAACAATTATGAATATGTCTTCGATGACGAAGAATCTACAGTTGAGCAGTTGCCAGACCCAGATATTATGCTCAAGGAACCCAACTATGATGATTCAGAAGAAGATACTGAGAAGTAGCTTCGTTTCCGAACTAGAAATTTTATGTGACCAACATCAGTTATATTTGTTGTGGTCACCAGTACCCAGTTTTTTTTTATAAATTCAATTCATTATCCTAAATAACATTTAGATAGTTAATTTCAATACAGATTTTAGAGATATTTCTATTCATATTAATGGCTGACATAATTGCTTTAAAGGGTATACTTTTTTATTGGGTATTTGTATGGTTGCGAAAAATTGATACGACAGATGAGATACATCCAATTCAAGCAACATCGAAGTTTGGCTTTCCAAAATCAGGCGTGCCGCCCAAAGTCCCAAAGATGTCACCGACATAATTCTTAGAACGGTATTTATCACCTGAATCATATACACTGTCCCATTCTGCTAGGATATCATGGATGAAGGGGAGGCCAGCTTTGACCAAGTTATCTAAGGAGGCTTGAATTCCACCTTGGTCTGCTTGATTAAAGAAACCAACTGTATTATTATCCATCAGCGGTGGTGGTCTTGCAAAGTCAGAAATTGTTCTCATTACGACAATTCTGTCATAATCCACGAGGCCAAATTTCTGGGCACGTACAAATGCTTCCAAAGAAGCATTATCTTCCTGAGCGCTGGCACAATAAACAGCACTTCCATTGGTCATCATTGATGCAAAAGATGAAAAGTAGTTATTCAAAGTGGCTCCATAGAAATAGACGTCCGAAGTAGCGACATCACATTTTGCAATGGCTGGCAAAGATCTGGCAGCAGTTTGGTTATATAAAGACCTGAACTTTGCGTTCTGCTCAGTTCCATTGTTTAATTCAGCCCTTGAAGCTAATTCTACTGCACGGTCTCGCAATTGCTCGTTGACCTCAAAGACTTCAGTTCCATAGACATTTCCTGGATATTCGTTTTGGTCATGGGTTCCATATGCATAGTACCCAGTAGTCCAGTTAGGCATGGTGTTATGATAATCCACATAGTCCACTTCGTATTCTAGGGCCAATTGAACAGCATACTTGGCAAATGTAACACCACCAAGTGTGGTATAAGCTGGTTCTCCACCAGCAATACCAGCAATTAAAAAGTATGTTTTTGACAAATCAAAAAGTGGGTTCAAGGTCAAAGCAGTGATGGTAGAGGCAGCATTAATTTCACCTTCTCCAGTGGTAATTTGACATATGGTATAGTTTGTAGAACAGTAGAGTGTGGGATACGCGGGAGATAAGCCTGGTAAAGTAATATTGTGAACAAAGTCCAATTCTTTCAACCAGGGGTCTCTCTCTAACTCGAACATGGATACAATAAATGCTTTTGGTTGGTAGATTGCAAATGGCTTGCCATAGGAAGAGTGAAGATCATTTGCTGTGGTTGGAGGAATATCGTTACTTAGTTGGGTTCCATTGATTTCACGTTTAAATGGGTGGGCATTACAAAGACAAGCCAAAAAGCTTAAAGCGAAAGTACTGAACTTCATCGTGGTTCCAATTTTTGACCTGGAACGCTACATTGTGAAACAACATATCCGATATTTATAAGGTTCGGCAGCCTAATCTGTTATCTATAAAAGTTGACTCTTACAATTCTGAATTAGGCTTAATCTACCAATCTTTGCATCAACTAGTTCGAAACCGTTCTAGATTGGGAATGGTGTCACAAGCAGTATTATGTATGCGGCATTGACGGAAACTAAAACAGCCAATCCGGCAACTGTTCATGCATGTCTAGAGTAGGCTAGATATTTTATATGAGTCCTTTCCGAAGTCTGGTTTGCCACCTAAAGTTCCCAAAATGTCACCAATGTAGTTTTCGCTTCGAAGGGAGTTGGTGTTGTAAATTTGAGTCCAATTCTGGATGATATCTTGAACAAAGGGCCATCCCCCATAATAAAGGTTATCTAGGGCCACCTGAAATCCCCCTTTTGGATAGTCTAAAAAAAAATCAATTGGATCATCTTGCAACAGGGCCGGAGGTCGCACAAAGTTCGATATTGTTCTCATTACGACAATACGCTCAAAATCCACCACCCCATACTGGGCCATACGGATAAAGGCCTCAAGAGATGCATTATCTTCCTGGGCAGCCGAGCAGTAATTTGCGGTACCGTTCGAAATGAGGTTGGAATAGTCGAGAAAGTAATCACTCAAAATGGATCCGGTGAAATAGTTGTCACTTGTAAGCACATCACAACCGCAGACTTCAGGGTCGCCTCGTGCAGGTCCTGTATAGAGCTTACGCAACCTGTCATTGAGTTCGTTGCCTCGGGCAAGCCTCCCTGCAGAGGTTACAACCTCTACCGCACGGTCCCGGAGTTTGCCGTTCAATTCAAACACTTCAGTGCCGTACACAGCATCGGGATATTCTGTAGGAGAGCGGGTTCCATAACTAAAGTAACCTGAGGGCCAGTCCAGGTATTTTTTCGGAATCTCGGTGGGATCCACCTGGTACTGCAAGCCTATTTGAATTGCGTATTTGGCGAAAGTTACCAGGCCAGTGGTAACCTTGGAGGGCTCTCCTCCCGCAATCCCGGCTAAGAGCCAGTAGGTCTTAGAAAAATCAAACTTGGGGGACGAGAGCAAAAACGCCATGGAGGCCGCAGCATTGATCTCGCCCTCGCCAGTGGTGAAGTGGCAGATGGAATAGTCCTCGACACACCGAACGTGGGGGTAGATGGGCGATAACCCTGGCACTTTGATGTTTTTGGGGAACGAGACTCTGGAGGTCCATGCTTCCTCTTCCGGTTGAAACATTGTCACGATAAACACCTTGGGCTCATATTTGGGAGAGAGCACCACCTGGGCGGCTGAGCTTACAGCAAATGCTAGCCAAAGTAAAGCCGTGGGGATCATTGTGGTCTGCAATGGTGTTTCGTATCTCTCTCCTGCTCCGATAGATAACCACTGGCGCCTAGGCGAGTGCGTGTCTTGGCGGGTAACAATCCAGAGATGAGTAGATAGGCCATGTACAGGCCATGTAATCGAGATAAACACGGGACTGGAGGGTTGGATAACGTTTCAACAGCGGGTGCTCCCAATCCACCAGATTGGAGGACCCCTCCAATCTCGTTGTGTAGAGCAGCATCGCCTTATCGCATTTGTAGTGGATGGCACTATTGTTCATGGCCTTCGCGGTTCAAACTAGTAAACGCGTAAGATTTGAAATCCGATCCACATATCATAGACACCACCTTATGTTTGAAGTGGCAAGGGGCATCAAGCGGCCCGCCAGCGTGCTAGAGGAAGGTGGCGAGTTTAACATCCATGTATGTATTGCTGGCGACGGTGATTGCGGGACTTTTAGGAACTTCCCATGATATTGCAGACCATTGGATCAGGATTGGGGTTTGGTACTAACATCTAGGGGCAAGTGTCTATCGAGTCGTTTATGTCCCAGCGGTTGCAACAACAGCCTACTACCGATAGTGACTCAGACTCAGATGAGGAGAGCTCTTCCGATGAGGACGACATGGTAGAGAATACAGAACTGGCCAAGGCGGGTGTCATTGAGAAGATAACCCTTAAAAACTTCATGTGTCACGACTTCTTCGAACTTGAGTTGGGTCCCCAGATCAATTTCATCATTGGTAGTAACGGTTCGGGAAAAAGTGCTATTTTAACAGGTATTTCTGTGGGACTTGGTGCAAAAGCCACCGACACCAATAGAGGAACATCCATTAAGGACATGATTAAAGATGGAAAGACAACAGCTAGAACGACCATAGTCTTCCTCAATGAAGGATCGCAAGCATACAAGCCTGAGGAGTATGGTGAACGAATTATCGTGGAAAGAAAACTTCAAAGGCACGGCACCAATTCCTATGCTATTAAATCAAGTAATGGGAAAGTCATTTCCACCAAGAAAGGTACCTTGGATGAAATTTTGCATAAATTCAATATTACAATCGACAATCCTTTGGCCTTTTTGTCGCAAGATAAGGCCCGAGAGTTCATCACTTCAAGTTCAGATCAAACAAAGTATGAATATTTCATGGAGGGAGCATATATTGCTGAAATCTTCAGAAATTTCCAGAAAACTGTTTCGAATGTTCAAAACGTGGATAATAAATTGAAACAAATCAAGAAGCAAGCAGTGGTATTTCGACGTAAATACGAGGAGGCGAAACTTGTTTATGACCGTTATCGTGAATCAGATTACTTGAGAAGAAAACTACAGGTGATACATGGAAAGATATATTGGTTCAATGTCTACACTATAGAACAGAAAGTAAGGAGCTACGAAAAGAAATTGGCTGATGCTCAAAATGAAGTCAAGGAGATCAAAAATAGAATAAAACAAATGATAGAAAAGGGTGCAAGATCTAAAGCAGAAAGAGAAAAACTTCAAGAAGAGTTTGAGGGCATCCAAAATGAGGTTTTAAAGTGCAAAGAGCACTACAACGAACTAGTAACTGCCCATACTGATGTCAAGACTCGAATGAGCACCACAGCTAATGAAATCAGAAGTCGGACAGAGGAAGCAAAGTCTCACAAAGAGAGAATAAAGAGTGCTAATAGGGAAATAGAGTTGGAGCTCAAGAGAATTGATGAGTTAAATGGTCAATCAAAAGATGCATTGAAGGAAGTTCTCGAAGAATTGCAAGCAAAAGAGGGAACTTTGAAAGGTGACAAGCAATCAGCTAAGGATGAGTTGACCCAACTAGAAAGTTCAAAAGTTCCTAAGCTTTCCGAAACAGATAGTGAAATATCCCAAAGCAATCAGTCAATAAATTCTTTGGAAAGGAGAAAGCAGGCTCTTTTGGTCTCTCAAAAGGATAAATATGCAGCATGGGGTAGAGATATGAACACTGTATTGAATGAAATCAAACTGTTTCAAGGCTGGCATAAGCAACCAATAGGGCCGATTGGATCATTCATTGAAGTAAAGCAAGAGTACTCGGCGTGGAAACCATTGATGAACACTGTTTTGGGGAAGACGCTTGACTCTTTTCTCGTGTGTGATGAACATGACAGAAAAGCGTTAGCAAATATTTTTCGCAAGTACAGAATGAACAAAAATGTAATTGTTAGAAGATTTGAGGTTTTTAATTACGAGAGAGGTAAAGTGAGAAATCAGACAACATTTCTAGACATGCTAACAACTTCCAATGAAAATGTTTTGTATACTCTCGTTGATGCCAACACCATAGAAAAATTTGTGATTGCAAAAAACTACATGCAAGCCGATGAACTTGTTAGACAGAATATTCCCAACCTTCTTGGTGTGTTTTCTTTGCATCAAAAAAATTCAGGACAAAGAACAAGCATGACCAACGGAACACTTAGAATTGATCCGGTTTATTATTCAAATGACCTTGCAAAGTTTTCAGTTGGATCAATTTCAAATGCTAGAGAATTAGAAGATTTAAACTCCCAAGTTGCAGAAGAACGCGAGAATCTTGAGAGGTTGGCCAGAATACGCAGAGGTCTCGTGAGCTCTAGAAACACATTGCTTGAAACATGCAGGGCAAAACTCACCAGCATTTCACAAAGTTTGGAATCAACAACCAAAGAAATCAGAAAGGTTGAGATTAAGCTCAACGAGAATGGTGATTTTGCTAAGATAGAGTCTTTAAAGACAGAAATCGAGGATTTAAACTCTCAGGTTAAGACCTTGGAGAACGTCAAAACGTCATTGATTCAAGACTATAAACAAAAGATAGAGAAAATGGAATCGTTGAAGTCAGAGGCAAATAAGGCAGAGACCGAATTGAAAGATGTTCAATCTAGAAATGATGAACTTCAAAACCGCATTATGAATTTGGAATTTGAGATTTCAGAGATCGACTCGAATATTCAGGGTGATGAAGCTGATATCGAAAGAAAGAAAGTGACAATTGCAGAATGCGAGCAAAAAGTACAGTTGGCAAATGCTAAGCTCAGGGAGGTTGTTGAGATAGCTGAGTCTAAATGCAATAAGGATGAAGTTACGATAGGAGAGAATGATTCCCAACAATCTATCCAACGTGAATACGAAGAAATTCAGAGACAAGTGAGACAAGCAGAAGAGCTGGTTGGAAGACCTCTTGCAGAGGTGCAACTTGAATTGGCACAAGCAAAGGAAAAGCGAGATACTACGAATCGAACCATAGAAGAGCTCTCAAGGGCCTCAGGCGATACCAACTCTGCTTTGAATGTTAGATTCAATACTTTTCATACAACATTTTTACACAATGTGCAAGACGCATGCCGTCTTTTCGAAAATGCTCTAGAATTGAGAGGATTCAAGGGAAGTTTGACCTTTGACTATGAAAATAAGAAGTTAATCATGTTGGCAAAAACACGAAATGATGACCAACCAAGAACTATGGACTCACTCTCTGGAGGCGAGAAGAGTTTTGCACAAATTGCACTTCTTCTTTCTATTTGGAAAGTTATGAATTCTCGAGTTCGTGGTCTTGACGAATTCGATGTTTTCATGGATTCTGTGAACAGATCGATTAGTATCAAATTATTATTGAACGAACTCAGGCAATATCCAAAATCCCAAAGTATTTTCATTACTCCTCAAGATATTGCCGTGGTTGGTGATTTGGACAACGATGATGTCAAAATTCATAAAATGCCTGATGCTAGAAAGGAAACTTAGGTAAGTAAATAATATCGGTGAATTCTATTAAATATATACAGGTCAACTCTATTAGTTATGTACAAGGAAAAGTCTACTATATAAGTTGTATTATGCTTGTATACTTCAACTTCATTTCTGGATTTGCATCTATCAAAGTAAGATACTTCTTATACTCCAAATCTTCCAATAGTATAGTCGAACAAGTAGTTGCTTTTCTTCTCAAGAATAGATCCCCATATACCTCGAGATCCTCAATTTTAATTGAAGGAAACATTAGTATGGTGTTGAATAACTGGGTGTAAACTTTCACCGAAAGTGCTTTTTCACTCTTTTGTGAAAAGTCATTATACTGAGTTATGACATCGTCCAATACTTTTCTTAAATTCACTCCATTGTTAGGCTCTTGGATGATGCTTTCTCTGATGTAATGCAAGATGTTGATATAATTCTCTTCACGTAAAAGAGTTCTAGAGTTAATGTATGGGAAAATTTGGGGCATTTTTTGTAAGATCAGAAGCGCTTCCTTGAACCGATAATTTTTACTCAAACCTTTGATGATGAATATATGGAGAATGAAATGAGTGGAAAGAATGGTTGGTATTATGGTCAAGATTCCGTGGTCTTTCGAGGTGATGTTATCAAGACTTTCATTAATTATTTTCTCAAAGTATGGAAGATCTGAAGTGTACAAACTTCCATTCAAAATCGGCATAGCGGTTGAATTAGGCGAGGTGTAAATATTTCTGTCTATTATTGGGTTGAATAGCTCAACACCCAATTTCCTAGCAGTTGAATCTTGTTGCAAATCTAGTGACGACTTAATATCAACAGGAATTTCATCGGAGTACCGGTTTGAATTTGTTTTGATGTTATTTCTTCTCCAGACGTGATTCGTAAAAACAGACATTTTCTGGAGTTGGTTGAGCTTCGCCCAGTTTTTGTGATTGAAATGACCTCTGAGGGAGTAAGAGAGGTCTTTGAATGCTAATAATGCGTTAGGTAAATCATCTGAGATGCTATATGCTTCGACCAAGGAAATTTTTAGCGATTTATATGTTTTCCTGTGACTTATGTAAGAATAGAACCTCTTGAAATATTTAAGTAGGCCCCTTATTCTAGCATGATCTTTGGAATGTTGAAATATTGCAGCGAGTTGTTCGAGAATGGACGGTGTCAATAAGAAAGGAAATTCAATGCTCTCATTGTTGTAGGCACTAATATTCTCGTGGGAATAGCTACTGTAATGATCAATAAAGTGATGATAAATTAGAACTGCTCCATGATGATTCCCTGATCGGCACATTTGTTGGATATAAGCAGCCCAAAGTTCGTTAGATAATTTGAATTTGCGATCAGAGTCGAAGATCATATGAATCATACTCGTCGCAGCTCTAAAATTACCAGATTGTAGGAAGTTGAAAATTACCACCTCAAGCACCTCATTGTCATAGTGGCAGTATTGAATGTTCCTGGATATTTGTGTGAATATTTGTTCATAATCCGGAGTGGGCTCCAGTAGTAATAGATGCAAATTATGATTGAGTTTCTCCCGAAGAGCTAGCGAGTCAGGTGTACTAATCAGAGTTGAATAGTTAGGGTTGTGGCTTTTTTGAATAGGAATTGTCACGGTCTTTTCATGTGTCTGACCATGAACATTTGGACTTGGTGTGAAGAATGGTTGAGTGGTGCTCAGGTGTCGTATATGAACTGCGGTTGGGACTACAGCACTCAAAGACCGAGGGTGAAGCAACTGGTTGGCTATCACATTGAGCCATATGCTCCTCAGTCGCTTTATCATTATGGAGTCTTGATGGATCAGACCATTCACATATCATTCCGTAAAAACGCTACTACAGCATTACGTAATCAAGATCAAAACTTCCTAAAATTTTTCAAACTATGCTCATACGGCTTGTCTACTACCGTGGGGAACAATGTTAAGGATAGGTTTATCAACATCAGTCAAAGCCGCAAAAGCGTTTCCACGCGTGCAGAGAGGATTCTTGAGCACTCCTCTCAAAACTTTGGGGTCTTCTGGAAGAATCTCGAGTTCATTTCAAGCAGGAGGTCTTCGTTTCAACTCCACCAGTAGCGGAGAAAAGTTTGAGATTCAGAACAAATTGGTTTCTTTCGACGAGCCAGTTGAAGCCGAGAAGATTGTATCTACTTTGACCTCAAACGAGTGGGGGTATTTAGATTCTATTGGCTTAGCTCAAGGATGGGGACCTACCGCATTTGTGGAACGTTATCTTGAAGCTGTGCATATATTCAGTGGCTTGCCATGGTGGGGAACCATTGCTGTTTCCACCGTTATTGCAAGAATGATTTTGTTTCCCTTGTACATGTCCGCCTCCTCGAACGGTGCTAAGTTGGCCAAGGTCAAGCCAGAAATGGATGAGATTTTGAGTAGTTTGAAGAAAGCAGAAAGTAACCAAGAAAAGTATGTCTTGGTTCAAGATAGAAAGCGTTTGATGAAGGACAACGATATCAAGTTCTACAAGCAAGTCTACCCAATGTTGCAATTACCAATCGCCTACGGGTTTTTCCAAGCCTTGAGAAAGATGTCTGCTTACCCTGTTGAAGGTTTTGCCGACCAAGGTTACGCTTGGTTTGAAAACTTGACCCAAGTGGATCCTTATTTGGGTTTGCATGGTATTTCTGCTGCCCTCATTTTGGCAATTGTCAGAGCCGGTGGAGAAACTGGACAACAACAAGCCATGACTGCGCCAATGAAGAAAGTGCTCATGCTCTTGCCTTTCTTGTCTATTATCATTACCAAAGACTTCTATGCATCTGTAATGATCTATGTTGCAACCAATTCTTTGTGCTCCATGGTTCAAACATTCGTCTTGCGTAACGGTACTTTCCGTAAGTTGTTCAAGATGCCACCAACCACCGTCAACGCTCCAGCCCCTGGAAAGAAGCAACCGGAAACCATTTCTGACTGGTTCCGTCAACAAAAGGAGAGTTTTGACGAACAGGTGCACTCTAGAACTAAGGAAACCTCTCGTAAGCTTGAGGCTCAAGTGTTGAGAAGAAGAGACGGAACTGATGGTTTCATCAAAAGACACAATAAGTAACTTGTATATACGTAACACTTGTAATATAGACCCAATATTCGTAACAGGATGTTTGATGTATTCGCTAGCTTTGGCGTGGATGGCTACACCAAATCAGATACTGTGAAATGTTCTAAACCTGTACAAACTACAACTTCATTACGGCGAAGTTCAACTTGATAAGCTCCAATATGACCACCCACAGCAAATTGGGCATTTTCGAGTGCATCTCTCCTTTAGCTTGTTGAGATTCAGTTGTGCTGGTCTTATTGAGTGCTTGTACCACATCGAGCTTTTGGTTTGATGCGTCTGATATCCTGGCAGGGTTTATGTCCATTTATAGTGCAATGACGAAATATACAGATCAGGATTGAGACACGTTCGTCCAACTGTTCTCACCGTCCCCGTTTATTCTACTTCTTGATACTACATTTTGCACTGTGAATGAGATATACAGTTGGTCGAGACGATTTGGATGCTGCTGGACGTGCTTATGCCACCAAACCGTGCATTATACTTAGAGTTATGGGTTATAGAATGGGATAGAGGTATAGCAGTTTCGTACTAGAGAATATGACACGAGTAGTGGATACAAGCACCTCCGCTACTTTACCACTAATTGCCTGTTAGAGACATCAGGTGCAAAGAGTCACGTGACACATGGTCAGCCCAGGCTCCAAACGCCAACGTGCTCCATGTGACAGATATCCTTGCGAGAGTAAGAAGGTCAGGGAGCAGTGTGTTATGGTGGGCCAGATGGGCCCCGTGGCGTGCTGGATCCGCCAACCCACTCTACTACCAATCTTTACTGTAATGCATAGAGCTCTCGGGTGGTTGCAGGGTGCCATGGACAGATTGGGCTAACAGGTCCCCTATTGGTCTGGATAAACCAGCGGTAGTCACCTTCCTGATTGGGAAGTCCCGTCCGCCGGTCCGCATGCCTCCCACCGCCGCACCGCACCACTCCAGCACTGCCTAGTACAAGAAAATAGGGCCCGCTACAATAGTAGCCTAATCAAATAAAGTTTGGGATCAATACTATTACGGCCGCCCTAGTCTTGGGGGTGGACCAGGTGGGAGATGAAATTCCAGCCCCTTTTGACCCTGTCCAGGTTATCGAGTCAGCTCATCTCTGGTAGCTGATCCAGGCTCGATCGCAGACTGGTCCCACCATAACCCGCCAGTGGTCCCGGTGGTGTCCGATCGGGACCAGCGCTAGATCCGTCCCTCCATGCTTGTAGCAGTGCGTCGGCCGTTACCAGCGGTATTGTTTCCGCGGGAGTGCTTAATAATCATTGCTTTTAATTATTGACTCAACGAAAAATTTTCTGCGCATTAATAAGGGATATAGTATTTAACCGTGGGCGATCGCATTTGAATCTCACCCTTTGATACCAAATTAGCTAACTCTATCACAGACTTAGACTACCCCCATAGCACACTCACCAAGATGAACTTTCAGGCAAATGAGTTTCTCAACGACTTAAACCTTGATTTTGATCAATCACCAGCACTTAGTGATGGAATGAGTCACAGCGACTTGGACTTGTTCTCGCAAGCCGAATTCTTCGACTTGGACGCATTCTCCAAGTTGAAGCCTGTGACTCAAGTCGCTGGTCAAGTACCCGCAGGGCAACACCACCACGTTGCGTCGGTCAAATCCGAGCCGGACTTATCGCTTGACTTTTTGAACTTGCCAGAACACGACACTGGCAGCCCAGTTCAAGAAGCTGCATCACCTGTTAGTTCTTCTGCCACTCAAGACAAGAGAAAGAGGAATACCGCCGCTTCTGCTCGTTTCAGAATCAAGAAGAAGATGAAGGAGCAAGAAATGGAAAAGAAGTCGAAGGAATTACAAGAAAGACTCACCGCTTTGGAGAAGAAATTGAAGACCTTGGAGATGGAAAACAAGTGCTTGAAGAACTTGATTTTGGAACAAAACGAACAAAAGAACAGCGAGTTGTTGGAGTCCATCAAGAGAAGGTCCATTTTGGATTCAAAGCCGGTATTTCAATTTACCAACTAGTCAGCTTGCTGACCCACCCTGATAACTTGTTGTCAGGACAGATCTTGCATTTTCCCCTGCATAACAGATCTCGACATGCAATTCTTCACTGATTTGTGTGTCAAAGTTTGCCTGCACGTCATTTGACGTTGTTGGTGGACTCAGAAGTTCAGCTTCGGCTTTTCTTCGAAAGGATCTTAAAATCCAACTTTTAATGACCCGTATGAACATAGATTACGACGCTTATGTCCTTATTCCAGATCCAACTCTGTGAATTGTCCCTTGGAATATTTATTCAAAAGTCTCTTTCAATTCTTCAACCAGAAAGACCGGGTGTGTTTCCAACAAATGCCCCACCCAACGCCAGATTTTTTGGTGTTGGACGTCCTTGCTTTTCTTTCATTTTCACTAATGCAAAAGTATGTTGCTAGCTCACTTGAGTTAGACAACCCAACCAGTAACTTTTACCGTAGACTAGTTTGAGCTATTGTTGTGGTGGGAGGCGTATTGTAATGCAAGCAAGCTCCATTCCCAGGCATAACATGAGCAGGAATACCGTGCACCGTCCCGATCTAGATCGGAACTTTGAGACAGAGCAATTACCGGTGCTGGGCCAAAAGTCGCCTAAAAAGCGCACGAGACCAGAACGTGTCCGCCTGAGGTGTGCCTATGCGCTGACTCCTATAGGAACTCCTATAGGAGGCTTCGTCGTGTAGCTTTCGAACTGTAAACAGCTTCAGATCGCCTGGTGGCCGCGGCTTATCATACAAAGTCGTGTCCCTCCCCACACTTTGTAGTGACTCTATTTGTTCTAGTACAACAGTACAAGGAGTGATACAGAAACCCCACTGTGAACACTATTAGCGATTATACTCAATCGTAGATAGCTGGCCGAACCAAACGGCTTGAATTATTTGAGAGAGCCGTCTGCCGCTCTACATAAGGCTTGCTATTGATGCTGTGGCCTAAGATAGACGATAGTTCATGAGACATGCACAATATGATACGAGAGAATGACACAGATGTGGCGGGTGAAACGCTGCTGGGGAACGATAGACCAGCGAATCAAGGGAGTGGCCAACAACCAACGGGGCCCAACAACACCTCTGAGCCGGAGACCTTTGCTCCGATTGACCGCGAGACAAGCACCACCCCAAAGATAGTTGACGACAATGGCATTGAACTTACCGCAGAGAGGGGGAACTCAGGATATAACAGCCCCAATGTTGGCATTTTCCATCGCCCAACATTCGAGACGGCAATGCCTGTCCGCAATGCAATCGAACGATCAGTGTCGCCCTGCGAAATAACAGCGCTGTCTCTGCCAATATCCCAAACTGGGCATATTCTTCTGTCAGCAAAGAGTATAGACTCCCTAGTGCTCCCTCCTCCGGGGAAGATTCAGGACAATTCTCTATTCGGATCTGTCGAAGAGCAAATTGACTTGAGGCTAGCATCCTCCGATAATCCTACTGCTGTCATGGAGTTGGATCTCGATGGGAACATAAGCTATCTCAGTAAGAATTGGGAATTCATCGTCGGTACCAAAATCAAAAAGATCATAAACAAGCCCATCGCTAACATTATTCTTGGGAACACCCCGGGTGATCACCAGGTGTTCAACAACGCAATCGAACAGATGACTAAAGATGACTACTCCTATAAAGTAAAATTCATAACAGCCACAAATGATAGGACAACACATCCCGCAGATTTACATTCAAGTGGAAAGATAACCCCACAGCATTCAGCAGAAGATTTGACTCAAATACTAGAGCCAGACCAAGAATATCTGGACGCCATTCAAACGGAGCATAACGCAGCTGAAGATATGGTCCATGATTCTGGCATATCGTATGATTCTGATGATAGCACAATCTCTTCAAAATTGTCCAACAATGGAGATGTGATAGAGTTGGAAGCGCAAGGAATTTTGATTCATGATCCCAAAACAAGCCTACCAACCCATTCAATGTGGACGATCAAGCCGTTTGTTCAAATTGATTTGGATTTAACCTTACCTGAAAACTTAATTAATTTGTTAGGTTTTGGTTCTGAAATATTTGAGGGGTATTTAGTGAGTCTAAAAGAACAAGGGATCATTGAAGAAGAGTCTGCTCCTCAACCGAAAATGATTTTGTGCAGAATCTGTGAAACTCATGTGCCGGCATGGTTCATTGAAAAACACTCTGAGTTGTGTATTGTGGAGCATAGGGTTAGCGAAGATTTACAAACGTGCCATGATGCAATCAATGAGCAAGTGGACTTAATCCAAAAAATTTATGATAGTTTGTTGTACTACCATCAGCACCCGTCTCCAGGGCTGCAATCGCCAGTGCTGACACCCCAAAATCAGTTACATGGCCAACCTTCATCTCCACAATTGACCGCCCTGTCTAACTATCATACTAGCCCAGTTTTATCCCCATCACCACTTTCCTCGAACCTGATTTCTTCCAATTCCTCAGATGACAGCCTTTCAATAGTCACCGGTTTGATACACGAATACAAAGGAATACCATTACCAAATATTGCTAATGATGCATCTCCCAGGTTGGCAAATCAAGTTTTAACAAAAAATTTCCAAGCAAGTAATCCAATGATACCGACAAGAAGATTCCCATTCGGTATTCTTCAGAAATTAATAGATTTGTGTAACGAGGCATCAATGATAAATCCAGCAGAAACCAACTCCAACGGTGATTTGGAGTTTTCACCAAATACAGAGAAGGCTGTAAATGCAGTTATCAATTGGAAATTTTTTGAGACTACTGACCTTGCAATAAAGACCATAGTGGAGGATACTAAACAATTGGTGAATGAGAAAGTCGATATTTTATCGAGACTAGTGTCGATTCTACAATACTCAAACAAGATCAAAAAAGAAGTGGATGAGTTGGTGCTAGAAACGGTAGGGCAAACAATCTTTAAGATCAAAGAGCAAACAATGCTCAAGGAGTTCAACTCTAATAGTACCCCGAGGAATAGTACCCCTGACGTAGCAGTCAATGATGAACTCAATATTTCACAGTCTAATGAGCATCTGATTTCAGATACTTTGGATATCAATAGATCGGCATCTCTCATCCTTTCACCACAGCCTTCCAGATCTAGGAGTCCACATTTGTTACAAGAGCCTTACTTCAAGGATGAAGAGTTAAAGTCAATTACTCCCAAGGATATTTTGCTTAGGGGAAGAACTTCTGACCGAGTGGGCAGGAGTAGTGTAACCAGCTCAAAGTCATCGCTATCGATTGGTAATTCTAGATTTGGATCTAACGAGTTGGTGGAGTCATTACAAGACCTCGAATTGTCTAAAAAATCATCGGGCAAAGACAACACTTTTGCAAATCCACCCCCACCTTTATCCAACAGCTCTTCTTTCTCCTTACCTAGAAGACACTTATCGCCAGCTCCTTATGTTGAGAAGCAGAACTTCTCTTCTTTCCAAAGAAATATTAACTCAAGGTTGGATACCAATACTCCCCACACTTCGCCATCAGTTTTGAATGCTGATATTAACAACAATGATAACATTATTTACGAAAAGAGAACAAGTTCAGGAGGAAGTGCAATTCCACCGAATCTTCTTCCTCAACACGGTCGCAGGAATTCGATTAACAAACCTCCTTTATCACCATTATTAGTTTCAACTACTCCATCCAGTAAACCGAATGGTGGTGGCATAAGAGACTACGAGGTGATCAAACCGATTAGCAAAGGTGCCTTTGGCTCGGTTTTCTTAGCCAAAAGAAAACTTACTGGTGATTATGTCGCTATCAAATGTCTTAAGAAGAGAGATATGATTGCTAAAAATCAAATCCTTAATGTTAAATCAGAACGGGCGGTTATGATGAAACAGTCAGATTCTCCTTATGTGGCTCAATTATACAGTAGTTTCCAATCTAAGGATTACTTATACTTGGTTATGGAGTATTTACACGGTGGTGATTGTGCAACTTTGATCAAGACACTCGGAACACTTGGTGATAGCTGGGCTAAGAGATATATCGCGGAGGTGGTAGTGGGAGTTGATGATTTGCATAAAAGAGGAATTATTCACAGAGATTTGAAGCCAGACAACTTGTTGATTGACAGTAAGGGACATTTGAAATTGACTGATTTTGGTTTGTCCAGAATGGGTGTTGTTGGAAGACAAACTCAATCTCGTCGTAAAAGCAGCAACAATGAACATCCTATAGAGCTTTTCAGAAAGAGTTTGAGTCAGAATGCAGTCCATCAAAGCCCTTTATCAAACGTATCGGGATTAGGGTTTGGAGTTGACTCTCCTTTGACAGAATTTTCTCACAAGAGAACTAGTTCTGTGACCCCATTTTCATTATCTCCCACATTGGAAAATACCAAGTTGGCAACTGGAGGATTTCCTGCTGTTGGCCCAAGTTCCTTGACCTCTCCGACTTTATCATATCTCGAATCCTTTAATCAACCTGCTCCACAACAGCTTTCACAGTCTCAACATACACAAGCACCCCAGCCTCCCCCATTGCTTACTCACAGAACATCATCAATTTTCAAAGGTAATAGATCTGGATCTAATTCGAGTGGTTTAGAATCACCATTGCTTAAACCAGTACTTCCTCGTACTTTCTCGGAATCCTCCTTTGTTTTAGTTGAGGATGATTTTCAAGTCAGTCCTTCACACAACCAAGCTGGGAGTATCACGAACTATGCTTTGTTTGACCCAGCTAATGAAAATAGTAATGATGTCAAGAAGTTTGTGGGTACACCTGATTATTTGGCTCCTGAGACAATTGAGGGTGTGGGTCAAAATGAAGCTTCGGATTGGTGGTCACTCGGGTGTATCTTGTTCGAATTTTTATTCGGATACCCTCCATTCCACGCAGACACCCCGGAGGAAGTATTTACAAATATTTTGAAAGGTTCAGTTGATTGGCCACCCTTAACAGAAGAAGAAGAAAAAGAGTATTGTTCTCCAGAAGCAAAGGATTTGGTCAAAAAATTATTGAATTTGAACCCTGATGAGAGATTGGGCTGTAACGGAGCTGATGAGATCAAGGGCCATAAATATTTTAAAGGTATTAATTGGTCTACGTTATTTGATGAAGAAGCTTCGTTCGTTCCCACTTTAGATGATCCTGAGTCTACTGACTATTTTGATTTGCGTGGTGCTGACATCGCTCAATTTCCTAAGGAAGACTCCGATGAAGAGAAACAAGCGGCTTCTGATATTATGCAAGTGAAAACTAATTCAACTTACACAACTGAATTGGGTTCCCCTTCACTTGGAAATCAATCTTCATCTTCATCTTCGTCATTGCTAGTTCCAGGTGTAGCAAGTTCAGGGGGTGGCACTAACAAGAGGGAAAGAAGATCAAGCAGATTAGCAGATCCCAGTGAATTTGGTTCGTTCCATTTCAGAAACCTTGCAGTATTGGAAAAGCAAAATAAGGATGTCATCAACAGATTGAAAAATGAACACTTGGAGCATCGCAATAGCTTTTCATCTTCCTCCTCGGAATCTACACCATTATCCAGGTCCAGAGGGTTTTCTTTCAATGGCGGAAATCTGAACAACCAATCGAGCCCTTTCAAAAGACCGGTGTCACCGATTGCTACAGCATCAGGATATGGAACTAGCGGTAGATCTTCGTCACCTCACAAAGTCACAGAGACTTCATCATCTCCGCAGTCAGTAACTTTCAAGCAAGAAGGACCAAGCTCAGCAATTAGTAACTATTCGAGTGGAGATGAGTTCCCATTCGAGGTAGGGAAGCTGTCACCAAGTTCCGAACCTTACCCAAACGAAAAACACCGGTCATCTGTACATTCTTTAACCAAGCTGATATTGAGAGATTCACCTTCGAGCTCAGATACCGAGGATACCAAGAGTTCAGCATTGTTAAGAGTAAAGAAGAGAAGAGAAAGTTCAAGACGCTTGGCTGCATCCAGTATAACAAGTGGATCCTTTTCAGCAGATGAGCCACCTTCAAACCTTAATGAGTTGGACGTGCTTTACTGTGAGTCAATTCCAATTGTTCGTCATAGTGTAACGAAAATGCTAGAACGGTGCGGGTGTATTGTTGTGGCTATATCTGATGGGGATGAGCTAGTAAGAAGAGCTACAAGTCAAGTCAAGTTTGATTTAATTTTTACTGCCTTAAGATTGCTGAAAATCGACGCCGTTGATGCAGTCAAATTAATCAAATTCACTACCAGTGTCAACTCGAATACGCCAATCATTGCTGTGACTGGATTTGCGCATGAGGCACTTGGGTACCAAATTTTTGACGATGTCATTGAAAAGCCTGTTGGGATGCAGCAAGTTAACAGATGTATCCACAAATTTACCAATTACAACAACGATGAAGCAATTGAATCCGATAATGAAGGCAAATGAGAATTTGCGATATGATTGTATGGTTCATGAGTTTATATATTTAGATTTAATATTCAAGTCTTCACTATTGGCCAAAATTGGTGATCAGATCTTTTATCAATAGTCATGTTGAAGGATCAAGTCTTCCTTGTAGAAGTAGCTCTTGCTTCGCCCAATTTAGAGGCATCATCTATAATGTTTTGTAAGTTGCTATCTTCTTGCTGTGCAATGAACTTTTTCGTTTCTTCGTAACTCTTGAAATAATGATCTCTGTACCACTGGAGCTGGGCAATGCTTTCTAATATGTCTGATTTTGCTGTGTGTTGTTGTGTCTTCTTTGGACATTGCTTCATCAATTGGGGATTATGCCTGTTCCCGAATTCCATGATGGTTGATACATCAATTAGTCTGTAGTGCAAGTGTTCCACGACTTTAGGGAATTCCTTCATCATGAAGAATTTATCCATGTGAATCGAGTTTCCTGCCATGATAGCTGTCCTTTGGTTGGGGATGTACTTTTGGATGTAGTCATACAATTCGGTCTGTACCTTTGGTAGAACCTGTTCTGGGGAGGCCAAAATTTTGGCCACTAAACCCGACTTAGTATGCTGATTTATGCACCATTCATTCATAGCATCCAACACCTCCTTGGGCTGATACACCACCGACTCGTAACCGTCTTCGTCGATGATATTCAAGTTTCCGTCAGTGATGATGCAACAGATTTCGATAATATGGTCATTAAACACGTCCAACCCGGTCATTTCGCAGTCGATCCATACGATGGGCTTCTCCACGTTTTTGGTGGACTGTTTCAAAAGATCTCTCATCTTTTCCACCGAAGACATCTCGGTCTTGATCTTCTTTGCTGGGGGTTGCTCTGCCTGTGGCGCTTGGAGCGTGGACTTGGCTGCTTCGGACATTCTGAACGATACGCTGGTGTTGTTATTGGCTAGGGCTCTTGCGCTGATCTGGGCTGTTCGTGCTAGCTGAGGTACTCTGGACAATCGAAATAGCATCTGGAACCATGCCAATTTTTCAATGGATGCGGAGAATCAAAATCTATCGCGCATGTAATTTGGCCCCAGCCGATCTTGATCAGCCAGTTTTACATACTCAATTACACCCACCAGAACATCATGGGGGGATTTTCCAGCTTGAATGGTAGAGACAAGTTCTACTTCTTATACTTCCTTATCCACATTCCCATTACTGTGTTGATCGACTCCAATATCGTCGTGCCTCGAGAATACCAATGGGAAATTTCCACGCAGATCTTGGACTTCCACGTCGAAACCAACAAAGACGTGTTGTTCATGGGCCCTAGGCCCATCTGGTTCCAGGTGTTTGGAGCCGTGGAGTTGTTGTTCCAGTTGCCGTTGTTTGTGTATTGTATCATCCACATGTACGCTGGCACCAAACGCCATTACGCGTGGATGTCGCTCTACGGGTTCAATGCCTCGTTCACCACCTTGGTGTGCTTGTTCCACGTGTACTTTGCCAGTGACGAGTATGGGTTGACCTTGGGAGAGAAGGGGAAGTTGGTGGGTATTTATGTGCCCTACTTGTTGATTCCGTTGGGGATCATGGTGGACTACGTGGGCCGTATCGGACAGGAGCTCACCAAGCACAAGAGGGAATAGATATTTAATAATACTACGACGAGACCAATTCGGAGGCTGTAAGATTTGTGAGTTGATACTCCTTGGCATAGTTACAAAGTCCCGTGTTCTACTTTGTGACGGAAGGGTCGGAATCTTGATACCTCCTCGCCGTTGCGTGTGGTCATGGTAGATTATTTGTGTTCCAATAATCCATGGAAATGTGGGGAGTCTTCGTAGTTCTCCATTTCGAGTGCTAATAGTGTCAATGGCAGTTTACGGACTCTAAGCCTATCCCTCCACTGCGAGTGGTGTCAGAATAATAGTTAAAGAACTCCAACACTCCGTGGAAGTTTTTTTAGAAGACTCGTAACATCCATATTCTCTATTGCTCATGCTTTCATGGTGGTTTGCAGGAGACTTGTTGATATCACTCCAATTCCGGGAATTACTGAAGACTTCGCAAATAACCTCCGAATATTCCACCTGGATTACAGCAGTGTTAATCACCTGAGGTTACTCTTGTTCTATGCTCCATGGCGACTCACGAGTACAGCCATAGCACTTTAGTGTATATTGTCAGAATACTTATTGGTACTTGGCCAACAATTCATCGGCGAAGGCAATGTATTGCTTCTCGGCGTCTTCTTGGGAGGTGCCCTCGAGCTCCTTCCAGGCTTGCCACTTGTACTTGCCCTTGAGGTTGAAGACACCTGGCTGGGCGGTGGTGTTGTCACCGGTGGTGGCTTGCTTGAACAAACCGTACAACTTCAACAATTCGTCGTCGGATGGACGTTGGGTCAAGTTCTTGACGGCATCAGCCTGCGGGGTTAGTATTTCGCCAGTAACAGTGGGCATAGACCCCTCGTGGGCGCAATTGCACGGAGGCCGTCCATTGAGCCGTACGTACCTTTTCGTTGAATTCAGTGGAAACCATGGTAGTAAGTGTGGTGGATTGAACGGAAGCTGTTTGCTGTCTGATTTGTAGTGCTCAACAATTGCGGCAGACACGCCAACAAAAACTACAATGTGGCGGGGTCCTGGCTGCGGTGGTGGTAGGATCGAGAGAGGAGGAGGTCAAGCACAAGAGTGGTGGTACGGAGGTCAAGATGGCTGCTACACCGGCTGCTAGCTGGCTGGTGCTCCCGACCCGGATAGGCGTGGTTCCCAGATGCCTGATTAGGCAGTCAAGGGTGGGCCGGAGTGGGTCGGTGGAGGATCCGTGCCGGCGAAGCCAGGACCCGTTTACGTAAGCGGTATCTACGATGGCTTAGGCCTCCAATACGGGGCGTGCCAGCCGCATTCCGACCCGCAAGCTATCGTATGTGTCGTAAGTGCTATCACGTAAGCGGCATCCTCGACGGCTGTGCACTCCTGGAAGTGGCGATTAAACTATTGAGTGATGCTTGCAACGGCAATCAAGCGGCCGTGGGCGGCGTTACCCCAGACGGCAATCGCAGTGGCAATCATTTGTCACTCGCGTGGGTTAGCGATGGGCCAGATAAGTTGGATCGCCGGTGCACATCTGCACCAAAGCAGGTACGGGATCTGCTGCCTGGCCTGGCCTAGCTCAGGGTGGGTGCGATGAGTCAGGTCGGATGGGCCAGCCACTGAGGCAGTCCCCTGTGGCAGTTCCCCCAGGCAGTCCTCTGAGCCAGGGTCTATGAGTCAGCACTACCTCCTTGTACCAGGACCCTATTACATAAGCGGAAGGAACTAAGCGCACATCCGTGCTATGCCCGTATCGTGGAGCGTCACCGCAATTACTAATACTGTGCGCGATGCATGGTTAGGGGACGCGGTGCCAGTTTTAGCATCTTTTGTGGCGGAGATAAAGGAAGAATGACAAATGTTTTGTTCCGCACCCGGCCGTGGTGGCGGCAGGGTTACCCATGCAGCCAAAACACCCTGGCAGGCCTGGTTATATATATTGCAGGACAGCCGCTGTTGTAGCCGCCCACAACCAAATGTCCACCATGGAAACCGTCAACTCCTGGACCGTCAAGTACGACCCCCTGTTGAACCAGCACTACTACTATAACGAGAGCGAAGACATCGTGTCGTTCGACTCGCCCTGTGAGGTCAAGCGCCTGACCCCCAAACCCCAGTCCCCCAAGCATAAGTTGATGCTGCTCTTGAAAAGAACCAGCAGCTGCTCCAAATGCAAGAAGTCGAGGTCCAACGTGATGGCTCGGCTCGGGTCGGCGTTCGTGCCTGCCAAGTCGGACCCTCAGGAAAACCCGCTCCCTTCGTTGTCGTCCTCGGTGTCCAACTCCACCACCGACTCGGCCGAGCCTGCGGAAAATTTGCATCATTTCCACACCAACCAGACGTTGGGAGGTTTGGATGATGAGTTCTTGATCAACAACGTCCACGACTTCCGCAACTTTGCAGGCACTTCATTCAAGCCCGAATACGAGTCGGCTGCCGACTCCTACAGCATCGACTCGATGTCGTCAGAAGAAGAGTCCATCACCTCATTCAGCGAGGACAACTACGCGTACGTGCGCAACCTAGACCACAAAAACAGCAACAGCTACTCCTACAACGACTACCACTACTACTACGACGACCAGCCAGACTTGGACAAGTCGATGTCCGACATGGAGTCGGAAAGGAGGGAACTCCGCATGCAGATCATGAAAGAGTTGGATTACTAGCCGGCCGTTGCACATTATGACTATTTATTGGGTTCACTTCTTGTTTATACTTACATGCTAATATATTTGGGCTAACTAACTATATCGTAGAGACCAAGTTCAAGAAAAACTTTTATTGGGTACCTTTCTTGTTCTATCGTAGAGACTAAGCTCAAGAACGACTATTATTGGGCTCACTTCTATAATTGTATGCTAATATATTTGGACTAACTAACTATCGTAGATACTAAAGCTCAAGGTTGATATCAATATCAATGGTCTTGATTAACTTGTCCATCTCTCCCAAGAGTCTGTAGGTCGAGGTGGCGATCTTTTCTTCCTGCTTCGACTTTTCTGCCAACTTTTCTTGGAGATTCAACCGGGCATCGTTCAACGCCTTCTCGTTTTCTTCGGCAGTGAGCCCTTGGTAAAACATTCTCGTGACAGTTTTCAATCTCGAGAACGGATCACCTCCATCAAATTGAACTACTGCATTCTTGGTCTTGATCTCTGCCTTTCTAATATTCGTGGAGTTGAGCTTACGGTTTCTTTCATTCACCTTGGACATGGTGTTCAACGATTCAGATGTGTTGCTCGATTTCGCACGACTAGCCATGGCATCTTCAATAGCCTTCAACTTTTCAATTATAGCTGTACTCTTTTGAGCATCACCTTGTTGTCTGGCTATTTTCAATTCATCCAATAATTTGGATTTTCTGAAAACAGCATCCACTCCGGTCAAAGCTCCATCACTCTTCTTGGTATCAAGCAACTTACGCTTCTTCTCAAGCATTTCGTTGACATCCTTATCACTGACACCTTTATTGAGGTAGTATTGGATTTGGTTGTACTTTTCGGTGGCCTCATCTTGGTATTCAATACTTTCACCAGTCTTGTCTAACTCATGTTCATAAGTCTTGAACTCATCTGGTGTGATTGGGGAATCCGAGAAAATACTGATTGGAAACTCCTTTGTTTGCTTCCTGTTTTGACTCACTTTCAAAAACAAGTCCGATTTGGCATTGTTCAATCTGTACGCCTTCTCCGGGATTGAACGAACATCGACTATCTTGACCATTCTGTACATTGGTTTTCTCGTTCTTTTGTCCATTCCCAAATTTATACGAGCAAAGCAATCTATCACCAAATCACTGAAAAAGGCATAGAAACAGTATTTGCTCAATAAACTTCTTCCCACTCTGATCTTATTTATGTCATCTAAGTTGCTACGAACATTAGATCTCTTGGACTTGGACTTACTAGCGCCACCCCAGGTGACAACTCCGTCTTCATAATCATCTTCCTCTTCGTCGTCTCTCAAATCATCATCGTCTTCCTCCTCTTCCTCATCATCTTCATAATCGTCGTAGTTCTTTCTGGATTTCTGCTCTCTCTGCTTTCTTAATTCACTCAATTTATCAAGCTTAGACGTCTTGACATTACTATCCTTATTACGGTTCGACGATCTAGTAGCTTTAGCAGTACCTCCGCTCTGTTGCTTTTGTAGTTTCTTCTGTTGTTTCATTCTTTGTTGCAAGTATTTCTTTTCGTTGAAACGTTCCATTTCTTGGGTTCTTTCAAACAAGATTTGTTCTCTTTGGATTTCGTCCATTGACTCCAACTTGTCTCTGTCGTCCTCATCCTTGTACTTTCCTTCCAAGGGATATGGATTAACCAATTCGTCATCTTCTTCGTCCTCCTCATCATCATCAAATTCTAAATCTGATGTATCGATCCTTCTCTTCTTGCTTGATAGCGCTTCATCATCATCATCGTCGTCCTCGACAGCACCATCATCCTTCTCCTCACTTCTTGACCTCTTGCTCAAGGTTGGTTCATAGCCGTCAGATTCTTCTCCAGAGTCTCCAGCACCGCCGGCCAAGGCCAACAAATCGTCATCTAAATCGGACATCGTGGGTAATTAGTTTAATTCACTGTAGATTGTTATTGTAGACTAGTGACTTTTCATTTGATGTTGGATGAATGTCGCGCACTGTCGCAAGATGTCGCCAAGATCCATGTCGCGACTAAATCAAGGCAAGTTTAAGACATGGTGAAGTATGGGGCTGGGAATGGTAGCACATAACAAGTCGCTCGTCGGAGGTGTAGTGTCCACTTGTGATCGAATTGTTTCAAATGTTGTGTTCGACCCTTAGTGTTTAATGGTATTGTAATTTGTTTTCAACCAGTACTTACAGATGGCAAAAAATTGTGCTCTATAGACAGAGCACCTACAAAAGTCTTGATGCTTGATGAATTGGTATATATTCCAATTCTTGCAAATGCCAGTGCTCTGTTAGAGCCCAAATCCTTGTGTGGCACGAGCTACCATTTTCGCAGCTAGATGCCTCTGTTCTCTAATATTCTTGGTCGAGCTGTAATTATCAGACCTAACTATGTCCAATGAAAACCCGCATAGAACGCGGTAGACGGCGAAACCCACAGTCAAGTGAATAACTGCTAATCGTCGAACTTGACTGGCAAGGAACAGTGTATTTGTCAACACATATTTGGGGGAGGTTGTTAGTTCCGTTCACGTGAATGGACATCTGTAAACTAATACACAAGAATGATCCATCGGTGTCTCCGGTGTCACCGACCAGAGTCGAACCGGAGCTGACGAAGAGAGTCCGTAACGATGATGAAGGAGGGAACAAAAGGGCACGTTTGGAAAATAATGTGGGGCAAGAAGATACACCAAAGCTTTCCAGAGGAACCAACGAACCCAAGCGGCCGGTGCATGGAGACGCTGTTGCAATAAGCGAGAACTCCGAGTCGCCCAACTCGTCGGAGTACAATTCAGATTTTTCAGCCACAAACAGCAGAAGGTCGACGGTTACCTCTGTACCTTCGGATGATGAGGTAGATACAGCAAGCATCAACTCTTGTGAAAGTCTTTTGGCACTCATAGCAAACTTGAAGTCCAAACCAGTACAGCTCGAAGGCATACAATTCATAGACGAGCTGTTACAAACCACAGACAGACAGTTATTGTTGGCCAGATTGCATCAGAAATACGTGGAGCCTTTACTTGATTTAACTGGATATAAATGGATAAGGAAGGAGTTGCCTAGCAAAGGGAAAGGCGTCAAGATCTTTTCGATTAAGTACACTTGTTCTCAGCAATCAAATTGTCCAAATAACCCACCAAATACAGTCGATAGGACCCGAAAGTTCAGCAATCCACTCAAACAGTATGACTGTAACTCGATGTATTCCATCAAGTATATCTGGTCAAGTCTGACTGTGGTAATTACATATAAGCATTCTCCACACTCACCATACAAAAGGCTTCCAGAAAAATTGAAGCCATATATCCTAGACAGACTACAGATGAAAGCAGTTGACTTGTACAATGAAATACTTCAAAATGAAGAGTTCAGTGACATCAAGCACTTGATTTTCTTCAGCAAGGTTCAAAGCTTCTGGTCCAAGCAACGCATTATTCAGAAAGAAAAGTCCACCAAAGAGGCTTTCGAGAGATTTTTTAAGGACTAACAGTAACTATTACCAATATGTCGTGTATATAGTAACGAATGACGATCAAGATACTTTGGATAGTTAGCCAAGTAATTGTTGCAAAATGGGATACATATTGTCACGTGACATGCATCAGTAGTGCACACAGTGGTTCGCACAACCCAGATTCCGAAAAGGGTTAGGGTTAGGGCTGGCTGAAAATTCACGTGACCAAGTATTACAATTTAGAACTACACACTGTGAGCTTCTTATTGGACTTTATGACACCAACACACCATGCTGGTGTGGCATACCAATTGAATTTTCACAGCTGAACGGATTGTATAATTATATGTATTAAAACATGAAACGTGAACTTAATAAACAAACGAACCAAGGAAACCATCGGCGGCCAAAAGGACACCTTTCTCCGCTATTTCGATAATCCAAGCCCTAATAAGTATGTCATGTAGATCAACATTGGTGAGTCTTTTAGAATACAGGTTATCATATGGTAGTGAGAATGATGATCTGAATTTGGGGTTGTTTAACGCAATCTTCTGGCTTCACGTTCAGATTCCATCAAGCACAAGATGTCGTTTTCTCTGACTGGGCCCTTGACGTTTCTGACGATAGTTCTGGAGGCATCTTCCAAGAATTCAACTCTGACTTGGGTGACACCACCTCTGGAACCGGTTCTACCCAAGACCTTGATGACTTTAGCTAAAGTGACTGGAGTTTTAGTATCCTAAAGATGTTAGTTCATGTCCTAGCTCAACAGTATAAGATGGTGGGGTGTGATTCAACATACCATTTTGTATAGTTATATGAAGTATAATCTAAGAAGAAAGAATTTCTAAAACGCTTGTGGTATAGGGCGAAAAAAAAATTAAAAATTTTCGCTACTAGTCTCAAACTGTAAACTTGCAAGCAAACAGCAACTTTTCCCAGTATACCCGCACACGACTTTTGGGCAACATATTCAACATGTAAACATTAGATAACCTGCATGGTTGCTAAGATCGGTATCCACACTATATGGCGGTTTTGTGTGCAATCCATATTTGCAGCAATAGGAAGACGTGCTACTAATAAGAGTGGTCAAAAGGTTCAGAAGTTGACTACTGCTGTTGTGAGACTTGAATTTGATTTTGTTAAAAGTATGTGACGGGCTATTGTACATTTCAGGGTGAAAAAAAAAAACCAAGTAGAACCTACCACTTTATTGAGTTTGTTGGTGTTATGATAACTCTCAATGATAAAATTGAAACCGAAATTGGAACCTTGAAATCCAGTTCTATTGGCAAAAATTAAAGCAAATGTTTGAGCTCATAAAATTGTGGATCATAAATGACCCAAAGAGTATGGATCACGTCATCTTGTAAGAAATAAATATTACAGATGAGCACCATAATCATCATTACAAAAATTGTCCTGTAAACCAAAATCGACAGCTGCAGCGAGTAGATATTGAGTACGATGTAAATAATTTAATATTTCAATTTTAATGTAATAAAGTTCTATTCTAAATACCTCCCATAAATAAGTAGACCAAGCAATCAGATCATACTGGGGCCTGAAAATGCAATTTTATTGAATCTCGGAGCGAAAATGCTTAGTTCTTTCCGGATGCAACGGCAGCAGCCTTCGCTCTCTTTGCCAAAGTCGAATTGAAGAGTCTGATTACAAATGGCAACGCAACCGATAAACAGACTACCCAGGCAACGAGAATTCCGAAATTTCTTCCCAACTGGCCCTTGTAGGTATTGAAAAAGACCACTTTGGAAGCTTCGTAAGAGTTGTGAATTGGCAATGCATAACCATACCTGAAAAACTGTGGACACAATGCTAAAGGACTGAAGGTGGCGGAAATATTTATGATGACCCAGAACAATAACCAGAGTCCAAGCAAAGGTGGATAGACAAGAATAAGAAGCATAGCCGCGATTTCATTGGCCAAACCGACTGCCCACATGGTCAAGAACGCTAACATCCAGTAGACCAAGAAACCAGCCTTTCCAAAAGTCACTGTGAAATCAATTTGCATCACCAAGTTGACCAAAGAAAAGAACAAGCTTAGGAAGAAGAAAGATGTAACCGAAGCACCCAAACGGTAAATATAATAGTGTGCTGGTTTCAACTTGAAACTAGCAACTTCCTTGTGGATATCAGCAAAGAAACTAACCTGGAAGAAGGTGACAATGATCATATAAATCAACCCGACTTGAGCTGGTGCCGTGAGAGTGTCATCAGTCAACGGAATTCTATCGAAGAAATTGATGACCATGGGAGTGTTGATCACCTGTATTGATTGACGAGAAATTTCGCCTTGTATCAAGTCTGTGACCTGAGTGCTCACATTTCCAGAAACTGCCAACCATTGGTCTGCAATAGCCTGAAGGCCAGGGACCACGTAGAGTTGTATACCATTAATATCACGTCCAGTCTCGTAGATGCTCACGATCGACAGATTAGCCACATCATAATTGGTGTCCCCGTTAACGATTGCTTGGTGGTAGTTGTATGTAGCGTTAGGCTTGACGTAGAACGAAGCCCAGTACTGTTGTTGATGCACTTGTCTTTCTATTTCTTGTTCAACCGAGTTATTGTTGTGACGACGAGCAGTTTCACGGAACTCAGACCCGTAAATAACGTGCCAGTCACCCCAGAACTTAGACTCGTTCGATTGCAACACCTGGGCAAAGCTGTTACCGATCAATGGAGGCACGTCACCGACTTGTTGGTCGTCCTCGATCACCACCAACATCCGCAAGTTCTTGAGACGGCTCATTCTTTGGTACGACGAGCCCCAGTAAATGGAGAAAACACTCAAGATGAAACATCCGAAGAGGAGGTAGATCAAACCAAACTTCTTCAATACTGCGAGTCTTCTACCACCTAGTTTGGGGTTGAAGAACGAGTATTGCGACCGGACCCTTTCAAGGGTGGTGGACTTTCGCGAGAGCTGTTCTGGCTCGTCCTTGTCTTGACCAGTAGGCTCCACTTCTTGCTTGTCTTGTGGAGCAGGTTGGTATGTAGCAGCCTCCAAGTCTGAATTGTGCCCATTATCCTTGTAATCTCTGGTACCCTCACTGTTGGTACTAATAGATGCCGCAGCCATGGTAGTAGGTATTCTTGTTTAAATGTAGAGTACTTCTAGTCTGCAATTCAAACAAGTTCAATGTGGCCAGAGCGCCAGGTTATATATGATGGGACAAGAAAGGACCGATGTCTAAGCATTTGTAATATGAGGTCAGTAAGGGTATGTGCGCGGGTTTAAGGGCGGTTAAGCCCGTGTCATCACGCCGCACTACCTGACTTCCAGCAACTGCGAAGCGATGCGCACGGAACGCATCTAGGCCGAGAATGCTAGACGTACCACTACAGGGTAGCAGTGGGTGTGCTATGGAATGGATGCCGCCAAATATCACCGGATGTGTCCACGGGGTAGTTCCGAGCTTTTGGCCTCAAAGACCTCGCTCAATGACCTCCGGCCATCACTGTCAACATGCCAGTAGATATGCAGTACTTGTGCATACGGGCGGCGATACGCATGCGTCTGGACCCGAAACGGCATTAACGCAGAAAAGGTGGAGACGAACCAGATGCAATTGGGGAAACAAGGAACCAATAGCCGCCTTACAAAGGCTTAGTCAGTGGCAGGTTTATGAAAAGGAGTCGCGAGAGGCAGCGTCAGCTCCTGGCCGTGTGGGGGCCAAGTCCTCCAGTTCCAGCCCGGGTGGTGTTCCTGGTCCCTGGCCACGGACATTAGTAATGTTTCTTGAACAGCGTTTGGTGGCTTTCAAAATATAGGGTTCCCATGGATGGGTCGAATGACCGAGATACGTCGGCAACTTGCCAAATTCGTGTCCGCCGAATTAAAAGACAGCCCCAAACATGGGAACAGGACCCTGGCTCAGCGCCACAGAACAATAGCAGACAATAAATCCTTCACAACAATAGCAGTATAATCGCGACGTCAGAAATGCCAGTTCTAGGAACTCACGTTGGTGTAGGCATCAAAGGTTGTGTAACTCCTTCGTAGCTATTCTCGAATGTCAAATTGGACTCGAACCTGAACTTGAAAGTCACCTTAAATGACCAGAGCATGACCCGTGATTTGACAGAAACTAGTTCAGCTATCAAATTAGAATTCATACATGCCAGCCAACTCTCTGGCCGACTCATTGTCGTAGCAGTCCCCACATCCTCCGTGTCTTCACTTCACCTGTTTCAGAAACTTTATCTGAAATTTCGTATTTGCCTTCATTTCGTCCATCTCTCACTGTCTATAATAAAATCCCTCTTCTTACTCCCCCGCTGACAGCAATCTACCAAATAGCCTATCTGATCGACCTCGACTGCCGCTGGCGGAGCCGGCCTAGCTTCCGTTCCGTTATCAGTCAATGACTGCGAAACCTTCGGAACTAGCCTAGCCGTTTATTCCCGTGTTCCTGGTATCACGCCGCGCAGAGGCGAGAAGTTTGTTGCCACCTCCTGTCATCAAATAGCTATCGAGTGGCGGTGCCAGACACCAGTCGTCTCCTATTGTCATCAACTATAACTATCCCCAAAGTGCTTTGTTCTGACCACACGCACCATGTCCCACGCAACCCCAGAATCACCTGCCAGTCTGATCAATGAGTCGATTGCTGCTAAAACAGGCCCTGTGTATCGATGGAGAAATTCAGTCACCGATTATTTCCACCAAACATGGTCAAGCTTCTATTCAGATGAACAGGTAGAGAGCCGTTTGTTGTCGCTCCTTCCGTTCTATCCAGAATCTGACAGCACCAGAACCTCCCGCATAATCAACACCGATGTCAGCGACGGAAAGTTCATCCATGAGTTTTACATCGAAAACACCCAACCTCCCAACGAGCAGTCTCCCGAAACATTGGACATAGTACTTGTGCATGGTTACGCTGCATCCTTAGGGTTATTCATTGATAATTATGATACCCTCTCTTCCATTCCCGGGATCAGGATCCATGCCATCGACTTGCCGGGATTTGGTTTCTCATCCCGTTCAAAGTTCCCCACAGACTTGAAAACCAGCCAAGAGGATATATTGAAGGTTGAGGACTGGTTCATAGACGCCATCGAGGAGTGGAGGATAAAACGCAACATCAATAAATTCACTTTGATGGGACACTCTTTTGGAGGTTATTTGACCTCTGCATACACCCTCAAGTACAACAAACCCATCACTGATGACACAGGTGATAGTCACAACCTCATCGACAAGCTTGTGCTTATCAGTCCTTGTGGATTCGAAAGAAATAAGTATTCGCTTCTCAAGGATAGTAAAACGGCCGGCCTGGCTATTTCGAAACAGGATCGTGAGAAGCAAAACGAACTCACAGCTCCAGAAGCTTATGATGATAAGGATTTAAGCGAAGCATTGGCTAATCAGGAACAAATTGTCCACAACGAGGTTGAAATTGAAGTGTCACCTATGGAAATGAGGGTTGATAATGTGGTCCAAAAGAGAAGCGGGCGGATCATGCAATCATTATGGGACAAACACGTTTCCCCATTTTCCTTGATCCGTAATGGAGGTATATTGAAATCCAAATGGATATCTGGTTGGACAACTAGAAGATTTGGACATGTTTACCATAGAAATCCCGAGCACTTCCAAATTATTCATGATTACATCTATAGAGTTTTCAACGGAAAAGGGTCTGGTGAATTTGCCATCACCAGAGTTTATGCATTTGCTGCGCTCGCTAGATTACCATTGCTTGATAGATGCCCAGAAGAGTTTGTTAACATGAATTTACCAACACTATTGATGTACGGTGATAGCGATTGGATGGATGAGAAAGCAGGTTTGAGAATGCAAAAAGAAATCAATACTCTTTCTCAGAAAAAGTACAGCATTGATTTGTCTTCGTATTCACTCGTCCCTAATGCCGGTCATCATCTCTATCTTGACAACCCTCCAGTATTCTCGGAGGATGTTTTCAAGTTCATTGGAGCAAAGCAAAAATAGTTCAACTTACTTCTTTTTGGTTACTTGCAGTCCCTTCAACTCCTTTAAAATGTCACATAGTTCAGTTATCTTATTCTCTTGTCTTGTATAGTTCCTTTCTAACTCATTTAGTTTATTTATTATTTTCATGTTAATTAATTCAAATCCTTTCTTAATGAGGTTAATCCCATTTTCTAGTTCCTGACTTTCTGACGAAGCTACTTCAGAACTGTATGTGGTATCAGCTGTGATTTCTTGTGGTCGCGTGCAACTAATTTTCTCCATAAAGACGTCATATGTGTCATTTGAATCTGAGTTCTGTTCTGCTTCAGAAGTTTCGTCTAAAAATGGAATATCAATTCCTTCCGGTAGCGAACTTGCAATTTTCGACTGGGTGCTGGTGATTTTCGGAGGTTTCTTGTGTCTATATCGGTTAGCATTTAGAGGTGTGAAAGAAGGTTGCGAATCTTGTACCAAAGCTATCAGGGTCGAAATTTCTTTGTTAGATCCTATGGGCTCAATGAAGCTCGAGCCCTCGATTTCAGAAGAGAATAAATTTGATAAGTTCTCTTTAGAACAGTTTTTTGTCGAATGTATCCTAGGTTCAGTATCGCTCGTTTGATCCAATTTGATACGCTTGTAACAACTGGGCTCCGATTTTTGACCATCAAACATGTGTCGGTTTGGTAAATTTAGCTGAGAGTGAGGTAACAACCCACACTTTGTAACTAGTTCTATGCCTCTTTCATTTGAAGTCAAAAAATTTATTCTTTGACTATCGATTGTAGGAGGTATCTCAATCCAATATTTTGTCTGTGATATTTTTGTCTCTGGTTTGCCAATAAGCAAGGCGAAGATCTCTACAAACTGGGAGAATCTTGGTTGGCTCAATTCAAGCCATAATTTGAGGCGGTGGTGTTTTGAACTGTCAGCTAGATTAGTGAATGCAAATGAGTTCCAGTGGTTATTCTCTTTATGGAAATGAGTATCAAATTCAATTGTAACAGAGTTCGAGCTCTTATTTTGTGTGAGCGATACAAAAGTGGATAAGTTCACAATGGATGGAACCAAATCAGTTTTATCCTTTGGAGTTGACCAAATGACCATTGATTGTTGATCAATGAGCTGGACTAAATGAAATTGCAGTTTGGAGCTAGGGATTCCTTCTACTTCTGAAATGAGATAGGTGTGGTTGTAATTCTGGATATCGGAGATAATCAGCTCAGGGTCAGCAGCCAGATAAAATGGATTGTTGCAAGAAGAAAGCTTCTCGGTCTCTTGTTTGAATCCGATCTGCCTCATTAGATGGATAAATACATATGACTTGATTAGCGACTTTTTACTTGAGATTATTGATTCGTTTCTTTCTACGGCTCGCGAACTAAGTTGAATTTTGATACTTTTGGCATAAATTTCCAGATTCTGTGCAATATTACTCAAAATACAACAGCTGATCCAGCTAGTCGAATATTCACTAAGAGCACGAGAAACGAGTTGTGAAATCAAGGAGTCGTCCAAATTGAGAGGGCACAAGTTCTTTCTGTTAGTATTTATTGCACAATAAGATTGGGTTACTCACAATCAAGATACTCCAGTACTTTTGAAAATGTACAATCTGGCAGGTAAAGAGAAACACTACCAACTTAGAACTTCTTGGACTGCTGCACTGTAGGTCAGACTTTAGTAATACCATCAATGACTCAACCACCGTCTCGAGCCGCTTCGACAACACACCACCACACAGCAGCTGGTACACCAGAAGCGCTTGCCGGATTGTTTCAAAACGCTCATCGCTGTAAACCTCGAAGTCATCGACGAGTTCCAGCAAGAGTCCAACGATAGTCGTTTCCATTGTGTTGGTGTGGTTGGAGTAAGTTATAAGTTGGTTTTTGCAGCAAAGAGGAATACGACATTCATGGTGCGCAAGACATTTGTAATGTCAATTTGCGTGACAATCTGCTCCAGAATAGAGAGATATGGTCATGCCTAGATTGAAAACTATCCGGGCTTGGCCCACGCCAATACGGGCGTAGCCTTGTATGGTATTTGCATGACTCGAAGAGCCATGCCTGATCAGTGGAGGTGTTTTACTCACAGGTCACCTGACCCTTGACAAGACTACATGCAGTACCCATCGCCGCATCAATTTTTATTTTGGCGGACAGAGCCAACGTCTGCTTGAACTATCGAAAAACATCCTTCACAACACTAGATGTCTGTATCGGAAGCAGAATTAGTCGCTTTGTTCGACAAGGTCGGATTGGCCGAGAAAAAGACTAAGGAAATCGTCAAGAACAAGAAGGTATCCCAATCGTTGTACGAGATCTTGTCCAATGAATCACCCAAGGACCAACTGTTTGACGAAAAGAAGTTGGCACTCTTGCACCAGCTTGCCGTCGAGAGCAAAGGTGCTGAGATTCCACAACGTGAGCTCGTCACTGCTGCCATCTTGGACGGCAGATTGAAGACCAACTTGCAAATCACCGAAGGTGTCAAGTACGTCAAGGAGAACGAAGCAAACTCCACCAACGCTGGATTGAACGAAGCAGCAGGAGTTGGCATCGAATTGTCTGAAGCAGATGTCAAGGCCGAAATCTCCAAGTGGATGGCTGACAACAAGGAGGAAGTCGAGTCCAAGAGGTATTCGATGGTTCCTCGTGTGTTGGGTGAGGCCAAGAAATTGCCTTCTTTGAAATGGGCTGCCCCATCCTTGTTCAAGCCTATCATTGATGGTTTATTTTTGGAGACCTTGGGCCCAAAGGATGAACGTGACGTCGTCAAGAAGGAAAAGAAGAAGAAGGAACCTGCAGCCGACAAGAAGACTAAGGCTGCCCCAGAACCGGAAAGATCCATGTTCTCGGAGGGTTTCCTTGGTGAATTACACAAGGCAGGTGACCAGCCACAAATGTACCCCGAATTAATCAAGGGCCATTTGGAGTTCACTAAAGGAAAGGTTTTCACTCGTTTCCCTCCGGAACCAAACGGATTCTTGCATATTGGACATTCCAAGGCCATCATGGTCAACTTTGGTTACGCCAAGTACCACGGTGGTAACTGTTACTTGAGATTTGACGACACCAATCCTGAAGCCGAAGAAGAAGTTTACTTCAACTCCATCAAGGACATGGTGGATTGGTTGGGTTTCGAACCCTGGAAGATCACCTACTCTTCTGACTACTTTGATGAATTGTACGAGTTGGCAGAAAAGTTGATTGAAGTCGGCAAGGCCTATGTTTGTCACTGTACTCCGGAGCAAGTCAAGATCAACCGTGGGTTGAAGGCTGACGGTACCTTGGGTGGTGAAAGAAAGGGATGTGACGAACGTGAAGCTTCCGTTGAAGAAAACTTGAAGAAGTTCCGTATGATGAAGAACGGCGAATACGCAGTTGGAGAAGCTACTTTAAGAATGAAGCAAGACTTGACTTCGCCATCCCCTCAAATGTGGGACTTGGTGGCCTACCGTGTGTTAAACGCTCCTCATCACAGATCTGGCGATAAATGGAAGATTTACCCAACCTACGATTTTACCCACTGTTTGGTCGATTCTTTCGAAAACATCAGTCACTCGTTGTGTACCACCGAGTTCAGATTGTCCCGTGAATCCTACGAATGGTTGTGTGACGTATTGCATGTGTACAGACCAGCCCAACGTGAATACGGAAGATTAAACATTACCGGTACCGTCCTTTCCAAGAGAAAGATTGCCAAGTTGGTCAACGAAAAATACGTTCGTGGATGGAACGATCCTCGTTTGTACACTTTGGAGGCCATCAGACGTCGTGGTGTTCCACCAGGAGCCATCTTGTCGTTCATTAACACCTTGGGTGTCACCACTTCTACCACCAACATTCAAGTGGTCAGATTTGACAGTGCAGTCAGGGCTTTCTTGGACCAAACCACACCAAGATTGATGATGGTTTTGGACCCTCTCGAAATCGTGGTCGACAATGTTGCCGACGACTTCGAAGAATCAATCGAGATTCCATACAAGCCAGGTAAAGGAGGTGAAGTCTTCGGTTCCCGTACTATCAAGTTTGGCAAATACATATATATTGACCGCAGTGATTTCCGTGAAGAGTCCTCCAAGGAATACTTCAGATTGGCTCCAGGCCAACCTGTTGGTTTGATGAAGGTCCCATACAACGTCAGTTTCAAGTCGCTCGAGAAGGATGCCAACGGCAACATCGTTAGAGTGCATGTCAACTATGATAACACCGAGGCTAAGAAGCCTAAGACCTTCATCCAATGGGTGCCTAAGGTCGATGCCATCAAGGTCAAGCAAGTCAGAATCTACAACCAGTTGTTCCACAGCGAAAACCCTGCTGCCCACCCCGATGGATACTTGAAGGACGTGAATCCAAACTCCGAGGAAATCATCGAGGGTGCGTTGATCGAGCGTCCTTTCGAGGAAATCAAGGCCAAGTCTCCATTGAACATCGAAATTCCTGGCAGCGAGTTCAACATCAAGGAGCGCAAGGGTCTTGAGACAGTGAGATTCCAGGCGTTGAGAGTTGGTTACTTCTGTGTCGACGCTGACTCTACGGAGGACGAGTTGGTTTTGAACAGAATCGTCACTTTAAAGGAAGACTCTGCCAAAGATTAGTTAGCAACAATAAAGTAATGACATGAAAGGTGTAGGGATTCGAAGTGCACAGACAACCGTCTCTTCAACGATACTCTGAACAGAGAGGCAGAAGATTTGGTTGTAGTCTGTTTCTGATTCAAAAATCAACATCATAAAGGCTTTAAAATTGCCAGAGTTTTCAAGACCTGACATTGTTGGGCATTTGTGTTTCCTGATAGATCTGGGGAATAAGATGGCTGGAGAGAAAATTTCCTTCGAAGTATCTTGACTCTGCAACAAAGGGGATAGCCATAGGAACCACTACCAATTAAGGTGCAAATATCCACCCGTGATCGCAATGCTTGGGCGAAACACCTCTCATGTACCTGTCAGGTCCGGGAGAGGATATATTTTATATGTATGCATATTAGCTCACTAGCTAGCAAATCGCCAGCCCGAAATGTCTGACTATTCTTTGTTCATTCGTTTCTTTTCCGTATTAGACGGTTAGAAGAATCCGAGCCAGCTTTATCAATACTAACCGAGATTCTCGAGTGGTTAAGGACAATAATTGGATCTCTCTTGATGACTAGCTCAGTGATTCTCGCGAAGTATTTCAGGAGAATGCTTGATGTGAATTATTGATGCCCTCTCGGCACCAATTAACATTGGAGCGTCCTAGTATCCATCTCTGGCGCATTACACCAGCTCAGCGCTGACTCCGATCGCTATACATTCACTTTAATTGCTACAGTTATTCAAGGGTGCCCATCTCCGAAAACAGCTGTATTCGAGTCCAAGCACATATCCATTAGCTAATTGAACTGCATCAATAGTCCTGATTGTTCAGTAGCGCAGATCACTTAGTTTCGTTTTTGGCAAGATCGCGCTTCAAGTGATAGCATTTGTTGCCCTGAGCTTGGAGTACAGCATACTGCGACCTAATTTTAGCTTTGATCGGCCCGAGATGATTGATTTTGCGATTGCATTGGGAGTAAGGGTCACCACGATGAACATCACATAATACGTCTTCACCGTTTTTTGGGCCTAAAATAATTGATTTGATGGGCGAGAGATTTTGCTCGACGGCAATGAATTGCGCTCCACCATGTCATCCAGTTGTTGACAACCAAAGGGTTGACATTCGTATGTCATATTGAGACACCTTGCATGCTAATCTAGTGTGGAGGGTGGAGCAGTTTGTAGCAATTGAGCCATACACTTTTGGAGGTTGTAGCAGATGCTTTGGCTCAGCACAAGCTAGTCCTTCTTACTGTGCCACTCGTGCCATCACGTATTGTTTCTCAAATGTGACCCGAGTGGCACTGCCAGCATGCTCATTTCATGTGTCTACGTCTAGTGCTTCCATGGTGCAGATCGCTTGCATGAAAGTTCCTGACATAACTCCGTGCAAATCGTGGTACCATGCACAGTTATGAGACCGCTGGCAAACAGTGACGCCGATAATAGCACTGCACCACCACCACTACCACCACCACGACCACCACCACCACGACCACCACATTATTCACCACGACCCAATTCACAACACAGGTGCCACCCAAGACAGTGCCACCCCGAAAGCCAAGTTCCAACCCCGTCCACATGAGCCAATAGTCGTCTCGGGACCCTCCCATGTGATCTCCAGGCACCCACCCACGTTAGCGAAACCCTAGGCATAATATGACTAATCGCATGCATGTTGGCCAGACGATGCAGGTGTGGTCCCAGAATAGCCTTCCAAGAAAAAACTATTGTTTCGTAAATCGAAGTACAGTACGAAAAACTGAATGGTCGCTGCGAATGGCCAGACACGCTTCCCCCCAACCCCCCCAAATGTGCCCCAAGTCACCCCCCCCAAGTCACTCCCAGGCAATTGGAGACCAGCCCACACGTCAGCTAGAGCACACTCACCAGCCTCAGAAGCACATCCACGCTTACTGGGCCCAACGGCTACCAACGCACTCCAGCATACTCCGAGCCGGCACTGAAACGGCAACGATTTTCATCTGGTAGCGGCCATTGCTCGCAACCGTTTCGCGTGGTCACTGGGTTTTTTACAGCCGTTCGGTTGCCGATAATAGGCTACCACCAATTGGAGGGGGTACTTAAATGGGAGACTGCCCATGGTAGCCATTCCTCATCAATCATGGCCTTCACCACCCCCTCTCGTCTCGTTATCAGTCTCGTCCTCAGAGGCGCGCAATTGTTGTTTGCCATCCTCGTGTTGGGGATTGCTGCTGGAGGAATCGATAATGCAGGAGACTTTGTCGAAGACCCCTTTGCCTTGAGTGTGGCCACTGCCGTGCTCTCCATCTTGTACCTCGTGCCCATGTTGATCCCCAAGGTGTTGGCGGTGATCCCGTTGGGAGTCACCCTCTTCTTCGAGTTCGTGCTCTTCGTGCTCTGGTTGGCGTCGTTTGGCCGCACCACAGACATCTTTGCCAGGATGACCTGTGTGGATACAACCTTTGTCTACCTTGATTACAATGTGTCGTGGTGCAGACTCGGTAAGGCCAACATTGTCTTCACGTTGTTTGAGTTTCTCTTGTTCCTTGCCACCATTGTCTTGATGGTGGTGTTCACAGCCGTGCCCACCAAGGGCGCAGATATTGGCCAACGCGGTACCACCCTCCGGGGAGGCATCTTCCCTGCTTCCCCCAGCACCCACCCAGATGCCATTGGTGACGTGCCTGTGGCTGCCGCTAACGAGGGCGACATCCACACCGCCCACTCCGACATTGCTGACAAGGAGACTGCTCTCGGCTCCGACAAGGAGGCTGTCCACCCAGACCCCACCTTCACTGGCGACGAAGTACACCTCGATTCCACAAACGTGGGTGCCCCCCACTCGGATGCTGACGCTCAGTTCCACGACCCTGCTGGGGTCGACACCAGACCTGTCGGTCAAGGACCCTCTGCCCACTAAGCCGAGACGTTTGATCGCCAGGGTCTAGGTGCGTAATGTTGCTCGTGACCACACGGCGTGACCGCACGGCGTGATCCACTGGCCATGTGCTCCTGTTCCCCTCATGGAAAACAGTGGCTGCTATGTATTTCGAAGTCTGGGCGTGGTACTGTGTGCCCCGCCTAATATCTATTAATTAAGCTCTTATTAATGACTTGTTGTTGCTATCTTTTGACTGTAGAAAATACGTGACCTGCGAGAAACAAGACCAGTTGGCACTGGTATCGAAGCTACTGGTACATTTCAGCCAGCCATTCTTGCACATAGTCTAAATGAGAGAGGGGCTAGTGCTCGTAAATTATGCTGTTGTGGTGAATTTATCATCAACTGCCTGCTGAGAGTACTCTAGAAGTGAGTAACATCCACCAACAGACCGTAGACCGCCGGTACATCGTAGCATCCTGCGGCGAGACTGCTAAACATCCGTACTACTCTGGCTAGACAAATATTTGGGGTTGTTCTTTGAAGTAATCGTAACATGCATTGTAATTAGTTGTTCAAATCTGCAAATGGTTATCTCATGATTGTCATTATTTGGCTTCCTCTCTCGGAAGAGGAGACCCGGAGGGGATTAATTACCAGTTACATCACTGAAGCTCAGATCTCGTAGATTATGCTCGTTGTGGGGGCGCCGGAGATTTTACCTAATTGAGAGGATCTGGAGCCAAGCCCACTCCAACTGCCCAGGTAGACTAAACCACGTGATACGAATGCCGAATTGAGAGGATCTGGGATCGCTAGCGGAACCCATGGGAGCGAAGTGCCACGTGAACTGTATCACATGATCTATCCTCTAGGCAACACTACTCTCTAACTCCCTCCTGTCCCACCTCCATCCTCTTTCTGATGGGTTAATGGACGAGATAGTCGAACTAACTGGTCTTTAGTTGTAGAGGCAATACAACGACGAAAGAAGCCATTCAGCACTAAAATTCGTCCATCATCTCCTTTCTATTCATAGTAGGCAGTACGTCACCATCTCAAGCGGGGAGGAGCGTGTTCCAGCTTGACTGAGGCGATCTTGCTTGCAACTCTGCGCATCCATGTGATATGCCAGGTGGGTGAGGGGCCGAGGATGAGTAGCGACCACCGGCATCGTAGGAACCCAGTTTGGCATGAACCAGTTAGCGGAGCTGCCCATTTGGCGTGACCCAGTTTGACATGAACCAGTTCGGTAATCTATCGTATTGAACCACTTGCGCCTATGGAAGTGACGTATTTTGCACCGGTGCCCCAGAATCTGGGGAAAGAAGCTTTCGCTTGCGGCCGTCAGACGCATTTCAGGTGGAAGCAACACGCGTCCGCAGGATGGGGTGCGCGATGTGGGGCATGCGCGGGGCACAGGTCTGAGATTCGTACGCGTCATATCTCGCATCCCTGCCACGGGTTTGTGTGCGCAAAGTGAAAAATTTGCGTTGGCTTCTAACCACCGCATCGGTGGTGCCCATGGGGCGTCTCAGCACCGAGTGGTTGTGGGGAAGCGAACGGGGCTTACCTACGGGATGTGTGGGATGATGTTGACGTGGGTGTGGGGCCAGGATTCCGCTCATGGGGCTTGGTGCCAGGGCATTCCCCAAAGCAAGCGAAATGTTTCACCTGTTGCCCAAAATGAACATTCGACCGAGAACTGATGTTGTCGAAGGGTCGACGCGACCTAATGCACGGCGCCCAAAACGGAAATTCACACTGTAATTAGGTTTGCGAGAAATGTTGGGCCATTCCAGCCCGTTGTCAGAGCCTAGAGAGTCGGACCCTGGCCTAGACAACAGATGGTTCCCACACCAACAGTGCCTATTGTCGATACCGGGCCCGTTGGGAGCCTGCCCCGGTCTCCAGGCGCCCTCTGCACCGCCAGGGGTGGGCGGCGCAGTCCGAATGTTCGTCCTGCACATGGACCGGAGGGACAGACATCACCCACCAGGGCCTGCGCGGGGCCATATGGGGGTAAATTCGTGGTAATTTTTCAGACAGGGCGATAATTATCGGCGGTAGAACATCAACCACGAGTAGCAATGATTGGCGATGACAGAGGGCCAGACCCCGGCAGGGCCATCACCGCCACTAATAGGGATGCTAGGGTGGCGTGTCTCCGATCCATCCCCTGATAAGCTGATCCCAGACACGGCCAGGGCACGCTGGGCGCCTCCAACGGGGGTGGCTATTGCCCCATCTGCGCTCCATCAGGTGAGTTCGGGAAATGCCCCAGGCGCGCACGGGGCTCGCAACGCCGGCTCTATGCTTATCTGGCCAGTATTTTCTACGCACGTAAATGGCTTGCACGGTGGAATAGGTGGCCAGGATCCGCCACCCGTGGCAGTGATCTGGCCGGCGATTGGCAGATCACACCCCATGGCATGGCCGATCAGTGCTGCCCTTCCCTCTGGAACCCAACACCACTTCCAAAACAGTCCGCCTCCGTCAGGTACCGCCCCCAAACCCCGTCCCCGCTGGCGCCGGCCGCTGCCTGCGGAATCTGACTACGGGGGTCTTTGTGTCACATCTCCCTGTTTGTTCTGTTGAATGCTGGGCAGATTGTTCTTTGCGTGCCGTCTTCGGAGTACGCTCGCGCCGGAGTGCGCAGTGTTGGGCTATGGCCTACACCTCATACAGCACAGCAACTACAGCCAGACACCGTAGCAAGCGTCACAGTAAGCACCCCGGAATACCCCATGTCTGGCACGTAGTGCCAGTGCCAGGCTCACGTCAGATCATCGTGTGCCGCATTCGCTGTGTGTGGGACTGTCTGCGCTGTCACTGGCCGCACCACACCTCCGCCTCGGAGTGGCCGGAAACACCACCAGACGGCCGCTGTTGAGCCGCCATCTGGGCTCTCAACAGGTGTGCATTTCGGGGTCCAACGCTCCAGCCGCTCTTATCATCCCTTGGAGTTCCCACCACTGACCAGATCACTCACCTACTGACACTAAATGATGGGACCAGCACACCTGGCCACCACCAGCCCACTGTCTGACATCCCCCGACTGTCTGACACCCTGACACCACGACACCACCACCACTGGTCACATCAGCCCTGCCCCACTCCAGACACCACACCCACAGTGTCCCAAAATCTAGCGCCCCAAACGCTACTAACTGACGCACCTACCCCTACAGAAAAATATTGCATCCCCCCCTATTGTTATTTTTTTCTTGTATCTTTTCACCATATATATAAGTACCCGCCTCCCATACCTGAGCGGCCTCGCATCACCAACACGAACTAGCATTCGGAAACGACGTCTACTTATCAGGTAGGCACTGGACTCACACTAAGGGCATTCCGCTGGATTGAAGGACACACTTCCCAGCTGCAATCCGCGCACACTACCCGCCAGCAACCATCACCATGTCCACCATCACCCAGGCCCACCCGCCACTCACCAGAAAGAACCTCGAGGTGTCGTCACACCAGCCATCCGCCATACCGCCACATACCCCACCATTTGCAAACCCCATCAACAAGAAGTTGTACAACTCGTCGTTGTTGGCCCAGTTTGCCATCTCGTCCACCGACTCCCTCGACACCACCAGCTCCACGTCCACCATCAAGCTCAACTCCACCGCGTCCTCGCCCTCGTTGCCCCACTTTTTCCAGGCGGTAGACCCTGTGGACGTTCCCGAGCCCCTCGCGGTGCCTCCGCCCTTGCTTCGCAAGAAGTCGGGTGAGTTGGTCAAGAGCTCGCTCAAAATCTCCTCGCTTCTCCAGAAGTCCATGTCCACATCTAACCTCCCCTCCAGCAAGTCGGTACGCTTCGCCAGCAGATTGGCCAACATCAAGCACTTTGATGGCTTAGATAGCCCCAGTGCCGTGTCGTCTGCCCAGACCACTCCTTTACACTCGCCTCCTGCGCCTGATGGGTTCAGCGATGACGAAGAGGATGACGACGACGACGACTTTGATTTCGACTTCTCCAAAAAGAAACTGCCTATTAAGTTGGTCAGAAAGAAGAAATCGTCCCAGAAGTCTGACTACTTCCAATGGAATTGGAACGGCGAGTTTTCTTCCCACAAGAACACTTCAGCTTCTGGTTTGGATGCTGATTTGACATCAGACACATCTTCCGATGATGAATTGAACTATTGGTACTCGGCTTCTGGTCCCAGCAACCCAAGTTCCAGCTCTGGTTCCGCCAAATCGAGAAAGTACAAGATCGAATCATCCAACGTGCAGACTCACCCTCAGCCCGGTGCACCCGTCATTCTTAACTCGGTTAAGTTACTAGACATCGACAATACCACCTACCTTTATGGATTAATCAATGTTCAGAATCTCGCATTCGAGAAGCATCTTTCCATTAAGTTGACTTTGAACAACTGGCAAACCAACTTGAACTTTTCTCATAAGATCATTTCTTACCTTAAATCTTTCCAACACTCCAACGTTGATCAATTTCAGTTCAAGATTCCTTTATCTGATTTAATCAGTCACAACAATCAATCCAACAGTAACGGTACTTTAAATTCTTTGATAGATATAAAAATGTGTATCAAATACACTGCAAACCATCAAACTTATTGGGACAACAACAATGGCAAGAATTATACTATTGTGTTAAAGGCAAGTGATAGTATCAGGACATACAATTACTCCAAATCTTCCAAGAAAGCTTCTTCATCGGAGGTGGACGACTCATTCCCTCAATACGACGAATTGGTCACCAAGTTGATCAACTTCCAGAATTCATCATCAGACGTGGGAACTTTCCGTGACTGTTCTAAATCTGACACCGACTCTTATGGAAGTGCAAAGAAGAATTTTGATGACGACTACGTTTTAGCAAAACCTATTGTTTCTCCAAAGAAGTCGGCTTACTCACGTTACAATCTGATGAGCGAAGAGTTGGATGACTTGTCAAAATCGGGCATTCATACCCCAGTGGTTCCTATTAAGTTCAGTGAGGCTAATGGCCCTCAAAGAGCTGTCAGACCACCATTGATGAAGCATTCATTTTCAGCCTCTGATGTCTTGGCTAGACCCACTCAAAAGTACTCAAAATCATACCGGTCGAAGCAACAACCACAATCACAACCACTTCCACAACCATCTATTCCTCAACCTGAAAAAAAGGAAACACTCAAGTTTGATTCTCTTTCTTATACTGACTTGTTGGCAAATTACTGTTTCTCTGGTGGAGTAAATGAAAGTAATGCCATCAAGCAACAAGTATCCTCTAGTGTCCCATCGAGTCCAAACGACCGTAATGTTGGACTTAAAAATGAAAATGTTTTTGGTTTAGCATTTGCATCATCATGTTCCCCCGCTTCTACATTCCATTCTTTTAGTGATTCAATCCATATCTAGATGGGTTCCTGCTATTATTTATTTCCAGTCGATCATTTTCGTGTTTTAATAACTTTTCATCTTACACTCCATCGTTTGGAATCATCGACATTTTAGTTCTTGCATTTAGTTTACTTTTTTGGTCATTTTGGTCATCCGCTAACTTATTTATATAAAACAAGGGTTCTTATATAGTCGCGCTAATATTACTTTCTTTAATTGTCTTGAGTGTAGAAGTCGGCGAAGGGAATATTTGACAAAACCTGTCAAACCAAGGGCCAATAGGCAATGCAGTGGTCGTAAAATTGATGAAATCTACTTCAATATGATGGTAGTGGAGTGCCAAGTAGGCGAGTACTTGTTCTCACATTTGATTAACTTCTTTAGGATACTCAATTTTCAACAGTTGAAATAAGCTAAATGGCAGCTAAAATCAACTCTATCTCCGTTGGTCAGATATTGAACAGTATTGAAGCAAGAAGCCAATAAAATAGCTGACCATATTCAGTCATAATATCAATAATCATTGCAGAATACCCATGGATCCTGCTACTAGCTTGGGTATTTAAATATAGGGATTAGGTTTTGCAGAGTCAAGAGGGTGGTGATATCTTAGTCAGTCAAATAGGGCTCTGCAGGATTTAGTATTGACCGATCAACCCCGATGCTGATTCCAAGACTTAACGCGATTAGTTAATCAGCCAACCAGGGTCTAGATTCCCAAAACGAGTTATCGTTAATTATATCCACATGGTATTCACCGATGGTGGCTTTCTTTCTGGCCTTGTCAAGTCTTTGCTTCTGTCTTGAGGAAAGACCCGTCTCCTCGACTGGCTTGTAGTCCTGGAATTCACGCACAAATATGGTGCCCTTCTTGAACATTTCCGGCTCGTTATTATAATTAATACCAAATTCTTTGAACAATAATTCGTTCTTGTCAGCAGACACAGTTCCAGCAAGTCTATTTTCGGCATCCTTTGGAGATAAACCTCCACGCAACACCAATGTCCAGAATGTGGTGTTGTATAGGTTATTAATGTGACAGTCCACCTGTCTCCAACTGAAGTAGTCTCGCACGATTTGAAAGTTTGGATACACCACCACTCTTGCGTCGAACATGGGCATTCGTGCTACTTCCAACGGCTTTTCAGGGAACGCCAAGTTCCAGTAGTACCCATAGTAGGCTGTCATGGCTGATGCAAACGTGGTGATTAGCTTCATTTCTCGTCTTTCGTACATCTCGCATCCTCGCCTGAGTAGAAACGAGTATTCGTCCGAATCACCGTAGGCCATCAAGACATCGGAGTAATGTTCAACTATCTCTCGTGCTGCCTGGTTCATCACCCGCAATGCCTTCTCATCGTTTGGTTTGTCGAAGGTGTAGTGCTGGCTGAACTTGTGGAATCCCTTCCCATCCACTCTGATCACGAGATGGGTATCGGGCAAGAGGTAGTTCTCCCGTTCAAATTGCTTGACGTACTCAAAACGCGACTTGGCCATGTGTGCTGAGATTGGAGCGTTGTGGAATGGTGCTGTTATTGCTGGGAATTGGCAATTATCCACTGGGATGATTTAGGTCATCGCGCACGTGACCTTCACTGTACGCAGTGGAGCTGGAGAATACTTTAGGACATACGGAGAAAGAGGATAGATTCAGAACGGAAAAGGACCTCAAAGCAAGCTTGCCATATGAAGAGCCTATCAGCACCAATACAGCTCAGTTAACACCGATCTCGCCGTCATATCGCACCGCCCAGCACCACTCCGGCCCCTACCGCAGGCTCATCTCTCACGTGATCTCAAATTTTTACATGAAGACAAAAAACTTCTCATCTTTTACAACCCATCCTACCCTTTATCCATCGTTCATCATGGGAGTTCAATTTAACACCCTTGAAAGGGAAAAGAGGTTCCAAAACCCTCCCAAGGATAAGTCTGCCTTCCCGTTATTGGCCGACGCTGTCTTGCCCCACATCGGTTCCTTCAACGCTTTGACCGAAGGTCCTGATGGAGGTTTGTTGAACCTTGCAGTTAAGGACATTGGTAGCAAGACCATCTTCGACACCAAGGATGACACTCGTTCCGGTAACAAGTTGCAGATCAGAGTGGAAACCGTCGAGGTTTCCAAGCCATTGGTTCCTGCCAACGACAAATTGAGTATTAATAGAAAGACGTTACCATCTGAGTGCAGAGAGAGAATGACCACCTATAGATCCAAGTTAATGTTGAAAGTCACCTGGAGCGTCAATGACGGCGAAGAGGTCAGTGAAATCAGAGATGCTGGGCAATTACCCGTCATGTTGAAGACCAACAGATGTCACTTGGAAAAGTTATCCCCAGAAGAGTTGGTCAACAAAAAAGAAGAGTCCGACGAGTTGGGTGGTTATTTCATCGTTAACGGTATCGAGAAGATCATCAGAATGTTGATTGTGCAAAGAAGAAATTTCCCCATGGCAATCATCAGAGGTAGTTTTGTCAACAGAGGCAGAGCCTACTCCAAGTACGGTATCCAAATCAGATGTGTTAGACCAGATCAATCTTCCCAAACCAACGTCTTGCATTACTTGAACGATGGTAACGTTACCTTCAGATTCTCGTGGAGAAAGAATGAATACTTGGTCCCAGTAGTCATGATCTTGAAGGCCTTGATTGAAACCAACGATCGTGAAATCTTTGACAACATCATCGGTTCCGATACTTCCAACTCTTTCTTGACCGATAGATTGGAATTGCTTTTGAGAAATTACAAGTCTTACAACTTGTACTCCAAACAAGAAACTTTAGCATACTTGGGTGATAAGTTCAGAGTTGTTTTTGGCGTGGAAGCCAATGTGTCCGATGTTGAGGTCGGAAAGCTTGTTTTGCAAAGAATTGTTTTAGTTCATTTGGACTCTAACTTAGACAAGTTCAGACTCTTAACCTTCATGATCAGAAAGTTGTACTCTCTTGTCGAGGGCCAATGTTGTCCAGACAATCCAGATTCCGTCCAGAACCAAGAAATCTTGTTGGGAGGTTTCTTGTATGGTATGATAATAAAGGAGAAGATCGAGGAATACTTGCAAAACTTTAAGCTTCAAGTCCAGTCTGACTTGAACCGTGGTATTGCTGTGAATTTCAATGATAGAAAATATATTTCCAGAGTGTTCATGAGAATCAATGAGAACATCGGTCAAAAATTACAATACTTCTTATCTACCGGTAATTTGGTGTCCCAATCGGGTTTGGATTTACAGCAAGTGTCTGGTTATACTGTGGTTGCTGAAAAGATTAATTTCCACAGATTTATAAGTCATTTCAGAATGGTGCACAGAGGTTCGTTCTTCGCCGAATTGAAGACTACCACTGTCAGAAAGTTGTTACCCGAGTCATGGGGTTTCTTGTGTCCTGTCCATACTCCCGATGGTTCTCCATGTGGTTTGTTGAATCACTTGGCTCATAAATGTAAGATCTCGACCGAGCAATCTGATGTTTCTCGTGTTCCAGCAGTTTTGGCCAACCTTGGTATGTTGCCTCCTTCGACCTTCGCAGCCGGTCCCAACTTGTGTTGTGTTATGTTGGATGGTAAGATCATTGGGTGGACTTCTCACGAACAAGGTCAAATTTTGGCCACCACCTTGAGATACTTGAAGGTTGAAGGTAGCCCCGATCTTCCTCTCGACATGGAAGTTGGATACATTCCACCATCAGCCAAGGGTCAATACCCAGGTTTGTACTTATTTGCCGGATCTGCCAGAATGATGAGACCAGTCAAATACTTGCCTTTGAACAAGCAAGATATCTTGGGTCCTTTCGAGCAGGTCTACATGAACATCGCCGTCACCCCAGCAGAAATCGAGAACAACATTCACTCACATGTTGAGTTCTCCCCAACCAACATCTTATCTATTTTGGCTAACTTAACTCCATTCTCGGATTTCAACCAGTCTCCAAGAAACATGTATCAGTGTCAAATGGGTAAGCAGACCATGGGTACTCCCGGTGTTGCATTAGTCCACAGATCAGACAACAAGTTGTACAGACTCCAGACCGGCCAAACTCCTATTGTGAAGGCCAAGTTATACGACGACTATGGTTTCGATAACTTCCCCAACGGTATGAACGCAGTTGTTGCTGTCATTTCCTACACCGGTTACGATATGGACGATGCTATGATTATTAACAAATCTGCAGACGAGAGAGGATTTGGATACGGTACTGTGTACAAGGTCGAAAAGGTGGACTTGTCACAATCCAGAAGAAGAGGAGATCCTATAACCCAGCATTTCGGATTTGGAGAAGACGAATGGCCAGAAAGCTGGAAGGAAAAGTTGGATGCCGATGGTTTGCCATTAATTGGTGTCCAGGTGCAAGAAGGTGATCCAATTGTTGCTTACTACGACGAGACTTCGGGTAAGACCAAGGTCAAGACTTACCATTCCAGCGAACCAGGTTTCATTGAGGAAGTCAAGTTGTTGGGTGACGATAACACTGATCAAGAATGTCAGCAACTTACCATCAAGTTCAGAGTCACAAGACAACCAATCATTGGTGACAAGTTCTCGTCCAGACACGGTCAAAAGGGTGTCTGTTCTCGTAAATGGCCCCAGATTGACATGCCATTTTCGGAAACTGGTATCCAGCCAGATGTCATCATTAACCCCCACGCCTTCCCTTCGAGAATGACCATTGGTATGTTCGTCGAATCGCTTGCCGGTAAGGCCGGTGCCTTGCATGGTATCTCGCAAGACTCCACTCCATGGAAGTTCAGCGAAGACGATACCCCTGCTGATTTCTTTGGTGAGCAATTGAGACAGGCTGGTTACAACTACCACGGTAACGAGCCAATGTACTCTGGTGCCACCGGTGAAGAGTTGAGAGCAGACATTTATATCGGATGTGTTTACTACCAAAGATTGAGACATATGGTTAACGATAAGTTCCAAGTCAGATCGACCGGTCCCGTCAACTCCTTGACAATGCAACCTGTCAAGGGTAGAAAGAGATCCGGTGGTATCCGTGTGGGTGAGATGGAAAGAGATGCATTGATTGGTCATGGTACTGCCTTCCTTTTACAGGATAGATTGTTGAACTGTTCGGACTACACCCAGAGTCCTATCTGCAGATCGTGTGGTTCGATTTTGACCACGCAAACGTCTGTCCCAAGAATCGGTACGATGGCCTCGGTGAGATGTCGTAACTGTTCCTACAAGTTGGAGACTTACGTGCAGAAGTTTGGTCATGTTGACGATTCCGAAATCTGGGAGGATGGACAAGGTAGAAAGTTCATTGGAGGTGAAGATACCACTACTGTGGCCATTCCTTTCGTGTTGAAATACTTGGACTCCGAATTGTCTGCCATGGGTATCAAGATGAGATATAATGTTGCTGCCAGATAATCACCACCCTAGGCGAAGCGGGCCACCGCTGAGCCATATCGTCACCCGACGATCCACCGAGCTGATGAGGCTCACAGTCATAATTGTTCTATAGTTTGTCATATACGTGTTAAGTAACGAATTGTAGACCAGGAAGGTAGGGGAATTTGTTCAAGCAAAACTGATGATGAATTTAAGATTGAAATTATCTGGAATTGATAAGATCAGAGTGGGCGATAAAAGGCGACATTTCTTCGTCTGTACTTGCCAAATTAAAAGTGGATTCTAGGGTGATCCAATTCATTGTCATAAATCGGCAACTCACATGCTCTGTCAACTATTTATACCTGACTTAATTCCGGCTTTCACTTGTACTTGCAAGTTTAGCCTTTCTTAATTTATGATGCAACATCATAGCTTGCTGAAATTCCCTTCCGTAGACGAGAACCATGTAGAACCTGGTGCTTATGGCATAGGTGCCTCAGCTGTCTCATTGAAGGAGAAGCAAGTTATTCAAATAGATTCTTCAACTTGTCCATTTCGGGTGCAGTCTGCTTCGTGGACGATAAGCGTCCACATGAATTATCAGTTCACTAAAGCTTGGATTGTTTGGCTCTACTTCGGTACTCTGGCTCGTTAACTTCTAATTTAAGAAGCCGGTCTCATAACAGTACATGCTAGTGGTTGCGAAATATCGGGTAAAGTGCTTCCAGCTCAAAACCCGCTCCGCCACGATACCGAAGCGCGCAATATTTTCCAGCTCCTATCGATTCTCATCCGTGATGCAATGACGTAGTCCATCAGACTAGAGTTTCTATCATGCCCGAGAAGCGAATTGCCGTTTCATTCTTTTCTTGCCAAGAATTTCAACTCTTTTCTGAACCTCAGCATGTCAATTTCACGTTAGTAGTTCCAATCTGCGACTTTACTCGAGAATCCATGATCTGATAACAGGTTGCATCGCATCAATTTAGGCGCCTGGCATCAGGAACCGTCACGTTATTGCCATGGCAGGGGTACGGCAAGGTTCAAGGCACAAGCACCGGTACAGCATTCAACGCTAGAGACTTAGGGGCCTGCCCGACTAGTTCAGCACAAGCACAGTGTTCGAGGATGGTTTATCCGAGAAAGCGAGATAGATGGCTGAGGGCATTCTCGGAATTTCTGAGTCTTAAAATAGAATCACGGTGTCCGGGCTTCGGTAAACAGTCCTGAAATTAAGTTGTATCGCGGGGTAGTTGAACTATTATTTGCGTAGGATTACGTCATTACGTCATCGGCAATGGGGAATTTCATAGTATGATGAGCACTGGTAGACAAACGGTATACTATGACATCGATGCGAGGAACTCCTATGATCCATTGCCATACCCCTGGCATAAACATACCTTGCACCTCCAGGTATAAATACACCTGTGAATTCCCGTAATAATTGAATCATCAAACAACTCAACAGTTTATCCAACAATCAAAAATGCAATTCTCCTCCATCTTCTCCGTCGCCGCTCTTGCTGCTATTGCCACTGCATCTCCAATCTTCAAGGTTATCACCATTAGATCTGGCTCTCAATTCCAATACCAAAACATCATTCAAAAGGATGGACAGTTATACGTTTCTGCTCAAGACTCCCCAGTGACTCTTATCTTGGACACTTCCGATGGAACTTTGAGTGACAGCACCACCCGTCAATACATTCAAGTTCATGACACCCTCTTCTACGAAACTAGCAGAAAGGATGCTACCAAGGGTTTCGCTATCAAGGATGGTTACTTGACTCTTAACGACGAAGCCTTCTATGCATGTGGTGCTGGTCACGACGAGTACAAGTTGACCACCGCTTGTTCCACCGATGAGCCTCTTGCTCTCAAGGTTGTTGACCAAGCTGACACCAACTAAATAAATTTGCATGATAGTATCTACTTATATACTACGAATATATTATGAGTGAAAGTATCTGTAGCTGGAACTCCAGAATAAGACACACCAAGTCTCGGGCATTCCGTGAAAGGGGTGGTCAATGAACTATGATTTTTCATTTGAATATTCTAGCATTGGTGTACCAATTCAATTGATGCTGAAATACTTCATATTTGCCTAATTCGCTCACTCTCCCTGTATTCATAGAAGCAATTGTTCATCCACTCACAAGTCCTTACAGTGGAACTACGCACGAGTCGTTGCAGGCGCAATGGTTCTTATTATCTATATCCACTCTAACCTGTGTAGATCTCCAAGTCCACCTTCTTCGAGTGCTCTAAGATGTATTTAGCGTTGTCAAAGTCGCTTCCTCCCGCTCTTTCTTCTGCTTCCTGCTGGTTGGCCGCGATTCCCGACTCCAAGTGTCTTTTAACGAGCCTCTGGTGGACCAAATCCAACGGAGCTTTGCAGATCCACGTCTCATCAACGTAGTTGCTAATCTCAGTCCACACGTCATCCTTGAGCGAGAGGTAATTGCCCTCGAGGATGACAATACCGACGTCTGGCTCGATGGTCAAATCGTTTTCCAAAGGGTCTTTCAACGCATGGTCAAACGTGGGCGCTAGAATGGGCTCTGTCAGCTGAGAACGGATTTGCTTGACCAACTCCAAAAATCCTGTTGCATTGAAGGTGAAGGGAGCACCTCTTCTTCTCACTGCCTCAGCTGGATCGGCGAGCTCCAAGAGTTGTGCTCTGTATAAGTGGAATCCGTCTTGCAGAACAACCAACGCTTTGACTGTTTTGGAGACTGCGTTCACGATGTTGGTGGAAAGGGAAGTTTTACCCGAGCCAGGCGTCCCAGCCAACGAGATGATCAATCTTCGTGGCGCCACCTGCTCGTAGAGCGTCAAGACCCGCAGGACAAGGGCGTCAATGTTGTTGGCGTCAATGGATTCAGTCATGGATGCCCCAGAAAAAGTCACGTGCAATGTTCACCTGTTTGGTAGTACAGATGAAGATTATGATTTGGGTAAATTCGCTTGATTGGTTGTCACGTCCGGGCGTACTTGTCACAAGAAAGTCCAAAGCTACATCAGTTGGACCACTATAAGAGATAATTGCTTGAAATGGTGTCTGTTTGAGTCGCTAATAACTTTTCTGGCTACCTTTTCCACCAATGGCTTCTCTGCTTGACCACTTCGAGCTCCCCACAAGATGGCACTCGTTGAGCCTAGGCTTTTTGAGCCGACCTGAAGTCATATTCGGGCTCCAGCATACCAGGTCCCAATACACATTCTACTTGACCAATTTTGAACATGTGTGGGTAGAAGTTGCCGACAAAACCCAGTTGATAGCGAAAGGCAGACAGTTTGGGTTCGAGGACTTGAACACATCCAAAATGATGGACTTGATCCAGTTGCTCGCCAATTTGGATCAGCATAAGGAGGCTGATTTTGCGCTGGATGGCGATGATATCAAATTGCTGAAGAACGACGTGCACTGGGTGTTTCAGTTGGCGAAACAGCCTGTAGATGTCACCGTGCAGTTCTTGCGGGAGTTGAACATGCAGCAGTTCCAGAACCACAGCCTTTTGCTCGAAAAAATCGGGGACTTGAAGCACTCAATCGAAATCAAGGATACGTACTCCAGGTTCTTGGTCGAGAACTTCAAGTTAAGTCACGGAATGGATTTGATCTCTGACTACAAGCGCAATAACAAAAGAGACGCTGAATTTTTGGAACCGTTCCGCTCAGAAACATGGGAGAAACGCTTCAAAAGAGGTACTCTAGAGACCAAGGTATCATCCCTTTTGAATGCAGTCAATGATCACCTCACCTGGGACCAGGCAAATACCAGAGATGGTACGATACTAGTTCCCGAGACCCAGGACGAAACACAGTTTGATTCTTCTCCCTTTTATAGCTCTTCACCATTTTACACGTCACCCGTCAAAAGCAAGAGTGAAGCTGGCGAATCGTCAGAGCAAAGAGACACCGAGGTCGATTCTGAGAACACCCAGCTCAATGGATCTCCAAGAAAAAAACACAAAAAGTTGGGAGTTGTACGTGGTGTGAAAGTGGCAGAAAAAGATACAGTGAAGTCCAAGCCAGAAACTATTCCTCCATTAAAAGACACCATCAAGAGCCTTGCCCCAGACATTAAAAGAAAGCCCAAGTTTGGGAGTATCAGACGAGCCAAGCGTTGAGGAAGAATCCACAAATCAGCTCATTAGTACATACACAGCTTAGCTGGAGAAGTATTATGCTTAATTACATTTTAGGACTAGTAGTTATGTATGAAAATTTTACCTTTAGGCATTAATTTAATCATTGGAGTCCAGGAGTCGGGGCTTGAGTCCTGAAGTCCAAAGACAGGGTTTTAGTACTTGCGACTGAGCTCTTCCCACCTTTCGATGAGCAATGATAATGCTTGATTTTGCGAATCATCCATCTCTCCAGCATACAATGCACGCAAAATTTCACTCCAGAAGTTGACGAATTCCCTCAAGTCGCCTGCAGTTTGGGGCACGTCTACCCACTTAGGAACTCGTTTCAGACCCATTTGTTCGAAGGGCTTATCCCCATGTCCCAAGTATTGCTGGAAAACAACCATCCAAAATCGGATAAATACCTGTGAGCAGTCATGAAGGTTGACGATGGCGTTCTTATCGTAGTCTCTCAATAAATCCAAGTCATCCCCGTACGAAGACTCCATGCATCGATGCACCACCGAGAGGGTCAATTTCTGGACCTCATCATATATAGTAGAACATGCTTGGTGGAGCAGACTCTCTTCAGCAGGGGAAGTCGTAACTGTCGATTTTATCACTGAAGACACGGCAGAGGCATCAATGGTGGAAGGAACTGGCTGGTGTACCGACAGGGCCTCTCCATACCTCTGGACATTCTCGGTGTAAATAACATTCCCAATGAGTTCTCCAGTCATGCTAGGTCTATAGCTCACAGTCAAGGTGTTGTTGGTTAGTGCCTTGAGGCACAAGTTCTTGTCATTGGATAGTAGAACCACCAAGTTGGAGGAGTAGTTTTGTTGGTACCAGAGACAGCAGTCCAATATGGCTTCATCTTGGACAGTGGCTCTGTCTATGCGTTGGTTCATTTTCTGGCCTATTATTACAGTGCTTTTAGAAGCCAAGCCGGCGTAGATCCAGTCGTTTGCCCACCTTGCCAAGTGGCCAATGGAACGGCCAGAGAGCCTGGAGTCGGACTCGTTTGCAGCTTTGGTGGAGTTTTTGAGCCCGTCCAACTCCTTCATCACGGCTATGGGCACCACAAGCTTTAGCCTGTATTTGGAAGCCAAGGTGGCGAGCTCATTGACGATGTTGAGATGGGATAAGATGAAGTTGGTGTCTATGATGAGGTACGATTGGTTGCCCTGGATCACCTCATAGGCGACGCCAGGCTGGACGGACGCCTCGTGGTCCATGTCAATATCAGCAGTGGCATGGTTGATGTGGCGAGAGTAGTCAACGTACTGGGAGACAGCCGCCACCTCGAGGGGGTCATCCATGGCGATCATCTCTATGTCTCCGTCGTGGTGGGATGCTGCCTGTTCAATTCTGTTCTCTACATTTCGTAGCGTGAAATTGACTGGCTTCTTAGCACTAGGAGTGCCCAGTGTTATCCATTGGCTCTGCTCCAGCTTCGAGAGTCCCAGCGGTCCGTACTTGGAAGGCAAGGGCATCTGTTGGTGATGTTTTAATTGAGAGAGTGCACCTCAAGACTGCACAGGAGACTCGGAGACCGGCAAACCAGAGAGATAAGATATGACTGCCAGAGGGGGGGGAAGGGGAATTGCAGGGGTTGAAGCAACGTGAAAGGTGCTCGTTTGTTTCTGGTGCCTTCTTGTGAATTAATGAAATTATTGGCGTCGGATGTGTCTTCTACTGGTATTCAACTATTACTAGACAAACAAGTATATAACTCGTTGAATATTTATAGGCCGAGTCTAAGGAGTGGAGGCTTTCTAGAGACGAAGATACGTCAATAAGGTGAAGGTGGCCGAGGATGGCCGAGGGGAGGCTGTAGGAAATATCCCGGTCCATTAAAATACGAAAACTTAAATTTTATAAAAGCGAATGGAGATACAATTCTGATTTGAATTGTAAGGCAGAAGCTTCATGCTGACACCACTCGACAAATTCAATCAAGAGCATTTCGAGAACATTAAGAGTTATAGCCCCGTAAGTAGGCGATTTTCATTTTCTTCCCTCTGTTATCGTGTAAAAATGATATTTTCACCATTAGGTCAACATGAGATCAAACCATTTTTATTGACTATTAATAATATATTAACATTAATTTCAGTCAATCATTGCCCAGAATTGTCCAGTTACTTGCTGGGTATATGAGGTTGCATTTCATAAATCCTGTGATTCATTTTTGATGCGATTACATTGTAGTCACTACGTGAAGATTTATATTATTCAATGCAAGGACTCATCTGACTAGGCAGACGAGTAAACAATATTAGATATAATATCAGACACATTGCCAATGATGCTGATGATGCTGAATTGAAACGCAATGATTGTCAAAACATTGTAGATTCGACGAAGGAGCCGTGGCAAGCACGCACTGCTATATTATCTCCAAGAAGAACTCAAACAAACTGACAAATAAACTCATGAAGATAATCACAATGATCATCCAGGTGATTCTGTTGGTGTTTTTCTCATTCATACTATCACTGACAATATCCAGGAACTCCAAGAAAACCTTGCACCGATCATTCAACACCTGGACTCTTTGATCGATTTCCAAATACTCTCTGACCGCCGTGTATAATGGATGTAATGCTGGTTCAAACGACCAGAAAAAATCAGGCGTGTCAAGGATGGAACTTGAAAGGTTTACATCCACTCTGAGTTTGAATAACTTACCGGACTTCTTGAGTAACTGAGTCCTCTTCAACCCTAATCTCCCGGTCAAAGCCAACTTCTTTGGAAGTTTGGAAATCAGACCAAGAACATTCACCATCCTACTTTCAAATAAACACAACTTTGTCAGCTGTGCAATAGCATGAGACATCGTAAGCTTAATTAAATGATCCCCAGACCGCAATGTCACCATGTCGTTGTAAATTCTTGGGCGGTGTATTTGGCTGTCGTACTCAAAATGAAATTCCTCAGTTTCGATATCCTGTTCATCAATAGGATTAATCAACAAGGTATCGGGTTCATTAGATGCAAAGGTCAAATCCGCTAAAATATTCTTTTCGTGGATTTCTGAAAAGTTCCAGAACATCACGATTCCATAAGCTAGGATGAACATTTCTGCATGGTGTTTGGAGACATCGGCTTGACTAGAGGTTGGTTCGGATGTCAGATCCTTTATAGGAGCCTTGTCAGACTTTTTGGGCTCGTTTTCCTCGACACTGCTATCATCACTAATTCGGGAGGCATCCAAAGGAGGAGCAAAGAACTGGGGTTCCGACGGATCAAACGGAGTGCTGCTGTCAAAATTCTCAAGCTCAGGGTCCATGGAGTAGTTGTTTGCGTCCTCGGGTGTTTCCACACCCGAGTAGTATTCGTATAGATGATCCAACTGTTCGGTTCTGTTGATCAACTTTTCCATGTATCTCTTGTTGGGTAACAGTTTAGCTGAATTGTTGGACTTGACTCTATAGCCATCAGTTCCTGGTAACAATGGCAATGCATATGGGACGTATAAGGCCTCGTCGTACGTCCGTGGTTTGACTTCGTGGTGCTCCCTCAAGAACTTACTTACTGCCTTGAGATTAAACTCTTCACAAATGAAATAGGCAGTCATTCTGCTAAACTCGTGTGCTCTTGCCTCCTTGGGCATGAGCTCTGCTCGGGATCTCTGGATCTGAGCTTGCAATTCCGTGCCTTGTACTTGCTGTTGCGACAAGGACAAATTTGGAGGTGGCAGTGAACTGTACTTTTGTTGCTCTGGGATCAACACGAGCTTTTGGGACGTTTTGGAAGTTCTCGATGGTAATGACTGCGACAACTTGGGAATACTTCTTATATTCTTCCGCATGCCTTCTCCGAGTCGTGGGGTGGGCAGCTTAACGCCAGAGTTGGAGTTTTGGTTGAGCCCATTGGCGTACATTGGCAACCTGCTGGATGAGCTGGATATCAACAGTGGTAGCCTACTCTGGCCAGACGGAATGTCACTGGAGTTGCTGAGCAATTTATCCACTGAAATGTCCGTGAACTTGTTTCTAAACGCAAACCGCTTTTGTAGCGCACTCTGGTGTTGTTGCTGTTGAAAGTGATGGTTTGGCGATTGCTGATGCTGTTGCTGCTGCTGCTGCTGCTGTTGTTGTTGTAATTGAAGTTGCTGCTGTTGTTGCTGCTGTTGTTTCTTGTAATTATGTCCGGCAAAAGGAGCACGGGTTCCTTTGATGGTGTTGCTTCTTGCATCTGTGACTAAAATGGAGGGCGAGCGCTTCGCCGTGGGCCGCTGCAGGTCTGCAGAGGGCGGCGACATGGACCTTCGTGACAGGTGGGAAGTCATGGCTTGTGGAAAGTGGTAGATAAAATACGCACGGGTATAGGCTAGATCACGTGCGCCGATTCCACAGTGGGCTACGGTAGACAATACACAGGGTGCACGCAGAGCACTGCAATAGTGGGAATGGACAGCAGGGCACTAGTAGAAAGGGCACTGGGCACGGGTAGCATTCCCACGCTTCCGTGCAGTGTGGGCAAGATGTTATGTTTCCCGAATATGTGTCACGTGCATCTAGTCGCGTGACCCATCTCCAGATGAAAAAATTGACATCCAGATTCTCCAACCCCAAGCATGTCGTTTACTTTAACTATTGCCGCCAAGGCCCAATTCGTGGCTTATCCAACCCTCATTGCGGTTGGGTTCGTCAACGCCAGTGATGCTGACGTCTCCATTCCAATTGAATTCGTGGACGAAAAGTCCACTGATTCGTCTGACGCCAACGCCTCCATCAAATTGGTTACCCCAGAAGGCCAAACCTTCTTGAACCAATTAGATGCCCTCAACTACTTGAGTGAAAAGTTCCCTACCATCTTGGCCGAAAAGGTCAAGGCCCAAGAATGGACCAAGTTCGGTTTGGACAAGTTGTACATCAAGAACTTCAAGGAATTGGCTACCGACTTGGAGAAGTTGGACGCTCACTTGAACTTCAGAACATTTGTCATTGGCTACAACTACTCGTTGGCCGATGTTGCCATCTGGGGTGTTTTAAGAGCCAACGCTTTGATGGGTTCTGTGATCAAGAACGGTGTCTACGCCAATGTTTCCAGATGGTACAACTTATTGGCTGAAGACAAGAGATTCGAAGCCGCTATTGAACAAATGTCCAAGAACGTCAACGACTTAAGAAAGTCTGTCAAGAGCTCCAAGAACGGAGGCAAGAAGGAAGCCCACAAGGCCAGCTTCGAAATCGACTTGCCAGGTGCTGAAATAGGTAAGGTTGTCACTCGTTTCCCACCTGAGCCATCTGGTTACTTGCACATTGGACATGCTAAGGCTGCCATCTTGAACGAATACTTCGCTCACGCCTACAAGGGTAAGTTGATCATCAGATTTGACGATACCAACCCTACCAAGGAAAAGGTCGAGTTCCAAGACTCTATCATCGAGGATTTGGCCTTGTTGGGTGTCAAGGGTGACAAGGTTACCTACTCCTCCGACTATTTCAACGAAATGTACGACTTGGCCATCAAGTTGATCAAGGACGGCAAGGCTTACTGTGACGACACTCCTTTGGAAAAGATGAGAGAAGAAAGAATGGTGGGTGACAAGTCTGCCAGAAGAGACAGAACTGTGGAGGAGAACTTGAAGGTTTTCACCGAAGACATGAAGAACGGTACCGAGGAGGGATTGAAGAACTGTTTGAGAGCCAAGATCGATTACACTGCTTTGAACAAGGCCTTGAGAGACCCTGTCATCTACAGATGTAACTTGACTCCTCACCACAGAACCGGTTCTGAATGGAAGATGTACCCAACCTACGACTTCTGTGTTCCAATTGTCGACTCTATTGAAGGCGTCACCCACTCGTTGAGAACCAACGAATACAGAGACCGTAACCCTCAATACGAATGGTTCTTGAAGGAATTGAACTTGCGTCACGTCAACATCTGGGATTTCGGCAGAATCAACTTCGTCAGAACCTTGTTGTCCAAGAGAAAGCTTCAATGGTTTGTCGACAAAAACTACGTCGGAAACTGGGACGATCCAAGATTCCCAACTATCAGAGGTGTCAGAAGAAGAGGTATGACCATTGAAGGTTTGAGAAACTTTATCATGGCTCAAGGTCCATCCAAGAACATCATCAACTTGGACTGGTCTGTCATCTGGGCTTTGAACAAGAAGGTCATCGACCCTGTTGCCCCAAGATTCGTTGCTGTTGATGCCAACAACGCTGTTCCTGTCAAGTTATTGAACGGTCCAAAGGAACCAACCACCGAGCAAAAGCCTAAGCACAAGAAGAATGCTGATGTCGGTACCAAGCCAGTCATTTTTGCTGACCAAGTCTTGATTGACCAGGCTGATGCTGAAGGCTTGACCGAAAACGAAGAAATCACTTTCATGGACTGGGGTAACGTTATCATCACCAAGGTTGTCAAGGAGGGCGAAATTGTCAAGTCGATTGAAGCCAACTTGCACTTGGAAGGTGACTTCAGAAAGACCACCAAGAAGATCACCTGGGTTGCCGACACTAAGGACAAGGTTACCGTTGAATTGGTTGATTTCGACCACTTGATCACCAAGGACAAGTTGGAAGAAGGAGACAACTTCGAAGACTTTATCACCCCACAAACTGAGTTCCACACCCAGGCCATTGCTGACTTGAACGTCCGTGACTTGAAGGCCGGTGAAGTTATCCAATTCGAAAGAAAGGGTTACTACGTCGTTGACCAACCATTCCAAGAAGGTAAGGGTGCCGTTTTGTTCACCATTCCTGATGGTAAGGCTGTTGCCAAGTACGGTGCTAAGAAGTGAGGATAGTGATTGCTTGCAAGTTTAAACTAGGTAGTAATTGAACAAAACTTCAAACAGATGTAGAAATAGTCCCGTGGCCGGATCAGACGTGTTTAACAATTTGCACGAAACTCTTCACATCCTTTTCTCTCTACTAATAGGTACTATTTGTATAATATGCTGATATCTTTTAGTCTAGTAATACTCATTACCCTCTAAATAATTCACTCATCTTTCAATTACCTTGAGGTTGATAGCTTCCGCTAAAATACAGTGTCAGGTATTTGATCCAGGTTCTTAATTCTTTAAATTTCTCTTCTCTACAAGATTGAGAAGCATAACTTATCATACATATATATATATAAGCCTAGAAATTTTTCATAGCATCGGAAAATCAGTCAAAGGAAGCTAATGATTATAAAGATTGATATTCTATGCGAATGAAGTCTTGCTTCAACTCTGCATATTATATGAGAAAGAGACTCTAATTCGATTTGATAACAAGTCCAACAGCTGAGCGATCACAGTCATATATCAGTCATAAATACAAGCCCCAGCAGCAATTTGAAAGCAATGTGATATGTGGTTGATCGTGTTGTGTTCCATCCCTTCAATCGTTGCCAATTACAACCCCTTGGAATAAATTCGCTTTTTAGCTCCATCTACAATAGAGTAGCTAATGAGGATATATCCTTTTATAGGGTGGGCATTAAATATGGGGTCGTATAGAAGGCTGATGAGTGTGCTGTCACAAGGGCAAGGCACCTTGTGGCTGCGAAACACCAATTGATGAAATCTCAGTGTGGCTGCGAATCAGCTAGTATAAGTCGCTTTGGAATAGCAATACCAGAAATTGAGGCAGCGAGTGCTCGACTCTTGGTGCAAATTCAACCTGAGTAGTTGGAGCTTAGTTTATCCGAAGTGTAGGGCTCCTCGTAGTGCTTGCGCTTGGACCAGCGCGAGTAGGAGCTGGTGAAGATCAAGGTGAAAAACGAAAGCAACTGCAACGCCACTGTGGTCCACAAGAGGGCAAACATCTTGACGCCAAGCCTGGAAGAATGGCCTGCATTGTTGAATGCGTTCTTGCCTCTGGCATGCGCTGCTGTCAACAACGACGCAGCAATGACCGTGAACACAAACGAGATCAATACCACGATAGCGCTGAGGATCCCGGAGATGTGGCCAGACAAGCAGCACGACAAGAGCACAAATAACACCGCGACCACGCTGAACACCAACCCGATCAACAAGAAGGCGTAGGCGATTCTGGTGCTGTAGAAGAAGGTGCTTCTGCTGGAGGAAAACGTCGAGGGCAATCCGGACGAGCCGCCAAAGTTGTCCACTGGCGAGTAGGGAAAGGCGGGAGCCGCGGAGTCACACTGGACGTTGCGGCCATTTTGCACGCCACAAGTGTTGTAGAGCGTCCATCTTGTGAGGTCACGGTTGGCGCTGGGGATGCCAGAAGTGTCCGTCTGGGACCAGTAGAACTCGCCCAATACCGAGGAGGTATTGGCACCACACAAGTTGAGGAAGAAGAGCAACAACGCGGAGCCGAGGAGGAAGATGATCGGAATTAGAGTGATGAGACGTCTTAACATGGTTAGCCACCAGTCGCGAACGGTTGCAGCCAGCGCGCTCTTTATATGAGGATGTGGTAGGTAGCAATTTACACAGTTGCAGCCGTCCCAGAAGGGTGCGTGCTACAATCCCAGAGTTGATCTTGGCGTGGCATGGGGCAACCCTGACCGTCTCCTTGCATGGCTTGGAGGTCACGAAGGTGTCTTCCTCACATGTTGGGAGGTGTTCAGCCCCGTCGTTGAGCCTCTGGTGCATTGCTGTGCTCAAACAGGAAAGTGCACGGGAAGGCCATCGGATGACTGTGACCTGGCGGGGTCTGGGCGTGCCCCTGGTGGCATGATGGATCTGGAATCAGGGTCCTAGAGTCACCGACTTCCATTGGTGGTATCAAGGCTTTGATTTTCGTAACCAACCCTCAGTTGTGGGGAAGCTGGCGAGCTGGGAGTCGTCGGCCTGTTGTGCTTCAACAGCTACTGGTATAGCTTGTACCACCACATCCACCAGTATGTTCTGCTTGCGTGATGCTTCTGGTGGCAAAGATCTCCTGCTCGCACAATCTCGCACTGATCCACTAATTAACCTATGGCCTCCGCGATCCCTTCGACCTATCGATAAATAATCCCATCTCTCCAGTAGTGAACCGCTCTGATCGCCCATTCACCTCCCATTCACCTCCATCTCCATTTGCCCTCCCTTACCCTCCATTTGCACTGGATCCCCACACCCCATCGCCTGAAATATTCCCCCTCAACCCCATCACGGAATCTGTTGGCCAAGACTGCACCTGAATACCATCACCAAAACTCGCCATTCCTCCTTCCGTCCCGAGTTCTGGGTTTTTCTGATAAATCTGCCCACTTTCCTGTTCCTGGTCCGTCCGAGTCCTGCTGAACGTCGTTGGATCCTAGTCTGGTGTCTTCAATAGTAACTTATGAGTGCCCTCCGAGTTCTTGATGTCTTGTTAGCCGTTTCCCCGCATATTACCATTCACCAAAGATGAGCCGACCATCCGTAGGCATCCCATCCAGTGCCGGAGATCGGGTGCCCATCTCCAAGGAAGCAATCCCGGCGTTGCAGGCTAAATTGCCCTCCATTTTCAGCTCCTCCAATCGCTCGTCGCCGACAGGAACCCCTGCCCAATATTTCAAGTCCGGTAAACCCATTTACGAAGGAGCCAACGGAATTGTGTTGAAGGGAAGTGACCCCGCCCACTCAGGCACTGTGGTTATCAAGATCATTAAAAAGCCAGACGACCAAACGGTGCAAAAGTACCGTGAGTCCACCAGACGTGAGTTCGATAACATCAAATCATGCACTCACAAGAACGTCATAGACGTGTTGGACTTGGTGGTGGCCGATTGTGACGACGAGTTTGCCTTGATCTTTCCCTACCACCCCAACGGAGACCTCTTGGATTTCCTCAGCCGTTTGCGTCGCTTCAAGATCGAGGTCACTGATAGCTTGAAAGATAGCATATACAAGCAAATCGTTAAGGGGGTCCACTACTTGCATACCAAAAACATCGTGCATCGTGACCTCAAACCTGAGAACTTCTTGATAGATGGTTCTGGCGTTATCAAGATCAGTGATTTTGGGTACAGTTTGGACCTCAATGATTGTGTGAAGTACCATCAACAGTTCTTGGAATCTCCTGGCGACATATACAGCGGAACTAACAGCTTCAAAGCACCCGAGTTATTTGAATACGAAGCACAAATCTTGAGTAAAACCTTTGACTATGACTGCTTTTTCAAAAACAAAATTTCATTGTTCAAGGCATTGGACTATTGGGCGTTGGGAATCACCTACTTGAATATCTCATTAATGAAGACCCCATGGGCCAATAGTGATGTCAAGGATTCCAAGAATCTCACGTTTGCTCGGTTTGTTAAAAACTATCCTAAAGATCCTACAAGCATGAAACGGATCATTAATGAATTAAACGACAGAAACTCGACCTTTTCCAATAATCGTGCTTTGGTATTGTTCAAGAGCTTGCACTACGATTCAAGGGAGCATATCATTGGCATGTTGAACCCCGACTGTACTAAACGGTCCACAACGACAATGTTGTTGGATTCAAACTGGCTTACCCAGGTGTACGCGAACCCCAAGGATTTGATCTCATTGATGAAGAAATAGAAAGTACCCCAGAAGTGGATTAGTTGAAAGAATTGGCAGCATTAAGCCACAGTCCAAAAATGGATCAACTGGAGTGATAATTAATAGCACTGACTCGATCACTTCCTAGAAATTGAATAATTAATAGCACTGATCCATCCACAGCTAACATCCAACCTCTTAGAATTATAGACGGAGCTGACTCAATTGGTGAAGCTCGTCTATGAAATCAAACGGCAATGCTTGAGGTGTAACGAGCTTCTCGACTTCAGGTAGAACCCTTGAACTTTGAGTACCCATCGTGTGACTTTTAAAAAAGGCCACCTTGGTGGCGTCTGTTTGAGTAGCTACAGACCTTCTGGTTGTTGTTCTCTTTTTGGGAAGCTTCACGACCTCACTGCCCTTGTTGAGGACAAGTGGGCGACTTATGGGGCTATTTGTGGGACTATTTGATCCGGCACCTTTGTTTGTAACACGGACTTTGGGTCTAGCCTTCGTGTCAACTGGTCTGCAATTTGCAGCATTATGAGAAACGGTAGATCTGGTTTGAAAGGAATTGCCAACGCTGGAGCAATTGGCACCTTTTCTTGGGCGTGCAGGTGGCTTCAGCAGCATGGTAGTTGTGATTTGTGAGCTACGATTGGGGCCGTATCTTTCGGCAAGTGCTGCTAAATGTGGTAGATATTTTGGAGCCAATGTCGGTACAGCTTTGCGAGAAGTGCGACATTTTACACTAGTACAGTAAACATGATTTTATACATAAGACAAAAACGACGTAGTAATATTATAGCAATAGAAAACAGTAGATAAATGAGCAATGCTCTTATAATAATTAACAGAGAAGAATGGCACCCCCACCTTAGATAAAAATAGCATCACAGCAAATGCCAATGAGGTAAATGTTCATAAAGTATAGTAGTAATAACATTGGGAGGAAAGAAGTAGAAAAACAATAATGCGAAGGCAGGTTCACTTTTGGTAGCTCAGGTATCCGTAGTTACCAACACCATTGTTGCTAGAAAGATTGCCTTGAACATTGGTAGACGATGATGAAGTGGTTGGCAATTGGTTGGCCGATGTTCTTCTAGGGTTCCCGGGGCCACGAACTCCCAAAGGATTCTTAGAGAACGACAACCGGATTCCTCCCTTACCGTTGCTTCCATTTGGTCTCGGTAATGCTCTTCCATATAATTCTGCTAATGCCCTAGTAGCATGAGCAACGTCTTCAAACTCAACAAAACACATAGGTCCATGGTTGTGGTTACTAGATCCACTACTTGGTCCACCGGATTGTGATTGGTTCTTGGTACGGAACGACAAACGACGGAAACCCTTTTGTGGAGAAAACAATGCCCTAAGCTCTGCTTCGGTGGCATCTGGTGGTAAGTTACCCACATACAAGGTGTTACAAGGAGGGTTTTGATCGGCAGGGTTGGCAGGAGGGGGAACTCTGGCTAACAATGACAAATCTGGTACATCCTTGGTTGGAGCTGATTGCCTTGAAGTCGAAGCAGCCTGTGCTGTAGTAGCAGCAGCGGTACCTGGGCTTGTTTGACCTGGTGCAGGCGCAGTATTCGTCAGCTGCTTGGCTCCCGAAATACTGGCAGATGTTGGGGGTTTGCTGGCACCTGCTTGTGACTGTAAGTTCAATTGTGACATACTGTTAGTGGCCCCTTGCAACAGTGCTTGTTGGTTTGCTTGAGCTTGGGGCTGTTGCAGTTGCGCACTTAGTATACCAGCAGCAGTAGGACCTTGAGCAACAGTGGATGAAGAATGATGGCTACCCAAGGGTGGCTGTTGCTGCTGTTGTTGTTGCTGTTGTTGCTGTTGCTGCTGTTGCTGCTGCTGCTGTTGTTGTTGTTGTTGTTGTTGTTGTTGCTGCTGCTGTTGATTAGCCAAAATGGATGCAGTGGTGGGTTGATTAGATAAAGAATGCAATGCAGAATTGTTGTTGAAAAATGCCGACGAAGCTCTTCTGCGATCGTTTGGTTGGGTACCATTGATGTTACTTCCACCAGGGTTATTATTGTTACTGTTACTTGTAGTGGTACCGTTGGAAACTGCAGGAGTCGAGGAAGATGCAGTAGAATGATTTGCTGTAGTCCAGTCAAATGCAGCATGAGTGTTATTGAGACCAGGTGTTTGAGGAGCAGAGTTCAAAGGCATACTCTGGTTGTTGGGATTTGCAGAGTTTGGATTAGAACCCCATGGATCCCTAACAAGGTTATCGTATTCTCTAGCATCATTCTGCGATTCCATCAATAAAATTGACTTTCCAGTCAAGTCAGATAAATCGATAGTAGCACTTGGAGGGTTAGAAGTGCCAGAGGGAGTAAGAGCGTTAGAATTTGATCCCGAGCCAGCACCAGAGAAAGGATCGCTGAAGACGAACCTTGATCTTTGGTTACCTATCGATTGTCTCTTTTGAAAGTTGTCAAATGCAGCATTGGCAGCATTGTTGCCATTAGATGAAGGTTGTTGACCCTGTTGACCCTGTTGCTGATGCTGCTGTTGACCCTGTTGCGATTGTGGTTGCTGTGATTGCTGTGGTTGCTGGGAGGACTGGGGTTGCGAGGGGGCGTTGATGGAAGCACTAGAGTTTTGGTGGTGGAGTGGTGGGTTAAGATGAGGAGGAGAGATGTTTGAGTTGGACAACCTCATGGAATTGAATGCAGTGTTTTGAGGAGGCGAACTCAATGCATCGTAGTCGACCTTGATAGGAGGATACTCGTTACCAAAGATGTACTTGCCATCAAGCAATTTAGCTGCAGTCAAACAAGTGTTGATGTTCTTGAAGTATGCGTAAATGACAAAGTCGTTTATCTCGATATTTATGACTTCATCGATGACCAAGGCAAACAAGAGGGTGGCTTCCCTCTTGGTGATGTCGGAGGGGATGTTGCTCAACTTGAGGACGCTGGAAGTGTTGGGAGATGCTGATGCAGAGGGGAACGAGGTGATGAGCGAGCTCAAGAGAGGGGGCTGCGCGGAGCCCGGGTGGTGATGGGGATGGGAGTGGGTGATAGGGATGTGGTGGTGCTGGAGAGGGGCCTGGCTCGACAAGAGCGAGCTGTTGGGAGGCATATTGTGGAACTGACCCATATTAGATTCCGAAGTCATGGCAGTCATATGAATTTGGGGCAGATTGACGGGTGCCTAGTGGTGGCAACACCAATCTAAGTGTGTTGTAGGAAGGTTCTTTGGGAGGAGCCCTGATGGATTCGTGGGAGGAAGGACCAAAGGCACTGGCTGGAGTCAAAAATGCCAGGATTGTGGTGCTGTGCGTGGGAGTAGCGCGGGGCTGCGTCGGGTCGGTGTTCTTGGACACTGGTTCAGATACTGTCTTTGACACTGGTTCAGAATGGCTGGGAACTGTGGCCACGAAACGGTGGGAAAACGGGGGAAATTCGTGCTTCAAAAACAGCCAGGGGACGTGTGCTTGGGCCGTGGTCGTTGGGGCACCTGCGTGTATGGAGAGCTATGCTTCGAGGACAGGGGCGTGTGTCAGACCTTTCAAGTGGTTGGTGGTGTTTTTAATTGATATTTTTTTTTTGAGCACTCCGTTTCAACGGTCACGACGTGTACTGGCAGTGTCTAGCGAACCAGCCAGAAACGGACTACGAAGACGAGAGGTGGCGAGGCTACGACCGCTGCTGGTGCTACGCTGGCGAGGGAGGCGCCTGGGCCTGGCATGGGCCTGGCATGGGCCTGGGTGGCTCTACCGCCACTGGTGCCGTTGCCACCACCAGTAAAGTCTACGGGACCTCGCAACGCCGGTGGCAAACAACCTGAGGGCGCTGGAACTGACCGGAAAGCCTGGAGACAGCCAGAGTCAAGGGGTTAGGGGGAGGCAAGGGATGGAAGCGGCCTGGTGGCGGAAGAAGGGCGAGATTCCCGCCTTCAGGGCACCAGTGTCAGATTGTAGGTAGAGGCAGTGGGTCGGTGGCGAGAATGGTGATAGCGAGAATGCACGTGGCAAGGGTCTCAAAATTGCAGGAAACCTCGTTTGTCCTGTTTTCTGGTGGTGGTCGCCCCCTAAACAAATTTTCTGGACGCAATCAGGCTGGGGGGGCTGGCTGGGCGCGCGGAGGCGCGGGCGGCCAGCCAATAAGAGCGCGTGAGCTTGGTCGTGCGGGTACCGCGGAGTCGTGTGGGGCCAGGTCGTTCCCGCGCCTGGGTGCTCACAGTCTGGCACGTGACCGGGCGAATGCGTATGCCGAAACGGCTGTATCAGATAGGAATAGTGTCTAGGAAAGCTATTCTACTAAAACGGACGTGGGCAGTTTGTAGAACGCTTGGTTATAGGTTGTACAAATGATTGGCTACAAGTACAAAAAATAGCATCAAGAATACTAGTGGTGTGCAATTAATGGTGTGCAATTAATCCATCCAGCTGGGCCGTCGTTTTGCACCCAAACCCTGCCAGTAAATTTATCCCAAGGAGAATGGAGACAACAGCGAGCCGGAGAATAGTTCAATTCGCCAGTGGTGTGTTGGGTAATTCTGCGATTGAAACAACTGTTATTAAAAGAGTTGAAACATCACTTCGTCTCCATACAGTAAAATAAAATGGCCCCACTTGCAATTGGTCCCCTCCTTAGTGTTCCTGTGAGTCTCGTATCCATTATTAAATCGCCGTTGCTACTAATTTGTTGGCAGTAGCCACATTTGTTCCTTCGACCCATTCTAGACCCGCAAACTGACTGAGCATCGCCACGATATACAAGAACGCAAAGCAATAAATGGTGGGGTTAAATGTCAGCACCAGATCCGCTTGATCCAACAAATTATCTTAGTCGTTACAAGTAGTGGAATTGACACTTGTCTCTTAGTTCGTCGCTTATTTTAGTCCTATTGTTCTATGTACCGATGCCGTTTTTGTGTTTGGCGTGCCAGTAGTTCTGATGCAGTGTGTCGAACGTGGGAATGCTTTTGACAATGAACAGAAAATCTTGATTTCTTGACCCATTTGAAGTCTGGATTTTCGAAATAAATGTGCCAACTTGGTATGCTAGTGGTCACACCTTTGTAGTGTATTTTAATGCAGACTTATGTAGGGTGCTGCTATTTAGACGGAAAGGCTGTGGACAAAGGTTTTCCCTACATTCCAGAACTGATAATTTCACAAACCGATCCATTGGTCTTTGTCCAGTTTGGTTTTCATACCCGAAATCTACTATAAGGACCAAGTTCGGCTTTCGTTGGGCCCGTTTGAACGGGATTGGGAGCGAATCCAAACATTTTATAAATGGAGTCCCGATTTCCAACCGAATTGCAGAGGAGGTCTACTACAGAGTCATCTCACCAGGCAATCTTTTGTTCCAAGGTACTGGCACGGGATTGGGTTGGGGCTAATTTTGTGTGCCAACCCCAAAACAGACACAAGCGAACGTGACCGGGCTGGTGCTGTTTTCTCTTCGCCCGCTTGTCTCGGTTCCTTGGATGTGTCAGAATTGGGCCAAATGATTAAAAGTGGGCCCTTACTTCTAAGAACTTTGGATCCTTACTCATTGAGACTTGGGGAGTGTACTTTGTTAGGAAAGTCCTAGTAAGTATGTGCTCACTGCGTTATTAACTGGTCCCTAACAATGGAACACATTCTTAACTGCTTCCAAATTGCCATAAAATATATTTAAGCACTTGCCTGCTTTCATCCTGACCTTTTGATTGCAATTTGTCTTACATTGGGGAGAATCAAATGTCATCCCTTTTGTGGGTCGACTATTTGTGACCAAACCCATTTTCAGCTTCGAACTCCGAAAAAGTGGAAAAGGAAGCCAAACGCGATAAAGTAGTATGAGAAGAACTCCTTGAGCAACAGCAGCTTCGGGGTAACTTAGTTGAGCCTCATATGCGCACATGCCAGTATTTCCGGTGTAGTTAGCCTTCAGTTTGCAAAACAGTTCTCTAAATGATTCCCCGATTTTTCTTTTTGAATCATAGAATGATTTCCGAAAACCACCATAGTCGTTCAAGGACGAGCCAAATCATTCGGATTTTGATCCTCGTCGAGAAAAAACAGGTTTTAGAGCCTTGTACGTCGCGATTTGGCTCCTTCAATAATTGGGCCCAAGTGCTGAAGTCGAAAGTAAAATTAGAAATGAAAAGATGTCTCCAACCCAACATATGTACTTACAACAAGAGTAATACTGAATAAGTCTTTCAACTAGACATTGTCCATACTTCTATTTCAATGAATTTCATCTGCTTCGTATTTTTACATCTGACCAGTAAAATTGCAAAATCTTCTTTTTCTCATAAAAATTCAAAAAGCCCACCAAACTATTCGAGATGGAGTTTATCGTTATAGATCGAACTAAAAAAAAAATCAGTAATACTACAGTAACATCCAACTGGAAACAGCTTGTTTTCCAAATAGACATTTTGTGGGGTCTCCTGGATCCGATACGCACCTTATTATATTTCATTCTATGAATACTTTGTTGTGTCAAGACTCGCTTGAACTTACCATGAGCTATTAGAAGAATTCCGGCTACCAATCACCTGTCAGTATACCAACTAGAGGTCTAGTAATTACTAAGTTCAGTAGGTTGCTCTCCAAGAGAACGCATTTGTGTCGGATGTATCGCCAGTCTATTGATGTATGGATGTTCTTGAGTTCATCTCCGGTATTCCCGCCCAGGATTCTCCGGTATTCGCGGAGAACTTAATTTTAGAGGGCTAAGATTGCATGCCTAGCGAGCATTCCTCCGGTATTTGCGGTATTGCCTCGAGTGCACAGTTCCGATAAACCCTATTGAACTGAATCCACCCTGGTTGTAGGCAGGGTCTGAAAAGTATATAAGCATCACTTTCTCTCTCAATTGATCCACATTATCTAAACAAACTAAATTAATCTACTCAACCATGTCGTCTACCTTAACCGAACAACAAAAAACTGGCTTCCAGGAACTGGCAGCTTTCTTTGCTAAGGGTTTAAGAACCCCAATTTTACGCCGCCCAGATGAGTATGGGTTAAAATTTGAAGATGTGTTTTTCCCTTCTTATGACGGGGTTCGTCTCGAGGGATGGTTCATTCCTGCTAAGTCGAACAAGTTGGTAATTTGCAACCACTTTATGCCAGGTAATCGTTACGGATACGCTGGCCACTTGAAGCCCTACAACAGTTTTGGAGGTTTCGAGGTCAATTTCCTACCTCAATACAAGGCCTTGCATGATGCAGGCTACAATGTGTTGTGTTACGATTTAAGAAATCACGGTCTCAGTGCTGACGGAAACGGCCGCACTGTTGGTATCGGAATTTTGGAATACAGAGATGTTATCGGATCATTGATCTATGCCAATTCTCGAGAAGATACCAAAAATATGGAAAAGTCGTTGTTGAGTATTTGTTTGGGAGCCAACTCCACTATTGTGGCAATGCACAAGCATCCGGAATTTTTCGAGGAAATCAGGTCTATGATTGCCGTCCAACCGATTTCAACCAGAGCATTTGTTCAGAAGGCCGCAGAAACAGCCAATGTCTCCAAGAATGAGGCTGTAGAGGTGTTTGAAGAAACCCTCTTGGAGACCTCTGGCTTCAAAGTTGATGAACTCTCCCCTCTAGAATATGCGAAATCGGTTAAAGTTCCTACCAAGGTTTTCCAGGTCCGCAATGACCCACTAACTGAGATTTCGGACACTCAAGAAATTTTTAGCAGGTTCAGCAGCAAGGAGAAGGAGTTTTACTTCATTGAGGGTGCTGACCAAAGGTTTCAGGGTTACAACTTCTTGTCAGAAAACCCACAACACATGCTCGAATGGTTCGATAAATATGCCTAAGGACTTTTGTAAATTCTAAATAATGTAGCTGAAGTGAAGTATAACATGAGAATAGAGTAGTAAAAGATGTTTTTTAGACAGTTCTTACCCCATGGGCATTAAAATATGGGCCAGAATAGCGATAAGTACAATACCCCTTAGCCTAATGGCACAGTTGCGGCTAACAGAAAATTTATAAATACGATGGGGCATCATATTTCTGCACGCTGACATGAATTGGTCCTAGTCTCTATGTTTTGAAAAGTTCTTGTTATAATTTGCTCATAATAATTAGTCAGAGTTCATGAGTTATTTATCTAACTTATAAGTTTAGGATATTTTCTATCCAAATTAACAATTTCTTGGGCAATACAGTCTTTTCAGAAAACTAAGAGGATATGAACTGGATTCGCTATATGAAGTATTTCACAAGGAAGTCAAAATACTCTGATTTCATATCTCAAAGTTCATGATTGGGTCCAAGTCAAAGTTCAAGTCGTTCAAAAACTGTTCAAAATCATAATTTAATTCATGGGCTTGCTTTTCATCACTCCAGTAATTTTCCATTCTATTTAGGGTTCTGGGTGCTAAGCTCAGGTTATCCAAGTCCGTGTCCTCAAAAGCAGGCCGATAGTTCTTTCTGAAATAGTCTAAGACGATCTTCAATGTGTAGCACAACCGATAGCAGTGGAAAAACTTCACTGATAACTTTTTTGTTAACTGATACAACTCTTCAAATTTTTGTAGAATTTTTTCAAGTGTTCTTGCTTCGTCCCCTTTAACAATGAACCAATTTACCACCTTATTCTCTTCCGATTTGTTGAAATTTTTACATACATGGATGATAGATAACTCACCTTTTAAAGCCTGATTAAGTACTCCACTCAACGCAACAATTACTGTTCTTACTGGAGTCCACATCTTTGGAGCAATTAGATTTTCAAAGCTTGGAGAAATAATAGATCCTGGATTTTCAGCAAATGTAAAACTCTCCTTGAAAATTATAAATCCTAGCTCCACAGCCTGACACAAATATTTGAACCTTAAATCATGATCGATTGTAATATACACCATGAAATTGAGAACAAACAAGTTCTCCAACACACTCATTTGTAGCATATAGTTTTGAGCTAAATGAGGATCCCTTATAGCACCTTGAGAAATACGCTGTTTTTGTGAATAAGACTGGATAGCAACAAGGATGCGATGAAAATCTAGGATCAACTTGTCAATCTCAAAAGTTTCCACTCCTCTCTCTCGATTTCGTAGCAATATTCCCGTTTTTCTCAAGATATTAGTGCATTCCATCATGGTCTCAAAGCTATGTCTTAATTTATAATCTGAATTTGAGAGCCAAAAAATGTCACTTTGTAGTTCATCGAATGGAGATTTAGTTTTAATCTCCTCATCCTGTACTAATAAGGACATACCCAGGCTGAAGGCTCGGGAAGAATCAAAATGTAATAATATCGCCCACGTCTTTCTCCATAGTTGAATATCATCATTTGAATATGTTATCTGGTCTAGGTTTGTTGGATCAATATTTAGTGATAGATTTCTGCTCATTTCAATTGTAGTAGAAAGTAACACAGGGATATCAACCTTTGAGTCGTCATCTTCTGGACAATATATTCGATACATCAATAACAAAAGTAATGCCTGGAAATTCCTAAATGTAAGCCGCTGGATAATTTCGGGAGTTATCAATAGCTGTTTGGCATATTCAACGAATGTTGAGGGAATGTTAGTACCGGAGGAAATTATTTGATGGACCATATCGTATTCTTGCCCAAATAATGCTTTATCATAGTATGACTGAAATGGCACAGTCAAAAATGCAAAGCGGAGTATGATCAATAAAATGGCAACAAAGAACCTTTTGTCACGTATATCACTGGCATCCAAGCTGCTTTTTGACCTGAAGATTGCACTTATTTCATTCATAAAATTCTTTTCATCCACAAATGGAACGAATGGATAACATACTTCAAAGAACCTGTAGACTAAAAGCTTGATAATTGGTAGGGAAGGTAAAATAGGAGGTTCCACTTGTATCCCTTGTTTCCTAATGGAGTTCAGTAAGGGAATCTCCAATTCGTTGTCTGGTAAAGAAAGCTGATTTTCTAAAGATATCTTTGTATTGTTGAACTTGGAGGCTTGGCTTTGTAAGTAGTCGTTGAATACCACCACGGAAGCGGAATTATTCAAGAGGAGAAACATGTAAGAAGTTGGGCCGAATTGAAGAATCTTTGAATCCTTTACTGTAGTATACTTTAAATCCGCATCAAAGTGAATTTTGGCCGATAGTGACTGTACCACTCCTCCGTCTGTAGACGAAGCTGGCGTGATAAGAGGTCCCAGTGACTCTAGTTTCAGTATTGTTGAGTCCTTTTCACGAATAGTAGCTTCCAAAGAAAGTACAGTCAACTTCAACCTTTCTAGCTCGCTCTTTTCAGATTTGTTAAGTAACTGAGCTCCCGGGGGAATCTTGGTCCATGGTTGGGTCTCGTAATGGCATAGATGTGTAACCTGGTTAGAAACACAGTGGCCACAGTGAGGCTTTTGCTTGTCACATTTGATTTTCCGCTTTCGGCATATGGTGCACGAGTAGGGAATCTTGGCCCGGGTCTTCCTGGGACCTGGTTTGGTCACCGATGGCAATGACATGGCGTTGTAGCAGCCAAATAACTGCAAATATTGGTGGGGCTCACCTCCGGTATTCCCGTCGTGCTTTACGTAAGCAATCACGGAAGGATTACCTAATTATCTGGCTTACCCGACCACAAAGCCATCGAGAGGACTGCTCCAATAGATAGGAGTACAGATACAAGTAGCCTTATAGAAAACGTAATTACAATACAGCAGTATACATTTGCCCCTTCAATAATGTAAGAAATAGCAATTCATCCTCTGTCTCTTGCTGATATATGTCAGAAAGATACTGAGTGAAAAAATGGTACAAAAGACTTTTTTTTGAGACACATATGTACTTTTATCACTCAGCAATTAATTTCTGTGTCTAATTGGTGCAATATACAGTTAGCAATTGCTCATTCGATTTTTCACCTGATTTATAATTCATTTTCAACATTAAATTGCTTGATGGCATAATTGCACTCCTTTAAAAACCAGAACAAAATATCGTGAACTCTTTCGAAGTATTGTCGAGGAATTCAGAAAATTGTCCCATACCTACACGAGTCTAAAGGATATATATTAAGCACTGAAAATGAAAATGCTGTTGAGATTGCAAAATTGTACCATTTCACAGCTCTCTAAAAATTAATCAACCTCATGGTTGCGTATCCAACGGATACAATAATGGCATATGCAATAATCGAACTAGGAACACCTCTAGTAATGAAGGTGCCAACGGTCAAGTATGGTTTGCCGAACTCATCGGTCATGCAAATAGCGGTGACATTTGGAAATCCAGAGGTAGGCAAACCCATGGCTGCAGAACAGAGCAATGCACTGGCCATGATCAACAAGCGTGGATGAGGGTCAGGCATGTGGTTACCAATTTCAGCCACCAAGGGGATAATGATAAGAGCAGCAACGGTGTGCGAGACAAAGGTGGCCATGATCAAGATCAAAAGACCAAATGTAAGTGTAACTCCAAACAAGGAAAAGTCTTCAACTTGCTCTTGGATAGTGGTGGCTATGGTAGCTAATAAGCCCAGCAGAGCAACTGCTTTGCCCAAGGCTGTACCCCCCATAGCCAAAACGACGATGTTCCATGGATAATTGTTGAAATCCTCAGTTGTCAATAAACCCGGTCCAAAGAAGAGAATCACAGGAATTAATGCAATGATACCCATTTCACCAAATATACCCAGTAATCTGGATGCAATACACCATAAGAAAATAGTACCCCCAGAAACACCGACAATATACCACTGGATGCCAGAAAATTTATCGTCAATGGTACGGATTGCAACAAGCTGGGTGTTCAGGGTATTGAAGGTTAACAACAAAAAGCCCCAGATCAAGACTAACAGCAAAATGCACACAGGAATGGCAATCACAAACCATTGGCCCCATGATGGTTGGGGATCCATTGCGCCGATAGCGATCATGTTTTGAGGCAGCGCGATGGGCGAGGCCATACCTCCTATATTGGATGCTAATGCGATACCCAAAATAAGAGCATTGATGAAACGAGATCCCTTTGGCAAGGTACGCAACAATGGTTGGATGATAGAGAAACAAAGGACAGGTGCGGCGACGTTGGAGACCCACATCGATGCAAACAACGCAACGGACATGACGGTAAGAAGGACCACCAGTGGGTTCGTTCCAGCTTTCGACAAGATCCAGGTAGAAATTAACTTTGCGATGTGGTACTTCGACAACGCAGCAGCCAAGGTGAAACCACCCAACAACAAAAGAATAACCGAGTTCCACATGGTTGACAAGATGAATTTGGAGCTGTCTTCAGCATTCATGAGGGTGCCGTCTGGATTTTTAACGACTCCAAGAACAACGATAAGTAATGGAATGAGCAATGAGGTGACGAACAATGGAATCGTTTCTGTAGCCCACAATAACGATGCACAGATCACCAAAGCAAAGCAGTGGTTTTGGGCCTCGTCTTCGAACGGAGAGAACAGTAACAATAATAAAGTCACTGTGAAAATCAGAATTAACTTCAAAATGGCCGGGTTTCTCAACGAGAGGTTGAAAGTTGACTTTAGTTTGCCATCACCCGATTTACGATCGCCTTTATCACCCGAGAGACGATCTCCCCCACTCATTAACTTGGAGTTAGCAGCGTAGGTCTTACGCTCCAAACCAATCATATCTCTCCAAACAGTGTTTCTTTCCCAGACCACATGTTCTCTCAAATGAATGGATAATTCAGCCTTGGCAGTCTCCAAATCTTGTCCGTGGTTACAGATCAAAGCATACAACTTGATAAGTGAATCAATATGATCTTTCAAGGTAGCCATGGTGCCTTCACGGAAGATATAGGTCTCAAGGGGCAATTTGTTCAAGTAGTCGTCCTTCAAGTTGGTGTTTAAAGACTTGTCGAATTTCTTCAACGCCTTCTTAAAACCAGTTTGATTCAACTCGATGTACGACTTTAACTCGGAAAGGGTGGTAAATAATCCAATGACTCTTTTTCTCAAAATCACTCTATTTTCCGACAAGAGTACCAACTGTGGAGGAAGAGTATTGCCATCGGAAGCGTTGTTCAACGAGTTCCACAAACGAGGAGATTTGGGGGACTTGAGGTAGGTGTCTATTGACTTGCTGTTGGCCAATTCCAAGCTCTTGCTTCTGCCACGAGCAGCCTGGTCATACTCTGCACCAGGCTCGCCGTGGTATGGCTCCTCTTCATCGTCGTCATCGTTGTCAAAGTCTTCTGCTTGAGTGTCGAAGTCGGTGGTGTTGGAGACGTATCCACCGGCACTGTGGCTAGTCTCGTTTGCGTCCAACGTGAACAGATTAATTTCTGAGTCTTTTCTTCCCGAAAGGTACGACGAGCCACCCAACTCCTTCTCAAAGTTTTCTATGTCTATTATCAAGTCATCCATAGTCTGGTACACGTAGGCTTCCTGGGTCTGGTAGAACTCGTCAATTTTCTTCAACTCGGCATCCAACGCAGCAAGGAATACCATCGATGTGGATGCACCCGATGAGCTGCCCTGCGAGATCGACGAGTACTCGTTGGAGATAAGATGGGCAGCTTCCATGTCCTCATCATCGGTTCTGCGGTCTTTCAGCTGCTGCCTCAAGTTTTCCCGCTGAAGCGAGTAGATTAACTTCTTGAGCGTGGTATATGCGATGTACTTGGAGGTCCATTCGGGGACGGCGTTGAACTGCAACGAATGGGAGAACTTCATTGTGGTTGTGAGATTATTTGGAACGGATGGGTATGATTCGGGAGATTTCTTAGCTGACGCGGAGGCAAAGGGCGTACGGCTTTATGAGGGCACCCGTGGAATGTCGAGCTGTTCAACTAGCACCAAACTGAGCGAAGACCAACGAACTTTAATTAGGTCGTAGCACTTGTCTAAAAAGGATGTTCGGACAATGTAGAGAAGGATTTTGGCTGAGGCGGGACACGACCACACGCCTTATCGCGTGGGCACGTGCGGAGTATCAGGTGATGGGAACTACGGATGAGATAACGTACACATAATAGACACATACTGACATGTATGCAATCGGGTGACGTATTGCACTATCGGGGCAAAAATCCATATTTCACTGGGCAACGCACCTATACGAAATATTTCGCTGGGGCAACACTCAATCTCGGTCAACTGGTCAAATGGTTGTAAGCAATACTGCACGGTAATATTGCAATCTTTCACTGGGTCCCATACAATCTCGGGTTAATATTTGTGTAAATAATTCACTAGGATCAAAATCGATGGTGGTGCTTCACTAGGCAATTTCCATAATAATACTAGGATAACTAACAGTAATACTATTTTGGGGTACCCATGTACGCAATACATCACTGGGAATAATCCACAGTGCACTTCACTGGGCATAATCCACAGTGCACTTTACTCATTATACACATCACATAAGCAACCTTGTTACCTCCTCTGTCCGCATTCCAGCCTGCCGTGATATTCCAATTACGGCAACTTTTCAGCCCATTACAATTATATGAAAATACAATAATTGAGCACCACTTATTCACACGACCCGTCCCATCCGACCCGTCAGCCGCATAGTCACCTGTCAGCAAGTCCTCTGTCCGCCAGTCACCGTACGTCGCCTATCCAACTGCACCATCTGATGTTTCAGAGTGGTGGGCTGTGACAGCCGGAACTCACCCCGCGACTTCCGGGGTCGTGACACACCCAAGCAACAATAGCTGGGGAACACTGGCCACTTCTTCTTCGTCTCCACAAGTCGCCAAGCACTACCACCACACCCACCATGGACTTCTGCTTCTTTCTCATTGGATGTATGTATTGCTGGTGGAGAGCAATCGCAGCGTGACCTCGACCAGCCAGCGTGGAGTCCGCCAATTGGCCAGCCAGGCTCAGCGCCACGTCACCAGGCCCTACTAACCACCACAGTCAAGGAGTTCAACAAACAGTTGCCGGAAGTCGGCCACATCGCCTGCTACTGTGGCCACTGCCACAACCAGGCAGCCTACGCGTTCCGCACCATCAACTGTGTCACCTTGTTCTTCATTCCCGTGCTTCCGTTCTACTTCTCCAAGAGGATAAAGTGTCTGATCTGTGGCACGTCAGGCGACATCGACCATAATGTGCTTGAGCGCATGAAGGCCGGCCAGCCAGTGGCCATAGGCTAGCCCCGCAGGGGCTGACAGTTGCCTGGTGGCAGCACCAAAACAACGGCTGACGCCGTCCTGCAGGTATGTCGATAATACATCCCGTTCTTTCCGCAACCGTTGATCACCCGATTCAGCCGTACCATATGTCACAGTAGCCGTAGCCAGGATGACCCAATAGGCACCATGCACCCCCACGCCTTACCGCCATTCTCCTGCTGGGGTGGGGCGATCCAGAACAACACCACTGCCAGTTGCCGGAGCCGGCCCTAGAGCCGAGTCCCGAGCACCGAGCCAGCTGGGTCTAGTCCTCTGCCAGTGGCCTGAGGGGTTTTTGGCCTGTGGGGATGCGGTGGCTAAAGCCTTCTATTGGAAGCCTCCTAGCCGTGTGATTTTGGGGTCACACCGAAGGTTTTTGTTAACGGGGTTGGGCCACAATTCCCTCGTCTGTGTTGCTGTGAACATGGGTCCACCTGGCGACCCGGGTCGCTCGGACGATCGATGGTGATTGTTATCCGTAATCGGTTCCGGTCATGATCGTATGTCGAATTCGGACAATTCGGGTGCTCCCAGTGTGCCAGAGCACGGGTGCGAAACTATAGGCCCTTTCGTCAAACCACCATTCTCCCCAGACTGGACTATATAAGCGGGGAGAATGGCCATCCTTCAGCATTCTCTCATCACCAAATAATTCAATATTTCTCACCATGCCCTTCACAGGAATAGTTGCTCGTAATAACGTCTTAGAAGTCAACAGGCCCAGTCCTTCTATCGATATTCACCTCACCAACCACGGTTCTGACTGGTTGTGGGCAGTGTTTGCTATTTTTGCGGTTCTTTCCATTGTCAATGCCTTCCTCTATGGTCTCACCAACGCAAAGACCAACGGGTTGAAGAAGACTCTTCTTATCTACCCACTTTTCATCAGTTCGGTCATGGCCTTTGCCTACTTCTCGTACGCTTCTAACTTGGGCTACGCCGGAGTCCCCACCGAGTTCAACCACGTAACCACTTCCCGTGGTCTTGATGTCAGACAAATCTTCTATGCCAAGTACATCGGCTGGTTCTTGAGTTGGCCATTTGTGTTGACCATCTTTGAAATCTCCACCCACACCTTGGAATACACCAACGCCTCTTCTGATTTCTTGACCAAGGCCATCACTTTGTTCCAAGGTTTGATCACCAAGTTCTTGTTCACCGAAGTATTCGTGTTGGGATTGTTAATTGGTTCCTTAATCGAATCCACCTACAAATGGGGTTTCTTCACCTTTTCTGCTATCTCCTTGTTGTTTACTATTTTCTTGATTGGAACTAACATCAGTGCCTCTTCTGGTCTCAGAAGAGTGACCAGTGTGTCCCACTTACTCATCATTTTCCAATTTGTGGTTTGGATCTTGTACCCAATCAACTGGGGTTTGTCTGAGGGTGGTAACGTCATCCAACCAGATAGTGAGGCCGTTTTCTACGGTATTTTAGACTTGATTACCTTTGCCGTGATTCCAACTGCGTTGACCTGGATCAATGTGGCTTCGGTTGATGAAGAATTCTTCTCCAAGTTGACTCACTTCAAGCTCAAGCAGGACTCCACTGACGCTGAAAAGTCTATTGGAGAAACCCCAAGACACAGTGGAGACACTGCTGTTCCTGCAAACGTCAACCAAACTGAGGCTAATACCGAGGTTACTGTTTGAGTTGGACAGTACAGCCGTCTTACTAATGATACCTCTTATATTTATATAACAAGGTTGTTTTACTGCGAATCACGAACTGCTAATTACTGAATGTCTATTTACTAATCTTACTAATGTTTAATTTACTATTGTTGTAGTCAGAATTCGCTGGTGGTTAATAACTACTATTAATGCCACTAAGGACTTCGCATTTTGCTAATTCGTTTTCGCAGCCACGGTTTTGTGTCTGGGTGCAAAAGCCGCTTTTGTGTGAATTACCAAACTTCGATACTTAAGAGTATTGATATTCGCCAAACCCCACTACTTGCGATTTATCAATTATGGTTACTGTGGGTGTTCTCAATGTTTTACCTTTATTAGTAAAAATTTTTCATTAAAAGAAGCAATTTTTTGTATAGTTTTGTTGAAAGTATTCTCACGGAAAATTGCAAAACAAAATCTTAGTGCTTGGTCACAAAGATTCAGCAGGATGAGGAACATTCTATTCGATGACGGTGAAGACGAAACCAGCACCCAGAAAGGTTATACGGCGAGTACGAAGCCGAAGCAGGTTCCCGGATGCAATATTTTATCGTTCATGGAAGAGTTTTTAAAAGTAGAGTATGGGAATGACTCCAAGCACTCCAAGCAATTCATATTCAATATCTCAGAGAATAGACTTCTTCTGGGAGCAGAAAGTGCTTTGCCGAAAGAATTCAGTGATACCGGGGATAAATTACTTTCGAATGAGCAAGCTTACTTGGAAATAGAAGAATTTTTGGGAAAGTTACAGCACGTCTCGGAAATGGGACGGTCATCTGGTACCAAAAATGAATACCTATTGCAGATTACTTCAGAAGTAGAAGACTGTTTAAAAAGTAAGTATAAGTACAACCCAAGCCCATTGTTCTATCCCTCGCGGAATGATACAAACCTCAAAAAATATAACAGGATTCAATTGATTGACAGTTTGGGTAAGATGACTAAGGATACATACTGTAATGGGGAGTATGGACCAGTAAGAAACTTAGAAAATCCTTCTTTAGCAAGTGCTCAAGTTTGTCCCGGCTCAACGAATTTGAATAGACTTCATGTCGACCATTTTGAAACGTTCACTGTTCATTTTCGTGGAGTCAAGAACAACATGTTAGAATTGGATAGAAGAGAGCGAAAGGTATTCTTGAGCCAGCTTCCTTTGAAGGACCTAGGAACATTCCAGCAAGCACTCCTGCAAAGAATGTGCCAGCTCAAACTTGGAAATGAATTTTCTTCAGTTCAGTACCAGCTTTACACGAAAATATTTGATGATGTAGGTGAAGAAAGAGATGCTAGGAATGAGGCAAGTTCTGGCCTTGAGGTTTTCAAACAGCCACTAAGAGCCATTTGTTCCAGAATCAGCTGGATTGGTAGCACATTGGCATATAATTAGAACCATGGGAAGAACAGAAGTATCGTATTCTTACAGGGGCGCGAGGGCGCCAGGAATCTGGTAGAACCCGGTACAGGTTTCACTAGTTGTAATTGAGAAAATTAGAAATAAGAAAGGATGCTAATACTTTCAAACTAGCGGCTACAAATATACCGTCAGGGATTGCCTTCATAAGATGAATAAAAATGAGAATGTGATTCTGAATGGAGATTAATACACATGTGAGTCAGAAGTAAATTTAGACCTAATTACTATCGCACTACTCTTAACCAGCTTACCTTACGTGCCCCACCACGATACTGCGTGGTTGTCACTCTGATTTTAATTATGACCGTTAGTAACCACTGAAAATCATATTATGATGCTTATTAAATAAAAAACCCCACAAATCGAGCTTCAGAATTTTAGGTCAATTCTGACCTGTTCTCTTCAGGGATAATTTCGTAAAACACTATGGGATGCACACCTCCAGACCATTTGCAAACCGTGGCTCGCGATGCTGGAACCACCTATTAACACTCACAAGATCCATGCTCTTTTCTGGTTACGCAACAGGAAGCCACAAGCCCGACTCCACAGAGCCTCAGGACCTCTACACTCTCCCACTTCTGCCTCGTGCCAGACTTATACCTTCTTCCCGCTTCCATCCGCTTCCAGCTTATCGGTTGCGATCGTGCGCGTGCTATCTTCCCCTTTTCCACCGATCTCAAAATGTGGCCACTACTAATCCACAACCAATCCCCCAATGGCACCTCCATCCAGCCTCAGACCCAGGCCCGTGTCGCAGCAGCTCATTGCTTTGGCCAAGACCCAGCAGTTCTACTGGTTCTTGGGCCACGTGTTGGCGTTCATCAACTTTGGCATCCAGGCGGTTCTGTTCATCTGGCCCTCAGCGTCGTTGAAACATTACCGATTCACGTTGTTGTCGATCTTGATCACCTACGTGATTGTGATCAAGCAGATCTACTTCAAGAGGTTGTCGCTTTCCAGCGTGTCGTTGACGCGCTTGGCCAGAGATGAGAATGTCCACTACTTCGTGTTGGCACTTACGTTCTACGTTGCCAGCTTCAAGATCGGGGTCATCGCAGGCAGCTTGTACCTGTTCATCATCTTTGCGGTGTTCCACATCTTGACCTACTTCCAGAACAACTTGTTGGCGGTGTTGGTGCCCAGCATTGCTGCTCAGCAGCAAATCAACACCCAGATCAACAACTTCACGTTGAAGTTCAACCAGCAGGCGTTGGTGCTCGCAGCCAACGCCGAGGTCATTCTCGCAGTGTTGTCAGGTTTCCAGTTGATTCCAGCGTTCCTCTTCCAGTTGTTGTGGTCCAGACAAGTGGTGTACTTTGCCACCAAGGTGGTGGTTTTCGGGGTGGTTTTGGTGTTTGTCAAGTTCAGATACGACGCCAACCCCTACACCAAGGCGGTGGTGGACCAGTTCGACGCCAGAATCAACGCCTTCGTCTTTGGACTCAATGACCAGAGACTTGTGGCCGTGTACACCAAGCTCAAACAGGATGCGCTCCGGTTCTTGGCGCCCATCAAGGTGCCCAAGGAGGAGATCAAGAAGAACTAGCGTCCAGGCGTCTACCGAGCAGCCAATGGCTCATTCTTGTGCCAGAGAGGCGTATTCGTGTATTTGTTAATTTATAGATCTGTGTTATAGCAAGCCACACCGAGCCAGTATTATTTCTTATCACTAATTAAAGCAAGACAAGCGCTTGTAGCACCTGTCAGAGACAGCTTTCTTTTAGGCCAACCACCCTAATTCATAAATCAATCTGCCTGGTACATGTAATATGTGAATTTATTTGACTTTACCTATATTAGGTAGCAAAGCTCTACTACTGCTTCTAATGAGTAAAAGATTTATCACCTAGGCTAGGAAATGAGTTCAGGGTGCACTGATGTTAATGACAAATTAATATTATTCACCAGTCCAGTAATTTTATTAGTAGCTTTGTAATTTTCTTGCTACATATAATGCAACAAAATCGTCTGTATCATTACTATCAGCATTATGTAGATTAGCTATCCTTTTTTGCCAGATGTAATAGTACATAGACATGTCGCATGGCTGTCGCGACATGAGCTGTCTCGCGACGATAGACAGCGACAAACTACCATCCCAACCTGCAAATCTCCACGATCAGGCCAAACCATCTGATATCTTCACCACTACCAGAATGGCCTCTCAAAGTACCAAGAAGTTGGCATCCACCAACACAGAGGCGTTGAAGCAGCTCCATACCTTTTCGTTGGCCGTCAACGCTGCCGTCATCCTCATTTTGTACTTGTTCAGAAGACCTGCCAACTACAAGCCGTATGTGATCTTCTCGATTCCAGCGTGGGTGTTGGAATACTCGATAGAGAGAAGCGGTCGTCCAGCATACGCTGTCGATCCAGCCAATCCTCGCAGTGCCAAATTGGTTCGTGCTGGTGACGACATCACCCGTGCTGGACTCTACGAGTACTTTTTCGACACCATCTACGTGACCTGGATCATCGACGTCTTGTTGGTGATTTTGGGCACCAACTACGTGTGGTACTTGTACGCGGTGATACCCGCATTTGCAGGCTACAAGGTGTTTGGGTTCGTTTCTCCGTTTTTGAAGAAGAGCAAGGCTCCAGCAGCTGCAGACACTAAAGAAGAACCAACAGCCTCTACCAAGAGCAAGCGTCAGACCAAGTTGGAGGCCAGAAGAGAGAAGGGTCCTGCCGTCAAGTACCGCTGAGCTGCTCAGTTAGAAGAGACTCCAACGGTGGATTTTGGCTCAACAGTGGAAACTTGCACTACTGCGCTCCAGAAAGCTCCCATCTGCTCAGGTGCCTCCCCAAAACTGTCTGCATCGTACATAGTCCAATCTACGCCGTTCCGTGCCCCCGTTCTAGCGGTGCCAAAAGTGCCTCTGGCAGGTTTAGTCGTAAGCTGTAACTCCCCCGATCACAACCTGCAAAAACACCCTATCAACAAAATTTTCAGAGCCACCACCAACCACACTTCCAACCCCACCACACAGAATGCCCAGAGTAAAGAGCCTCGATACGTTCATCGAGTCGGCATCGGCGTTGTTGGCCGCATATCCTTCATCCACCACGTTGTCGGTGACATACACCAACGTCCACAAGAAGCAGCAACAAGGCAAGGTGTCCAAAGACTCCAAGTCTAACAAGGCCACTCATTCCGTCAGCACCAAGTTGTTCGAGCCCAGCTCGGGCAAATGCATCAAATACACCACCTACAAGATAAAGGAGTTGTCCAGAATCCTCACATTCATCGGCCCCAAGGGAGTCAATGTGATAACCCAGACTAAGACCAACGAGGGGGAGGAAGAAACCGTACATAAGGTAGGATTGGCCAGCATAATGAGCAACACCAAGTTTGAGGATGTCCCAGAAGAGGAGCCTGTTAAGGAAGAGGTCAAGGAGAAGGCTCCAGTGGTGGAGCCATCTGCGTCGAAGAAGAAGAGCAAGAAGAAGAAGGGCAAGAAGTAAGCACGGCAGGGTCAAACGAAACGACAGGAGCAGTTCGAGAACACTTCTGGCCATGGCAATGCTACTGCCAGAGTCACCGTCCCTACCACCTAGAGGGATCAGGACCTACTGAGTGCTTCACATCCGCTAAGGAGACTGTGTCTCTTTGTAATATACGCATTACTATACCAATTGTAGAGACGGGAGTAGGATGATAAAAGTACAGAACAGAATATAAAATCACAACACGAACAGAAATTCGCAATTAGCAACAGGACCAAGTACTGGATACTATTAATGTACATGGCCCACAAGAAAGATGAGTCGATTCTGAATTCTCGGGGAGAATATTAAGCTGGTGGTGCTAGATGCACTGGGAGTGCAATTAAATGGAGCTCCGCTAGATTAACAGGAAGGACATTACACTGCAGGTAGGGTCACAAATGGATCTAATACTTGAACAAGCCCTTGAAGCGCGAGATCAAGTTCTCTCTCTTTCCGATTCCACTGGGGTTTCTGGGCGACTGGAGATCTTCGTTTTTGTCCTTGGGGCTCACGGGATATCCTCCCGGAGCCTTCAAGATAGCCACCACCTCGTGGGAGGTGCGAGGGATGGTGGAGTCCGAGGCGTTGGTGGCCAATTTGGGCTTGGTGAACGAGTTGTTTCTCGAGTTGATGTTGAAGTTAGCAATGGAAGTGTTGGCGGTGTTGGAGCCGTCCGGCTGCTCGGGAGCGCTGGCGTCGCGGTCTTCCACCGTGCTGGAGGGGAGCACCACCGAGTTGAACAACGAATTTGTCGGGGTGTTGAACTGGTCTTCCTCCACCACCGACGCAGGTTGGTCTCCGATGTCGTGGAAGTCGTTCTCGGAGCTGAGAAGCGAAACAGCCGCAAACGACGATGACGACGTCAGCACCTGGGTGAGACGGTCGCTCTTGCTGCTAGCGTCTGTGTTGACGGGGGTTCTCTTTGTGCCTGATACGTCCACCGACTCGTCGAAGTCCGAGAGAAGGTCCTCATCGGTAGGAAACGATTCCAGCGGTGCTCCTTCAGGGTCTGCAGGTGGAGAAGGAGCCGGGACGCTGTTTAAGGGCAAATTGGACGAGGACTGCTTTGGCGCTGGAGTCACAGGAGCCACGGGAGCATCTGGAGCCACGGGAGAATCGTGTTTGGGGGTCAGCGTGGCGTTAGGAGCAGCTGCCACAACAGGCTCAGGCACTGGATGGTGCTCAGGCACTTCTTCCAACTGGACTGCCTCCACTACGTTGTTTTCCACGCCGTCATGCCACTCGGTGGCGTAGTCGCGATTCAACACCCAGTCGCCATCCACCACAAACTTGAACACGAGCCGCTGTCTGTGGTCCAATGTGACTGTCTGTTCAAACACCGAGCCCAGCTTGTGGGCGTGCAGGGACTTGGACCAGTTGTCGAAGTTGCCAGTGATCTGGACGCTGTGTGCCTGGTGGGGCCTGGCGTTAGTACGGGAATAAGGGCGCTAAGGGTCCCAAGGGTGCAAAGGGTTCTCTGGCGGCTTCTTGGGGGTTCCTGAGTCCGCAGGGGGTCCACTACTTACCATCTAACCGTGTACGAAAACGTCATGGGGTTGGAGTGGTGGGAATATCGGGGATTAAATAGGGAGGCCTTTTGATCCGACTCACAATATTCACGATTCTGGCGTGGTAGGTGTCCGCCTTGGCGGGGTGCCAGATGTGTGCAAAATCAGGGGCTGGGGTGTCTGAAAAGTCCGATCGCGAGGTGCACCAGACATGCAGACAACGCAGGGAGGACGATGGGCTGATGGAGAGGGAGAGGCAAAAGGAGAGGCAAAAGGAGAGGCTGAGAGGCTTGTGGCGTGGGGGTTGGCGCATGGATGTACTACGTGTGTACTCCCCAGGCCCTCCACTGCCAGCTTTGGCCCGGCGTGGTGCTCCTGGCCCAGCCTCCGGGGACCCTTGCCCCGGTTGCGCGGTGCAGACAGCGCTAGATCGAGCCACATTGTCAGATAAGACCCGTCAGATACGCGCTTATCGGCACGTGACACATACCGAGTAATAGTGATATGACAGGAGAATTGCGTGGATGCATGGATTGTATGCACAATTAGTTTGCTGCTGACAGATACTGAATAGCACGAGCAGTTGCTTATATCCACTGCAGGTTTCAGTATTTTAAAACATACGTACCAATTTAGTTGGCTATGTATGGCTTCTATGTGTACTGTTAATATGAACATTTTTCTATTCAATACACCGATTTGGTGTAGGTATTTGGACCACAAGTACCTTCTAATAAATACACCGAAGTCGTAGGACTATCTGGGCAATCATTGCTTACAAAAATGTATTAGTATTAGTATTTGCTTCTATTAACTATACACTGATGCATTTGGGCCATTTATGCCTCTATTAAATATATACACTGGTTGGCATTTGAAGACGCCTCGATTGCATCAACCCGGATAGGTGATTGTGTAAACAGTCCTCCATTAATAATTGCTTTTATCGACTTTTGAGAAAATAGAATAAATATTTTCTTCATGGCTCTTCTGTGTCTCAAAATACGCCTTATCAGTTGAAGTATCTGACACGTACCCATACGCTGGCAACCGCAATGGCACGGTAGGCCACGAAACATGCAAAAAGGCCCCCGAAGTAAGCTCCCAAATTGACGTCCAACCCGTAGTTCTCAAGCACTGCCTGTCCCGTAGAAAGGGCACAATCCTGGACATCACACTGGAACTTTTGTTTGGCAAACCCGAGCTTTGCACAGATGCCCACCCCGTACTTCATAGGACTGATGTAGTTGATGGCGTCGAAAAACAGCGGCATATCCAACGACATGGTGCCGGCCATGAAAATTGCCAAAATCACGGTGTTGGTCAAGATGTTGGTGGCAACCCCCATATGGTTGAAACAACTGTTGACCAAGATACCCAAGGACTCACCACACGAGATCGATACCAAGCAGGTGGAAAACATCCCGAAGAACATGCCTGGAGTCCGGGGTAATCCAACCGCAAACACAATCAAACTGCTGAAAAACAAGCACGGCACGATCTCAGTGGGAAGTTCGTTGAGAAGGTACGAGCCACTAAATTCAAGTACCCCATAGATGCCATCCTTGTGCTCCTGGTAGAAAATGTCCCTCTCCACTGGATAAAGAGCGATGTTGTTGAGAAGACCAACGTAGTACAAGTTTAAGGCTTCCTGGACCAACCCCAACCTGTTATCGATACCATCTTTATGGTTCCTCAATGGGGCGAAAAAGAGGGCGTGGATAACAGTAAGAAACACGGTTTGCCCTGCCCTAGAAATGAGAACATCTTTGGATCTGACAGCGTTGAGAAGTTGACGTCTGGCTACAACAGGAAACGTGACGGCAAGAGGCGATTTCTTGAACACGTACTGCTGAAGTGAGATCGGGCCAGAACCAGTCTCCTTCGAAACCAATGCTTCAGTTTCGGGAGTCGAATGTCCCAGCTTTTCTCCCTCCAAATTCTTGTGCTTCCAGCACTCAATCATGTGATGGATTCTTTCTTGACTTACCTCCTGATCTTCATCTACCTTGTTAGAGATTAGGTCGAGCATGAAGTCGGCGATGTTGATGCCCTGGGGTACCAAATACCCTATGGTCTCCAAATAGGTAGACACATTCTTAGTTGGACCGTTGAAAACAACCCTACCCCCTCTTGCTAATAAAAGGACAGAGCCAAACTGGTAAAACATCTCTTGTTGCGGTTGATGGACAGTAAGCACAATGGTGGTTTTCTTAGACAAAGCGATGTCTGACAAAAGGTTCAAGATCTTCAACGCATTAGTAGAATCCAATCCAGAGGTTGGTTCATCAAGGAAAAGAATTTTGGGCTTTCCGAGAAGTTGAACAGCAATTGACACTCTTCTTTTCTCACCACCACTAATTCCCTTAACAAATTCACTTCCGACCAATGTGTCAGCACAATCAACTAAACCCATTTGCCTAATCAACTGCGACACAAGCTGGGGAATTCTGGAATGTTCATCATGCGGTAAACGCAATTTAGCCTGGAAATATAAAGTTTCTCTCACGGTCAAATTAGGAATCAACGAATTGTCATGTTGGGTGACGTATGCAGATATCTTCGAGAGTTCTTCTCTGGTGATCAGTTGGACCTTGTTGATGTAAATTCTCCCCATGGATTTATACGAAGAAGATTTGGAAAGTCTATGAGACAAGTAGTTCAATAAAGTAGTTTTACCACTACCAGAAGGTCCCATAATTACATTCACTCTATTAGCAATGAATGAAGCACTGATATTATCAAGCAAAACTTTTTCATCAACGGTTTGGCCGAAAAAGCTCTTCATGGCCACTGCTAAATTGAGACTTTCAATATTTAACGAAATATCATCGGTGGCTGGATGGTAAGCCTCAAGCGAGCTATCCACATTGCTGGAGTTGCTATCATATGAGTTGGTTTGGGAGACATTTTCCGCATCTAACTCGATAAAGTTATTTGTTTCAACATTAATATCCTTTTGTTTGGGCTTCTTGTCCAAGGATTCATTGGCCTCGTCCTCACTGGACTCTTCTGCTTCCTCTTCTCCACCAAACTTGTTTTCTTTGATCTTTCCCATAGAAATTTCGAATCTCATGAATTTAAATGCTAACGCAGTCAATATGTTGAATCCAAAGTACCAAGCAACTAATATTCCGATAGCCTGAGGAGTCCAGTCACCTGGAAAGCCCAAGACGTGTAAGTTATAGTCTCCAGAATATTCAGTGCAACGAGGATCGTCACGATCGTAGGGGCAATCTCCCATCCAGCCAGCAAATTGGTTGGCACTCAATGCTCCGAATCCATACCAGAAATAGCATAGATACTTTGTCCAACGAACATAAACAGGCATTGATGAAGCATTGACGAAGTATCCACATGCACTATTTTGCAATTGGTAAAAAGCGTTGAAGACCAATGCCGACATGGAGAAATCACTAGACACTGCAAACACAAAAAGTGAGGATGCCATCCCGACAAAATTCACCAATATGGTGATTGCTACGTAGGTACCAAAAAAGCTTAAGTCTCTTTCTCCAGAACCATTTTCTAATCTGAGACCCCACATGAAGTAGGTGATGCACGAAAAGAATAGAGCCACTGGCAAGTCTTCTAGGAGTAGCTTTCCAAGCCTTCTGGAGATAATAAACCCAGGAATACTGACATACTTCTCGCCGTACTCCCTGTAGAAGAACACACCATCGGTAGACCACAATCTTTCGAGTTCAAAGAACATTGGACAGAAACCAACCACTTCCAACATGACATACAACGTGGACGTGAGGGTTCTTATTCCTGCTAGATCGGGACGGGGCTGATAGAACATCCAACCCGTGGCCAAGGCCAAAAGCACGGAGCCAAGGTTAAGTGCAACAAGAGAGGCCGTGTCTCTATAGCTCAACACGAACGTTCTCTTTGTAAGCACGGTTAGTTCTCTGAAGAACGAAATACGTTCCTTTTTATCTCTGTCGAATAGCCTGAGGTTGTCGCGGAACTTCTGCTGCTGTTCCTTGTGGGATAAATGCAATGGCTGGTAGTTTGTGTGGGACTTCCAGTGCTGGACCAAGCGGTTGATACGGTCCAAGGTCATCTGCTCGTGGAGTTTCGACGAAGTATCTTTGATGGAGAGCTCTATGATGTACTCGATGAATGAAGCAGGTGACTGTTTCGAGTTGGAGGATGCTAAGAATTTGAGCTCTTTGAAGTAGGCGTTGGTATCTGCCAAGTTGCCATAGTAGACGAGTCTTCCACCACGAGTCAAAAGGCAGAACTTGTCGAAAAGGGCAGATATTTCTGGTCTTGGTTGATGGATCGATAACACCACGGTGATACCGTACTCTGGAGACGCCAACTTCTTCAACACCCGCACTAACTTCAAGGACGACGAGGTGTCGAGGCCTGTGGTGGGCTCGTCCAAGAATAAGATCGAAGGCTTGGACAAGAGCTGGATGGCCATGGACACTCTGCGCTGTTCTCCGCCAGAGAGGGTGGTTGAGTGGGTGGAAAACGAGCAGATGCGCTCGTTACGGATAGCTGTGAGCTCCAATACCTCCAAGAGGGACTCGATCAACGTCGATTTCTCGTGGGAGGTGGTTGATGCGGGAAGCCGCAAGTCTGCCTGGGTCTGGAGCGTTTCGTGCACGGTGAGGCCCGGGAGAAACACATCGGTTTGAAGAAGGTAGGCACTCTTGATGGTTGCAGAGCCTCCGTCACGGAGATACTCCACCAGGCCCTGGAAATTCAACTTCTTGTTGGTGACATTTACCCGCTGTGACAACATATTGAGCAAAGTGGTCTTTCCGGAGCCAGAACCGCCCATGATGGCCAAAATATGGCCTGACGGAAGGTCGAACGACACGTCGTCGAGGATATTGTGGGACGAAGCGGTGTCTTGAGACTCTTTTTGAGACTCACTCTGGGGGTCTTTCGGGGCCATTTTGGCGGCTGGACCCACACCCACAGTGAGATTGCGCACCGAGAGCCCGACACGGTCGTCGGGAGCGATTCGCAAGATGGAGGTGTCTATCATAGAGCCGGGAAGGGAGCGTAGCGCATGAATAGGTGGTGGTAGCAGAGGGTGCCTTATATGAGATGGTGTAGATTCTGAGTGCAGGTACGAGAGCGCAAGTTACCCAAACAGGGTGCGGAAAAAGCGATTGGGGCTGACAGTTTGGTGAGGATGATGGACGTGGGGCAAATGGGGCTTCGCTGGAGGTGGGGTGGGCCAGAGGCGTAACTCGGCTACCACAGCATGCGGAGATTGCCGTGCCAGAGTAGGGTAGTACGGATGTTCCTGCCAGGCAGGCTCCGGAGTTGTCCCCCCTCCTCTTGCATGCAGGCGCGCTCACCAACCGTTTCAACGTCACCGCCTTCGGCGGGCCTACGGCGGATGTGTGCAGTTTTCATTCCCAACAAGGCATCTATCGCCGTAACTGCTAAGGTTTGGTTTATCGCCGGATATGCAACCAGTGGGCCCACGGTCGTAACCGCTCCACCACGAGCCAGGCAGTGTGTCGCCTCAAATCTGGTTTGAGCGTGGAAATGTGCGCATCTAGAGCAGTAATATATTCCTCGCGGGTGGTTTTGGCAACATGCGCATCCGATCGGGAAGTATACGCAGGGGAACCAAATTTGCACCCATTGCCAGGTTGGGGCAACAAATTCCGTGTTGGGGCGTAGGGTAGGACCCGTCGCCTATTGTGCGTGGTAGCATGCTAGGCTGGTTGCATTGCGTGAAACGGATATTCATTGCTAGGTAGACAACATCGCGACAGTATTTCTCGTAGTAAATAGAGTGTTCGGAAGTAATTGTCGACATGTCTATCATTCACTCGTGAAGGGGCATTACATCACCTCCACAATGGCAGAAATTGATCTATAGCTGTGAAGGGAAATTTATTCGAGCTTAAATTCACCATTGATCATCCCTACTACCAAATGGGAGATACGTATGCTGTAACTAGGCACTCTAAAGGGTAGATGTGATTGTAGGCAATAGCACTTAATAGACACTTACCAGCGCATGTTGGGTATGATTTCCTATTTTAGTCGCCATTCCGTGTAATTAGCCTTTGACATGCTCGTGTAATACACCCTGTATTCGTATAATCATCTTATAGTATTCGTGTAACGCTTCATAGTACTCTATCGGTGTTTTATTATACTCTTACCCTATTCTATTAGTGTATATTAGGCGTAGAATATTTCCCGTAATCTAATGTTATGTTTCATATGCATTTTTTCATATTGATTTTTCTGTCAAATTTTCACGGTTACGTTCCAGACCACCGGATTGGATCAACTATGGCGTTGTGAGTTTCTCGGAATTTACCAAAAGATTGGCTAACGTTTCAAGAGCCTAGCAATTTTGTCGACCATCGAGACTCTGACCCACACACTAAGAACTGCCACCACTCTGTAGAGAATCAAGCAGGCAAATAATCCTGCGAAGGAACCTCCAAGGTTCACATCCAAGCCATAGTTCGACAACACTTCCTCTCCCGAGCCCAAGGCACACTCGTCTAACCCACAGGAGAAATTTTGGCCAGCAAAACCGAGCTTTGCACAAATTCCAACTCCATATTTCAAAGGACTGATATAATTGATGCCCTTGAATAAAGCTGGCATATGAATGGACATGGTTCCGGCCATGAAAATGGCAACAATGATGGCATTGGTCAAAATGTTGGCAGCAATTCCCACATGGTTGAAACAACTGTTCACCATGATTCCCATTGACTCACCACAGGAAATACAGACAAATGCCGTGGAAAACATTCCGAAAAACATACCTGGGGTCCGGGGCAACCCTATGGCGAAAACATTCAATGCACTGTAAATCAAACTAGGAACAATTTCGGTGGGCAACTCGTTGAACAAGTATGAACCACTAAACTCAAACACTCCGTAAATTCCATCTTTGTATTCTTGGTAGAAAATGTCCCTTTCGATTGGATAAAGAGTAATATTGTTCACCAAACCCACAAAATAAAGCAATAGGGTTTCTTGGATCAAACCCAAGCGGTTGTCTATTCCTTCCTTCTTGTTGGTCAAGGGAGTGAAGAACAAAGTGTTAGCAACACTGAGGAAAAGAGTCTGGCCTGCTCTAGAAAAAATCACATCCTTGGATCTTACAAGGTTCAACATCTGGCGTCTGATGATGGTGGGAAGAGTTATACTGAGAGGCATTCTTTGGAACGCATATTCCTGGATATCAATGACTGATCCATTTCCAGTACTCATTTCAACCGAGTTTTCTCTTCGAGTTTTCCATTCGCCAACAAGATGGCCGACTCTGGCTTGAGTGACAGCATTTTCCTCGTCGAGTCTATTGGAAATCAAATCCAAAAAGTAGTCAGCGATATTGATATTATTTGGAACCTCATATCCAATTTCCTTCAAGTACCCAGGAACTCTTTTGGTGTCGCCGTTGTACACCACATTACCGCCCCTGGCCAATTGAAGCAATGACCCAAAGCTGTAAAACAGCTCTTGGTGAGGCTGGTGGATAGTTAAGATAATTGTAGTCTTGTTGGTTCTAGCCAAATTAGATAAAAGACTCAAAATCTTCACCGAATTGATGGAATCAAGACCGGAGGTTGGCTCGTCGAGAAAGAGAATCTTGGGCTTACTGAGTAATTGAATAGCAATGGAAACTCTTCTTTTCTCACCTCCACTAATTCCCTTGATAAACTCACATCCGATAAGCGTGTCAGCACAATCAACCAAACTCATTTGTCTAATCAAAGCAGCCACCATCTTAGGGATATTGGCATGCTCTTCGCGGGGTAAACGCAATTTTGCTTGGAAGTACAACGTTTCTCTAACCGTCAAATTTGCAATCAACGATGTATCGTGCTGCGTAACATAACCGGATATTTTTGCAAGGTCTTTGGTGTCTATTTGCTGGGTCTTGTTGAGGAGAATTGCCCCACTGTTGTTGAATGTAGAAGATCCTGGAAGTCTATTAGACAAGAAATTAAGCAAGGTAGTTTTTCCACTTCCAGAAGGTCCCATGATAGCATTTACTCCGTTTGCCAAAAAAGTGGCACTCACGTCATTCAAAAGAGTCTTTTGTGTGCTCTTGGATCCGATTCCTCCTAGCAAAACAGTCAATGTGAGCGAAGATATGTTTATGTCGATATTAGTATTGGTGGAAGACAATTCGAGATCTGGCGAGCTAAGTTCGGTTGAAAGAATAGCCTTTGCCGATTGCTCAGTTTTGAGTACACCAGAAGCGTCTGAATCTTCGAGTTTTTCGCCAGATTCAGCTTCTTCGGGAGTTCCTTCTCCACCAACTCTATTCTTCTTGATTTTACCTATCGAGACTTCAAACTTCATGAAACGCAAGGCTAAGCCTGCTAAGACCAAAAATCCTATCCACCAACAAACCATTATGCCAATTGGCTCACCCACCCATCCATCAGGGAATCCCAACGTCTTCAAATTAAAGGCACCAGAATACTCAATGCATCTTGCATCATCATAATCATAGGGACAGTCACCCATCCACCCAGTAAACTGATTCGCAGTCAAAGCTCCGAACCCGTACCAGAAGAAACTGAGATACTTTGTCCAACGGACATAAACAGGCATGGATGAAGCATTAACAAAGTAGCCACTGGATAAGTTCTCGAACTGATAAAAGACGTTCATCGCAAACGTCGATATCGAAAAGTCTTTCGAAACGGCAAACATCAATAATGCGGACGCCATCCCAATAAAATTGGTGAGAATGGTGATGGTCACATAGATTCCAAAATAGCTAAGGTCTCTTTCTCCTTCACTATTTTCAGTCCTGTGACCCCACATGAAGAAAGTAATGCATGAAAATAATACTGGAACAGGCAAGTCTTCCAAAAAGAGCTTTGCAAGCCGTCTAGAAATGATAAACCCGGGGACACTGACGTATTTCTCGCCATACTCCCGATAGAAGAATATTCCGTCAGTTGCCCATAAACGTTCCATTTCATAAAACAAGGGACTGAACCCTACCACTTCCAACATTACGTATAATGTGGAGTTGAGTGATCTGACTCCTGCCAAATCGTGCTTAGGCTTATAGAACATCCATCCAAGGATTACTGCCAACATGGCAGCACCAAGGTTAAGCACCAAAAGCGAGTATGTGTCTCTGTAAGTAAGCTTAAATGTTCTCTTTGTAAGTACCTTGACCTCCGTGAAAAATGAAATACGGTCCTCCTTTGGACGGTCAAATAACGCTAATGTCTTCTGGAACCTTTTCTTTGTTTCTTTGGTAGTTAATGCTGTGGGCTGGTGGTTGGTTTGGATTTTCCATTGTTCAACCAACCGATTAATTCTATCATTGGAAGACTTCTCTTGTTCAGCTGATGACGTGTCTTTGATAGATAACTCTAGAATGTACTCGATAAAGGAAGATGGAGATTTGATATCTGAGCAGAAAGTGAGAAACTTCAAGCTATTGAAATATTTTCCTGTGTCCACCAAGTTCCCGTAGTAGACAAGTCTTCCACCACGAGTCAAGAGACAGAACTTATCAAAAAGCATGGTGATCTCGGGCCTTGGTTGGTGGATGGAAAGCACCACGGTTATGCCGTACTCAGGAGAAGCCAACTTTTTCAACACCTTTAACAACTTCAAGGAGGAAGAGGTATCAAGTCCCGTGGTGGGCTCATCCAAGAACAATACCGAAGGCTTGGACAACAATTGAATAGCCATCGAGACTCTTCTTTGTTCACCGCCAGAAAGGGTGCTTGTATGGGTCGAAAATGAGGAGATGACTTCGTTTCTAATGGGAGTAAGCTCCAAGACTTCCAAGAGGGACTCCACGAGCGCGAGCTTTTCGGCACTCGTCGAGTAAGGTGGTAACCTCAAATCAGCCTGTGTTTGAAGCGTCTCGAACACCGTTAATCCCGGTAAGAATATGTCTGTTTGAAGAAGATATGCACTCTTGATTTTTCTCAGCCAATCGACTTCTTCCGTTTGCCCATCTTTCTGTATGCGTGTATAGTCGATAGTTCCCTCAAAATGGAGGGCCTTGTTGGTAACGTTGACTCGTTGTGATAAGGTATTAAGTAAGGTGGTCTTTCCGCTCCCGGAACCACCCATAATCGCCATAATTTGGCCGCTTTCTAGATCGAAAGAAACGTCATCTAGAATAGCTTGTTTGGGACTAGTTGATTTTTCAATGTCCTTAGAGTTGGGAGACCCCACTCTAACTGTCAAATTTCTAACATGGATCCCTACTCTATCTTGGGGAGCCAATTTAAGAATTTGTGTATCGAGCATTGAATAGCGCAAATTAGATTTTCCGAAGTTCGATGAAGGAAAGCAAAATTGCGGGATGAAAATGCTGCAACTATACCATTTAAATAGAACCAGGGTTGGGTGCATTGCCATGCATGAAGAAGAAGGGACTTTCCCAATCAAGTAAGGAAAACCGAGATGCGTAAAAAACGGCCAAGAATTCTGAGAAAAGCGCAATATTCTTTTTTATGTGTCGGAATGAGCTTCTCCTTGAAGTATTTATTGCGGAAAACTTTCTGTGTTAGGGTCTTTTTTGCGCTTGCGATGACCCTCAGGTTGCCGGCAACATGGAACCCACTTGCTAAACGAGATGACTAATTTTAGAGCCACAGGGAACCTATTACTAAGATCACCCCTAGACCCTTGTGGTGGCGAATCACATATCATAAGCATTCACCCCCAGGGTGCACATCTTCCCAATTCCGGCGGGGAGCAATTGTACTGTCGATCGCTGATCGCAAGATCAACAACTTAGAACCAATATCTGTGAGAATTCCAGAACATTAACATCGACATGTTAGCGCACATGGTACTTGCAAATGGGCCAGAATTTTCCGAGCTTTTGACCAATTACGTCAGAACTCAAAGCGCAAATTTCCCACCCGTACCAAGCCTGTAATTCAACTGCGAAACCGGTCTTGGCCCACCTCGTAGTGTCGTTTAGAACCCTGCAACACAGCCACGCGCCTGTAATGATTTGAAGTCTTTCTTGCTCTATATTTGTGGTTTATGCTCATCCATTCCAAACAACCACAAGTCATTATTTGGGGTCTGTACATGGCTCGGATCTAGAAGGTAAAAACTTGAACCGAAGAATCACCTTCAGTACAATCTTATGACAATATATGAGATCAGTCTTTAAAGATTTTATGGAGTTGTCTTACCAGTAAAATGAACTGGCTGAGGGCCACGGGACATTTACACAACAGTCTCAGAACAATTACATCGTAAATAAGCTCGACTCTGTAGAAAACATCCTAGCTGCTCCTGTCGCAGGATCCAGTATAGGTATACTAGAGAAGCCAAATTATACTTCTTACTACAAAGCAGCTCTTCAAACGAAAATTATGAAGCACTATGCTGAGACACAGAATCATGGGTATATACTTGGAAGAGCACATCTCCGGTCAATGTCACTAATCAGACCGGAATCAAGCTAGGGAGAGAACCAAAAATTTAAGACAACGATTACTTTCGAGCCCGGGTTACTCAGACTCCAACTACTAATTGTTCAATCGAGCTACAAATTCGAGGCCAGGCCCACAGGCCCAACACTCAATCCAAATTGCGGCCACCAGAGTCTAATTACTCATTCTCGTTCCGACACCAACACTGTTATTATCGAAACTCCTGTTCCTCAAACCACTGTTTCCAGCGGATGGACTGGCTCATTCACTACAACCATGACTAGAACTTGCCTCTCTACGAATCTCAATAGCTAAATAGAGCTATTTTTGACTAGATGCGATATGTAAGCAGGGATCAAATTAGTCCACTGAGAATGAACATACATGTTCAGACTAGTATATCACCATGAAGAATAACTAAGAATAATTCCGCCCACTGACAATGTCGCGCCGCGCTCGGCACCGCTTCCACGCGTCCGCACCGAATCGGATTACGTAATCCGTTACGTAACCGGCCACGCGTAGTTAACACCCTGTTGCTAATACTTTTCACAACATCTTTCACCTCCATCACAGGCCCCCATTCGCCATGCCCAAAGCAAAGAGTCCAAGCACCGCCGCTCGGGCCGCTGCTATTTCCGCCAACAAGCCTGCGTCTGTGTTCTCCGTGGATCCCGTGGTGCCTCCTGTCTACTCCCAGGGCCCAGTCCGGTCGTTCCTTGTGTCGACTCCTACTCCTGCTGTCATCAAAAAACGTCTGATTGTGGACGTCAAGGAGCTCTACCTTCTCGCCGTGCTCTTGGTGGTCTCGCTTGCCGTGCGTTTCTACAACCTCAGTGGTCCCAACCTGGTGGTTTTCGATGAGGTCCACTTTGGTGGTTTTGCCAGAAAGTACATCTTGGGTAAGTTCTTCATGGACGTGCACCCTCCATTGGCCAAGATGCTCTTTGCAGCTGTGGGCTCGCTCGGAGGTTTTGACGGCGAGTTTGAGTTCAAGAACATTGGCGACGTGTTCCCTCAATCCGTTCCCTACGTGCTCATGAGACAGTTCCCAGCCGTGTTGGGTATTGGAACCGTGATCTTGTGTTACTTGACGTTGAGATCCTCGGGTGTCAGACCCATTGTGTCCTTCATCACCACCCTCTTGTTCATTGTCGAAAACTCCAACGTCACCATTTCCAGATACATTTTGCTCGACTCGCCATTGGTGTTCTTCATCGCAGCATCCGTGTATGCCTGGAAGAAGTTCGAGATCCAGATCCCATTCACCGGTCCATGGTTCGCCTCCTTGGTCGCTACTGGAATTGCTCTCGGCTTGGCCGTGCTGTCCAAGTGGGTCGGTTTGTTCACCATCGCCTGGGTGGGCATTTTGTGCGTGTACCAGTTGTGGTTCATCATTGGTGACTTGACAGTGCTGTCCAAGAAGGTGGTGGGCCACTTCTTCGCCCGTGGCCTCATCTTGTTAGGGGTTCCTGCCTTCTTGTACTTGTTTTTCTTCGCCATCCACTTCCAGGTCTTGAACCAAGAGGGCGACGGCTCGGCCTTCATGTCCTCCGCATTCAGAGCTGGCTTGCAGGGCAACTCCATTCCCACCAACATCAACTCCCGTGTCGGTTTGGGCTCGGTGGTCACCCTCCGTCACGTTGACACTCTTGGTGGATACTTGCACTCCCACGCCCATTTCTACCCTACTGGCTCCAAGCAGCAACAGATCACGTTGTACCCTCACTTGGACAGCAACAACGACTGGAAGATTGAGCCTTACAACGAGTCTATTCCTGAGAAGTTTGTGCCTTTAACTGACGGTGTCAAGATCAGATTGGTCCACGTCAACTCCGGCAGAAGATTGCACTCCCACGACGAAAAGCCACCTGTCAGTGAGCGTGACTGGCAGAAGGAAGCTTCCTGTTACGGTTATGAGGGATTTGAAGGCGATGCTAACGACGATTTCATCGTGGAAATCGTGGACTACAGATCGGAAGCTGGCGATGCCCAGAACAACGTGTTGGCCTTGAAGACCATCTTCAGATTGAAGCACGCTATGTCAGGCAACTACTTGTTCTCCAGCGAGGTCAAGTTGCCAGAATGGGGTTTCCAACAGCAAGAAGTCACCACTGCTTCGCAAGGATTGAGAGGCTTGACCCACTGGTACATCGAAACCAACCACAACGACTTGCTTGCTGACGAGGAAAAGGAGTACATCAACTACCCTAAGTTATCGTTGTGGCAGAAGGTTGCTGAATCCCACGCCAGAATGTGGAAAATCAACCAAGGCTTGACTGACCACCACAACTGGCAGTCGTCGCCATACTCGTGGCCATTATTGTTGAGAGGAATCAACTACTGGGTCCACGACAACAAGCAGGTTTACTTCCTCGGAAATGCCGTTGTTTGGTGGTCTGTGTCCGTGTCCATTGTTGTTTTCTTTATCCACACTGCCATCTCCGTATTGAAATGGCACTTGGGCCAAACCGTGGCAGAAAGCAAGGATGTCTTCAGCTTCAACCACCACGTTTTCTCCTACGCCTTGGGATGGCTCTTACACTACGCTCCCTTCTTCATCATGGGCAGACAGTTGTTTTTGCACCACTACCTTCCAGCCCTTTACTTCGGAATCTTGGTGTTGGGACACACCTTGGAAATCTTCACTGGCTACTTGGTTTCCCGCTCCAAGGTGTTGCATAAGTTGAGCTACGTCGTGGTCACCATTCTCGTGGCCTTGAGTGCTGTTTTCTACTTGCAATACTCGTCGTTGATCTATGGAGCTCCATGGACCAAGGCTCAGTGCACCAACTCCAAGGCCTTGAGCGGATGGGACTTCGACTGTAATGCCTTCCACGAGAACTTGGCTGACTACAGTGCTGTTTCCAGCTCCAGTAGTCCTGAGGCCACCGCAGTGGCTGATCTCATTGAAAGCCCAATTGAACCCAACGAGGCCAAAGAGACTCCATTTGTCAAGAACGAAGTTGCCCACGAAGAGCAAACTGTGTCCAAGGTAGAGGACGAACAAAAGGAGCAAGAAGAACCGGTTGAGGAATCGGTGGTTCCTCCATTTGAAGAAGAAGGCACTGCCAACGCTGAAGAAGTTTCTGTGGCTGATGATCAGGAAATCCCTCAATCTGATTAGTGTACATATACAGAGAATGCTACCGGTTTCATAATTTGTCGTTGCTAAACTGGCTCTATGACCTATGTGGCGACTAGCAGAAGTTAGTAAATGAGATACATGCAATAGACACCCTTTGTACAAGTAGTTGTAGATGGTTCACAGGCATAAGCCACTAATGGCTATACAATAAGTTCAATCCTATTAATTATGATATATTGGCTTAACTATATATGTGGGTGTTCTAGCCGTTTTGATGGTTCCTTTTGGAATAGACTTGCTGTTATTATGTACTGAGACTGAACGAACCCCAGTGAATGCAGTAATTGTGTGGTAGAAACTCTAGCGATCTTTTGAAGCGTGCTAAATTGATTTCAATAAAAGTAGTTCTTTCAGTAGTGAGAAGTAGATGGTACCCTAATTGGAGTTGTTCTCATCAATATTTTGAATGGTTCTGCCTCTCACATACTTTTCGTTCTTGACACTTTCGACCAACGAGTTGTATGCCGAAATTAACGCAAGAAGTAGCTTTATCCCAGCATAGACGCTGAAAATAAGCGCTTTATCATACACCAAGTATTGGTCGTACCCTGTGACTTTCAACCCAATTGCACTAATCACAGATGGGCCCCAGACACAGGCAAAATCGATCAAGAGCAGCTTTAGCCATACCTTAGTTGGCTCGCCATCGAATTCACCATCGATGTCCTGTAAAATCATCTTAATCCAAGCCACGGGGTACTTGAGATACACGAAAATTGTCCAGTAGGACACCAAAAGATGGAGTGGAGTGGTGAACCTGTTCAATTCAAACAATGAGACCGGAACGGGGTGTCCTAACTGGTGGTAGAAGCGAGCAGGAATTTCCACACAATAAAGGTGAACTCCTCCTACCCACACAGTCATCCACAAGACAAACGTGAAAACGAATTGGGCCCCTAAGTCAATTCGCAATCTATTGTTTGCCCCTAGGTTTGCAGGAAGAGCCTCATTAGGAATATTGAACTCTTGTGGAGCAGCAGCTCCCTGCTCAGCTGGAACTTCGCCAGGGGTTTGTCTTTCGTCAAGCCTCTTGTCAAATGACTCGAGCAATATCATAATGATGCGGAATCCAATACCAATTGAGTACACATCCAAGTTCCAGTCCAAGGGGAAACTGTTCTTAAAGGAAATTTCACCTTTGTAGATCTCCATAAAGTGGAAAATGATACCTAAAGCTCTGACCACAGGTCTTCCAATGACCAAAGAAATAAGGAAAACTGAAACACAAAGAATGACGGAAAATCCCCACAAGATGCCCAACAAGCCAAAGCACCTTGTTTTGAGATTAGGAGGTCTGTAGACAATAGTGTAACGGTTATCGGTGTTCACATCTTGTTCCTCATCAGATGTAGGAGTTTCATAGCCTGACTGAACGCTGGATTCCGATTGAGCAGGTGCGGTGATCAACTTATCGTCTTTTGTAACGGCAACAAATAATTTCTTGACATATTTCCTACAGACTGTATCGTTATCGGGAACTCTGACGTAAGAACCATTTGGTACAAAGCAAGCCTTGACTTCAGGGTTTTCCTCGAATATTTTGATGGCCTCTCTGTATGTGGTTGGCCTAGAATAATCCGGCTGACTGGTACCCAACAACTGGAGGAAAACATTCCTATAGACAATGTAACCTCTTTCTTGGGATACTGGTTTGCCCAATATAAAATGGGATAACCTCACTTTGTGAGCCGAGATCTCAAAGACTCGTTTCCAATATTTGTGGACATACTTTTGAAGGAGTGAGAAGTAAGAATTTATAGTTGCAGCATGGAAGGGAATTGATAATAACATGGCAAGACTAGGGCGCCAGGTGGAATCTTCGCTCAGATCCCCCATATTAAAGAGTCTCAAGCTCCAAGTGATTCCACCAATACCTGCCAAGATGAAAACCGTATAAACCTTTGCACTCAAGTATATTCTCGACATTTGTAACATCAATGGCTTCACCAATGCATCGTGAATTAATCTGGCGTTAGGATCTTCTGGCGACCTGATAAAAAATAATACCCCAGGTCTCAATATCTTGTTCCTAACCATGCCCACAAATAGAGCGATGCATAACATATAGGCGGTTCCAATGACCCAGTATCCATACAATCTAGTGTGCGAAGCTTGGGTGAACTCAGAGATGGAAGATAATAGCAATAGTATCGATTTTGAGCCATCAGATTCGCTTACAGAAAACCTGGGCAACACAACTGGAGCACCACAGAAGTCAAGTAACCATCCACAGTACATTGGGAATAACACGATCTCCAAAGCAAATATGAAGAACACCTTGAATGTGGAGGTGATCTCAAACAAGATTTTGAAGACCTTTCTCGAGCCTCCCAAAACTGGCTTCTTGCCTGCAGTTAAACTGTTCATGAGAGCATAAATTGTGTAGCCAATTATCCCATAGCCAATGGCCAATAAACTCAATCTTTCGAGGAAAGTCGTGTGGGTTGGGTTGGGCTCGATGAAGATGGACGCAATAGTCAACCACACAGGTTCGATAAAATACTGCTTTATACTCAAATAAGCAAACTCAACGGACTCGTTTTGGGCAATGAGCTCGGTAGCATATTTCTGGGCATTTGCGATGGTGGTGTTTTCAGTGAGTAAACTCTCCACACGATGCAATACTGTAAAGTATAGCGATTTAAAGACGATTCTAGAAAATGAAGCCACGGTGCTCCCGATCGTATGGGGAATAAAGTAGAAAGCAAACAAATAAACCGCTATTATCGAATCGGCCATGATTGTGCAAATGATGGGGGTTTTGATATCAAAAGCAAACCCGAATAATTCCAAAAAGTCCCCACCACCGTTTGCATTGGCTGCTGCTGCTGCCAAAGCCTCTGCTTCTTCCGCTGCAACTGCATCGTCGTCGAGTTCATCATTGTCGTTGTCGAACTCGAAATTGTTGTTGGGCAACTGGTTGGCGTTAGGTATGGGTGGACGACGATTTTCAGGGATACCTTCGTCTCGATTTGGGGCTTCCGCAACATCGTCCGTTTCGTCGGTGTCGAAGTCGAAATGGTTGATGATTCCCGGGTGTGGGTGGGGTGTTTGTGGACGACGGTTTTGAGCGGCATTTTCGCCATGATTTTGGCCACGTACGGGATCGACTGGAGCCATGTTGTCGCCAAATAGATCGCCATTTTGGGTGATTCTTCTCAACTCCTCTTCTGTGTTTTGGAATTGGTTGGGTCCACCATTGGGCCTGGCATTGGGGTCTTCGTTCTGGAGATCATCGATGGCCCTGGCCAACATCTCAAGCTGGTGCACATTTTGCGCAGCTTCTGCATTGCCGTTGTCACCGTCGTTACGGAGGGCAGTCAACGCTTGTTGCAACATGTCCAGAAGCTTCGTCCTGGGCTCTTTGCCGATACGCTTCATTAACGACTTGGTATAGCCTTCGTCGCGGACCACCCATTCGTGCTCAATGAAGAGGGCAATGTGGACGAGCAGAAACACGAAGATATGTCTAACTCCGCTGTAGTAGGTGTACTGAAAGATGTGTTCTGCGTACACGAATAGCAGGTCGGTGGGCGAGCCTGTCGTGACAGCATTTCTGTGGCTGGAGATGTCGAAACGTCCAAGAAGCAACGCGTTGAGCACTGACGGATTCTCCTGGGGTAACGTGCCGTCGATGGCCCATGTGTACACTCTACCAGCAAACTTCCAGAACATGGGCAACTGGAGGAGAAACAACACGTAAAGGGTCACTGAGATGGACTTGAGGATACCTGAGCTCACGAAGTTGGTGAACTTGGACAAGATCAACCCCACGGGGATCCGCTGGGGCATTTCAGGGTCATAGATGGTCTTGAATTTGTATTCGGTGTTGCAGATGTCACACTTGTGGGTAGACTTGTTGGAGTGCTTAAGCCACTCAAAGAGACATCCCTGGTGCACGTACTTGATGGAACCACGACAATTACACGGGTGGAATAATGGCTGGGAGTTGGTGGCTTCCCCACGACAGATCCGACAACTCTGTTCTTGATCAATCATGCTGGGCGTGGGGCGCAAGAGGGGCAATCAAACCAAGGGCAGGGTGTAGCTGATTGGCGCTGCTTGGACGGGGGGTATGGAGGGAATAAGCGCCTGGGAATAACGCCTGGTGCTGGTGTAGCAAAAGAATCAGTGATGGCTGTCATCGAGGGTTCTGGAAGGGTGGAGGTCACGTGACGGAACAGGATAATCACCGTGGATCTTTGTAACCCGACAACTACGCTCGTTACTATGCAGTAGACGTTGCTCTATACTGGGCGTGCTTCGAGAATTCAGTCCAGGTAAACAATAACCAATACTAACTTTTAAATCAGTATACCTCCAAGTCTACGATATGAGGCTTCTCGCCAATACGTACAATTTCTTAATGAAAACAGAATAATAGCGATTCAATCGAATTTATTCTCAATTTTAAAGAGCGAAATCACCTCTCTGTGGTGTAGAATTATCTCACTAGTAAATGCTACATTGGTTCGATTATTCTATTCTCAGTCTCTGTTTATTTGATAACCAGGAAATCCAGAAGTCTTACTACTGCCAGTTTATAGCAACCCTCGAGATAGTACTGAAAACCTCTTCTACAATACGCTCAAAAAGCGAAAGACCAATGGATAGAAATTATACTGGGAAACTCATGCTACATTTTCCACATTATCCTGCATCTACTCTATAGACATTCTCCATAATTTCGTAGAGCAGCTCGAGATTGCTTCTTTACCTTTTCAAAGGAATCCCTATGTTGAAATCATTCCTCAACACACTCGGGCCATCCACCTGCACAGCCAAGTGCAAGGACAAACAAGACTTTGACACTCTGGAAGTTGGTACTGTATTTCCAGAAGACTAAGGAATAGTGGTGTGATTTTTATCACCCTACCAATTGTGTTATATCGAGCAAGTTGGGGCCATTATCTTCTTTTTAGCCTGTGTAAATGGCCCCGTCTTAAAAATATCTGGTCTCCACCCACATCCTACTGAAAACATCAGGCACTTGAGATCATCGAATGGACCAGCTCACAATCACTTCTAGGCAGTGACATCACTGCCTACCCACTGAAATGGCCTAATTGCGTATGCTCACACCAATGTGCCTATTGTGTTCCATAGTGAACGGCTTCGGGTATGCCTATGTCTTGAACATCACGTTTCCGGTGACCTTTCTCTTTTTCTTCTTTGATTCCTTGGGGGCTTCCTCGTCGTCATCATCGTCTTCATCGGAATTGTCTTCCATGCCACCACCTCCAAGGCCACCACCCTCTTCGTCGAAGTTGCCTGTCTTTTCCTCGAACATCTTCTTGGCCTTTTGGATTCTGTAGTTCTGCTTGTTGATGTACTCGAATCTGGCCAATTTCAACGGGTCGTTTCTGAACGCAAACACCAAATCGTTCATTTTGACCCTGGAGCGTCCTTGGGACTTTGAGTACCCCATCACTTCGTGGCAAAGGTCCACGAGAAACTCCACCATGATGTCGTCTAGACACAGCACAGTGGCATCTGACGACACAGGACGGTCACCCAAAGCGTAAAGGAGGTATTCAATGTCCCTCAGAAAGAGCCCCTGGAACTTTTTCCTTCTTCTTGTGGTAGTAATCTGGGGAAGCATAGTCTGGTATGGATACCTCCTGAAACTTGAGTTGGCGAGGGCGCCTCCTGGGGTGTTGTAGTAGTCGCTGGTGCCACTGGAGACGGATGGTGGTGGTGCTGGAACACCGCTGGAGCCGCTAAGTCCAGATGGACCTGTGTGATGCGCGTACTGATCACTCATGATGCGGTAGAGATAGTCGCTGGCTAATAATGGATTGATGGCTTTGATGTTGTGGGCACGGACACGACCCCACCACCAGTTTTGCAGCCCTTGCAAGCTTGAACATCCATACAACAGCCTATTAAAGGGGTACCAAGGGTAGTTAGTAATAGTAATATAGGGCATAAAATAAGGATGTTCCTAGTGGCTAACGCTGTTAAAAGAGGTAAGGATGTTTTGGTTAGCGTTTTCTTATAGCTGTTAGGAGTTACTTGCATGACTTCTTAGTGAATATTGATCTAGCTGTTACGAATTTCAGCCAAAGGCTTCTAAGAAAATGATAATATAGCTGTTGCAGACTTTAGCCTTTGGCTTCTTAGTGGTTAGTTAATATTCTCATCTTTCCGTACACTGGCTCTTCTCAGCTGATCACCGACCGATGAAAAGGTGTGCTTGACCTCAGAGAGCTCTCTTTCCAACGGTTTACTCACTATTCGGTTATGCTTGACTCTCCATTTCATGGCCTGCCTGCTTGCACTACGAGTCGGTACGATACTGGCACCTCTGGCACCATCGTCTGGTTCACTATTAAGTACGTACAATCTAGTCTACAAACAATGCCCACGCCTGCCAGGCAAGGGGACGTCTATTCCACAGTTGTCTCCTCCATACTTTAGGCAAGAGGGTCTCTTCTGTGCCATTCCATGATCAAGTCGTCCTTGGGGAAAATGGTGGCAAAAACCTTGATCTTTTCGGACAACTCGGTCTTGTGATGTACCAAGTCAGCGTTCATCAAGTACTTACCCAACATGGAGGTAAACATCATCACGACGTAGTTCTTACCAAGACACTTGTGAGGGCCAGTTCCGAACACCAACCAGTTACGGTTTTCCATCTCAGTGGTGGCAGTGTCCCATCTCTCAGGAATGACGGAGTCGGGCTCTTCGTATACTTCAGGATCGTGCAAGGCAGGGTAAAGGGTGGGGACGACCATAGTTCCCTTGGGAATGGTGTAGTCGTTGGTGATTGGGAATGGCTGCTTGACCAAGTAAGGAACCATCAAAACGGGAGGACGGTAACGTAACACTTCCTTGACCACGTTTCTGGTGTAGTTCATCTTGTCAATGAGGCCCAAGGTTAATGGAACGGAAGGGTCGTTGTTTCTGACGGCCAACTGTTCAGCTCTGACCTTTTCAGCAATGTCGGGTCTGTCGGCCACGATTTGGAACAACCAACAGGCTAAAGAAGAGGAAGCATCTTGCGAGGCAAACAAAAAGGTGAAGATGGCTTCACTGATTTCCTTGTTGGAGAACTCACGAACCAAAAGTTTTTGTTCTTCCTCGGTAACCTCGGAGTCACCCAACTTGTGGGCCTTGGCTTGCTTCATCAAGAAAATCCACTCGTCAAGAACACAGGCTGGTGCACCGTCATTTTCGTTGATGTGTTTCTTGGACATTTCGGCACACTTCTCAAAGATCTTCATGGTGTCATGGGCAAGCTTCTTTCCGTACCAGGTCTTGGTGAAAGGAATAATGATTGGGAAGTTGACAAGTTCCAAGGCAGCAGTGATTCTATAATAGTTGTCAGCAATTTCAGCGATTTGCTCCTCAAGGATGTAATCACCACAGAAAGTTCTCAAAGAAAGGGCACAAAGTAATTCTCTGAATTCAGGGAAGAATTCTCTTGGGCCATCATAGTTGACAAATCTGTCGAGGTAGATGTCCATGTACTTCTCTTGGACCTTGATATAGATCTCCAAAGCCTTGGTCACGAAAAGACCATTCAAAGATCTTCTGTAGTCACTGTGGGCCTTACCATCCAAGAAAACCCAGTTAGTTGGTCTCAAGATCTTGTATGCGGCATCCACGACACATGGTCTGACATACTTTGGTGAACTCAAGATCTTTCTAGCAAGGTCTCTGGACGATGCAATAACCACAAACTTGTGGAAAATGGAAACACAAGATAAAGCACCTGAGTCCCACTTGGCGACGTACTCTTCGAACTTTGGGTCAAGAGATTCCAAGAAGGGACCAATGATAGGCCAGATCTTGAAAGCTGGGCCAGCAATAGGACCTTTACGGACTTGGTACATCACTTGATCATAGGTCAAACACAACACGATGGCTGTGATGGTCCACTGCCACCAGGTGACCTGCTGGGTGAACTCGGCGGTCTTTGCGAGGAAATCTCCGTCAATTCTTTGACGGATCTGCTCAAGCCCATGGGCTATCGGAGAGGTGGTGTTGACACTCATATTAACCCCGTAGAGTAAAAGAACAATTCCTTCTGGCTAAAAATTAGAGGAATAACAAATAATTTTATAATCACTCCACCATACAGGAAGGCCCGATTGAAAATTTTCTGAAATGGACTACAAGTGAATGGTTCGAGGAAAATAGCGCCCCACCAGAGATCTTTAATAGGGGCTAAGTTAGAGGACCTACCAATGTGGTTCCGGTCATGCCTGGCCAAGAGTTCCGGGAAGGGAGTGGCACCATAAGATGTGGTAAAGGCTATACTGGAGTATACGATCGTTTACATCACGTGCTGCTAAACGATAAGCAGAGCAAAACACATAACCTCCGCTATTTCCGTCCACGTGCAGTACAGCACGTGATAGTATGTCGCGCGACATCTTTGTCCCCACCTAAATTTTCAAGATGAGCTCCATCTCATCACTAGGCATCATGGGTAAGAGAAAGCTTAACGCCAAGGACCAGGAGAAGAAGAAGAAAGCCAAGCAAGAGCAGGACTTGGAGCTTTCCTCAGGCTTTTTCAACTCAGTCAACAAACCACTGCATCAGGACTGGGAAAACGAGGAACAAGATTATGAGTTGAAACCTCGTTCTGTAAAGTCTGTCAATGTCACCGAAGGTTTACCAATTAAGCGTTCGGATGGTAAGATAGAAAGAGTTGTTTACGAAAAGACAAAGAAGGATGAAGAACCCAAAGAGGAAGAGCCTGAAGCTAAGGAAGTCAATGAACCAGAACCCGAAGTCGAACAAGAGCAAGAAGAAGAAGACGAAGACGCCCATCTCACCCCACAAGAACGTCTCTTTAAGATTAAGGAAGAGATTGCTGATCTTGCCTCCAAATTGATGGAGGATCCAGAAGAAAATTACCAGTGTTTCACTAGATTGCGTAAAATGTCTGAATCGAAAAACATAGTGACGAGTCAGTTGGCCATCATGGCCTTGATCCCTGTTTTCAAATCTTTGGCACCAACTTACCAAATAAGACCATTGACTGATGCAGAAAAGAGAGAAAAGGTCAGTAAAGAGGTTGCCAGACTCAGATCTTTTGAACAAGCTTTAGTGACAAACTACATTCTCTATGTGGACAATCTTGCTAAGTTGGCAAAGGTATCTCACTCAAACTCCCAAAACAGTAAAAAAGTCACTCCTGAACAGGTCAAGAAGGGGTTATTGGCAACCAAGGCCGCTTGTGAGCTTTGTCTCTCATCATTGCGTCACTTTAACCATCGTTCTGAGGTCTTTGCTATAGTCATCCGTCGTCTTAATAGAAAACCAACTAATGCTGATGATTTGGATGCATTTTCCAGATGTGTTAGGGTGTTGGAAACATTATTGAAAGATGACGAGGAGAATGGAGATATATCGCATGAAGTCGTTAGACTCTTGAGTAAGTCAATCATTGATAAAAAGTTCAGAGTGGATGAATCAGTCGTCAATATCTTTTTGAGTCTCTCTGTCTTGGAAGATTATGACCCAAATAATAATAGAGATATTCCTAAGAAAAAGATAACAAAGAAGGACAGAGTGCATTTATCTAAGAAGGAAAGAAAGGCTCGTAAGGAACGTAAAGAAATCGAAGAAGAAATGAGAAAGGCTGAACAGGCACTTACTGTGGAAGAAAGAGAAAAATTCCAAGCTCAGGTATTGAAGATGCTTTTAACCCTTTACTTACAAATCTTGAAGGCAGGCACCCATACTCTTGATTCCACTAAGAATGATGCTAGTCATTTGATGGCAGCTGTCTTGGAAGGATTGTCTCGTTTCGGACAAATGGCCAACTTGGACTTACTTGGAGATTTCCTTGAAGTCCTCAGAGAAATCATGACAGATATAATACAGGAACACTCTATCCTGAATGATGATGATGATGAAGAAGTTGGTGGTCTTTACAGCGGCAGACAAGTCAGAACTGTTTTGCTTTGTATTGCCACTTCCTTTACCTTATTGCTCAACCATGCTTCCACCGGAAAATTACCAATGTCTATTGATCTTTCCAAGTTCATATCATCACTCTATGGTCTTTTGACAGACTTGTCGCTAGATGCTGACTTGGAATTCAGTCACAAGTCGCTTCGTTTGGCCGATCCCCTCTCACAATCTGAATTTGACAAGCCAGCAGTTAATGTGTCGACTAAATCCGAGCTTCTTTTGAGATGTCTCGATTTCATCTTCTTCCGTTCGAAGAATGGTACCGTTCCACGTGCCACATCTTTCACCAAGCGTCTTCACATGTCTATTCTCCACACCCCAGAGAAGACCTCATTGGCTACTTTAAAGTTCATCGGAAAGCTCACTGCTAGATACGATAATGCTATCAAGGGATTGTGGAACACAGAAGAAAGAATCAGTGGTGAAGGTTCCTATGTCCTTGGAATTGAACGTTTGGACAGAGAGGTGGAGTTGGAAAGATCCAACAGTGGTGCCGCTACATTGTGGGAGAATGTGTTGTTGGACAAGCACTATTGCCCAATGGTCAGGGATGGGTCTCGTTCTTTGATGAAAAACAGTAAGGGTAAGTAGGGACCTCATGGTTTATGTATAGATCCTATAGGCATATTATAGATGTACAGTAAAACGTTTTGAACGAGCCAATACTAAGCTAATTGTAAATATCCTTACTACTTGAGGCTGGCTTCTCCTCACCCATTTACTAATTTCTACTTTTTCAAAATCCAGAATCCGTCTGTATAAACTCGTTCCTATTTCTTCGTATTATTGCGAAAAGATAGAATAGTTGCAAAATGTGGTCCCAGGATTGAGCCAAATACTGCACAAAATTCCACTTCTGGAGCTGATCCACCCACTTAGACCATCCCATGAGAAGTCTAGCCACCAGAACAGGCCCCACTGACCCACTCTCCTTTCAGTCCTTCAATGGCTTCTATCTCATTTTGCGTCACTAAACCCCAGCAGTTCCTGCATCGCGACATTATTCATCACATCGCTATCTTGCCACCAGTTGCCGCCACATTATAGACTACAGGCCAGTAACCCTCCCACTGCCACACATGCGCCCATTCCTCCTTCAGAGTTCGCCAGTGCTAGCTCCTTACTCCGATAAAGCCGTGCTTCCCCAGTCAGTGCTCTCCCGAATCGTCGACGATATTCCCGAAGCACAACTTCCTCATCCTCTCATATTCAAGCTCACCAGCGGCTCCCACCAGACCTACATTGGAGTCAAAGAGTTCTCGTCCTCGGAGGAAATCATCGAGCTTCCTAGCACCATTCGAAGCGGGACGGGAGAAGAGGGCACTATCGAGTTGATCTCCACCATTCCCAAAGCAACCTCGTTGAAGCTCAGACCCACACAATTGTATAATATCCACAACTGGAAGTTCTTCTTGGAGAACAAGTTGACCCAGTTCTACACCACGTTGACAGCAGGCACCACGTTGGTTCTTGAGGACGAGAACTTGCGGTACGAGTTGCTCGTGGAGAACATCAACGACTCGGACCTGTTGACAGCATGCATAATTGACACAGACATCATCTTGGATGTGGTGCCACTCAACGATAAGTTGGCCACGGAGCAGATGCTCGAGTTCACAAGCAATCCCCACAACAATGTCGTCGAAGTGCAGAACCGGCAAGAAATTCCCCAGATAGTTCCGTTCACCGATCCAAAGTTCGTTCCTTCCATTTACAAAATCGACTTGACTAGGTTCCATAACGAGATTTCCATCTCTGTTGCCTCCTCCGACTTGGCCAACGCAGACATTCTTGTGGGTCTTGACAAATACATCAGCTTGGAAAACTACAGAAACTCGAGCATGGACCAGACCGGCGATGACAAGGTCGTCCGAATCAACTTAAGGGACGACGACATCGTCAACAAGTTGTTTCGGGCCCGCGAGCAGCATGAATTGGGAGATTCGTACGATGAAATCGACAAGTGGGCATATTTTATTCCATTTACATGGGAGAAACCAGCTGCTTTGACCGTAACGGTTGAGGAATATCACGAGAGCACGACTGAAGTTCCCGAACCTGGTACTCGGAAGTGTTCCAACTGTAATAAAGCCATTCTGGAGGACAAATACGTACTCCACGAAAGTTTTTGTTTGCGAAATAACGTGAAGTGTCCCAAATGTGGGGAGGTGTTCCTAAAACAAGTCCCTGATACCCACTGGCACTGTGAAAAGTGTGATTTTCATGATGACAAGCCTTTGCAAAGGCTCAAGCACACCAAGTTGTTCCATTCACAGCCATACACATGCACAGGATGCACACAAGGTGCTAACTTTGCCACCTTCAACGACTTGGCCCGACACAGAAACTCGGACTGTCCGTCCAAGCTCCACGAGTGTCGGTTCTGCCACTTGGTGGTTCCCCAGGAGGAATACACTTACCAGGATCGGTTCGAAAACCTTACTCACCACGAGAATACCTGCGGAAACAAGACCACCGAGTGTCCAAGATGTGGGCGGATCCAGCGCCTCAAGGATATCAAGAAACACATGAAAATGCACGAGCTCGACAAGGTGTCGTTCAATAACGAAACCGTTGTCAATTTCAACAAATGTACCAATACCAACTGCGTGCAGTTGTTGACTGGCAGTGGAACTACAAACGAATTGGGGTTGTGTGATCTCTGCTACGGCCCGTTGTATGTGGTACAACACGATCCACTGCATCTAAAGCTCCAGGCTCGACTTGAGAGACGGTATGTGCTCCAGCTAACCAAGGGCTGTGGCCAGCAGTGGTGTGAGAACCACTACTGTGCACAGAATGTTGCTGTTGGGAGCCTTCCGTTCAAAGAAGCGATGGTGGTGGTCAAAGATAAGCTCTTCACCAGTATTCACACGCCGCCTTTGCCAGTTAATGACAAGCGGACAGTGGAGGCATCGAACACGTTCTGGTTCTGTGTCAACGAGTCAGTGACCAGCAAAAAGCAGGTTCTTGAACAGATCATAGCTGAAGGTGAGTACCTGACGGAAATGATTTACAAGGCAGTGAATAGTGCCAGCGTGGGCGAGGTACGCCCTTGGCTTCAACTGCATGCCGTTAGACGGTAAAGAGTCCATTTTTCTTGATCCCCAAGCCCGTGCCAAAAGAATTTGTAATAGACATCTAGGCATTGGTTTGAATCTCGCAAAATACGAAGATAGACTAGACAGACATCAAACCATATCACCTCTATAGTTCTCCTCCAATCTTAAAGGGGTTCATATGGTTAGTAGATATACGTAATTTATAGAATAATTCTAAGTCGATGGTATCCTGCACTATCAAAATATAATAAGAATCTACGCCGAATGCCAATATGTTCTCCAAGTTTTACATTTATTGGAGAGAAATGTAGATAATCTACCAGAAACTATTTTCTGGTAGTTTTATCCATATATCCTCCAGGAGTAAGAAAATTGAATAAATTAAGCCAGTAGCCAAGTATTAGGGTATTTATCCTGCGTGGAAAACCCTTGTTCTACTTAAGATCCTTGTGTTAAGCTGAGGAGCTAACTTCCGCAATAAACCAAACACATCCGTAAGTGGGTGTATTCTGTTTGATTAGTGATAGGTAACTTACCACACTTACTCATTTTCTCATAATTACTATGCATTAAATCAAATGTGACTTATCACAGGACCCTTCCGGTCTGCTGAACCAAATTGCATTGCCGAATACTGTTGTGACGAAAACTTACAAACCTCAAGGCATATTTCCATCACAAAAAATGCTTCATTTACAACTAGAACTGCTATTGTGGACCTAAGAAGGTTGTGACGAACTCTGTAGACCTACGTTTGTCTCGAAATAAGGATTGATAATATATAAAAATGTAAAGTGATCCGTCAGTAACGGACAGTTAAAAAATACTTGCAATTAATGACTTTTAGCAAGGGTCGAAAGAGTTATCAAGGCATCGCTCCCCCTTGCGAGCTGAATGATCACATAGCACTGGGAAATGTGTCATTTTCACTTCGACATGCTGAATTAGCAACAATTGTAACCACCTAATAAAACCTACCAATAAAACCTACCAATAAAACC